GCAACTCTTCCTCACTTGTCTCTCCCTTTTTTTTCCCTTTTTTTTTTTTTTTTTTTTTTTTTTTTTTTTTTTTTTTTTTTGCACCAAACCACGAAACCCAGCAGCAGCACCAACGCCTCTGCCACCCCTGGCCCTGTCGCTGGACTTGGGACGCACTCCGTCATTCCTCGTCCAGCTGCGCGCGCTAGTCTGCCCTGCCGTGTGGTCCGCGAGGCCTCAAGAGCACCACACACCCCGGGCTGCCCCTCCTTTCAAAGTACCTCCCTACCCTCTGCTACCACGGCCTTGACCTCGACCTGGCCTTGCCGCACCAAACATTGCCTACTTCATCCCTCTCCACCACCACTGCCTGGGTCCTTCTCCCACCAACCAACCCAACCTGCTACCCACCTCGCGCTTCTAAACGGCGTGACAACATCCTCCTCTTCCTACCTCTCGGCACCTCGACCTCACCACGCTCGTCGTGCATCGTTCTCGCCCAAACGGTACCCGTTCGCCATCCCTCCTCGACAACCGAATACACGCCCCTCGAAAAGAACCGTCCTCGAAGATCTGCTCCAATACTCACGATCCTCTTTTTTTCTCCTCTTCTTCTTTCTTCCCCCCCGGACAGACAACTAGCAGCATTCACCACCTGTCCCTCTCGTTGCGCCGGGCTGCACTGCAGACACTGTTCGGACGCACCTTGCAGCCACCACCCAGAGCTGCCCGATCCCATCGCCCTCTTTCCTTCCTGCGCGGCAAGCATTCTACTTTCGTAGACAATTGCCATACCTTGTGTGTTGACCTTGTTGTGAGTGCACATTTCCTGCCCATCTCGTCAAGTCATAGACCCAACCTCCCCTCACGCCTGGGCCCCCGTCGTGTAGCACGAGGCAGAACATCACGATCCTTGAGCCTGGCCCAAGCCTGCCCCTCAGCGACGTGCTGTGCCGTCATCACCACATTCCCCCCTTCCCTCCCCGTCCCTTTGCACACCACAAAATCATACACCCCCCGACCCCGACTGGGCCAGACAGCAGACAGACAGACAGACACCACAGCCCACCGCAACCTACCGCAACGCACCTCACCTAGCACTTCTGCGAGAAGCTCTGCACTGTACCTTGCTCTGTCTCTAGGCCCGTCGTAACCAGTTCATCTACATACGAGAACGAGGTCTTGCCTCGTCCTGCCGTGACCTGGTTTCTGCACTGAGCTGGGCGACGGGAGACAGAGAGAGAGAGAGGTGCAGCGTCAGGTCTTAGTGTACCTCCTCAGCAGTTGCCTCGCAGTTCTGGCCTGCTGCACGTACCTGGCAGGTTTTTCCCTTTGCCTTTGGCCAGAGAGCGAAAATCACCTCACTGCAGTACGGTGCTGCATGCATAGCGCATCTACCAGCATACACCACCACTCCCACACCCCCTCCCTATTTCCTGTTCTTGTGCCACTACCTACCTCACCTCTCTCTGCTCTGCCTCTGCCTCAGTCTCGCGCTCTCGTCTGTCCCGTCAAGTCCTGGCCAGTCGTCTTCTGTCCCGCTGCTACCTACCTACACCTACCTTACCTTACCTTACCTAGCGACCTTACTCATACCTTTCCCTCCCGTCCTGTCGCCTTTGCTCCTAACTTGCCACCACTCGTCTTGCATCGTCGCCATCATTCATATTCCCCTGCCCTGCCACTTTCTTTCCTCTCCCTGTCAAAATACTTCCCGCCCCGCACCCCTCGTCTGTCATCCTCGTTCATCATTGCTCGTCCCACGACACGCCCACACCCTGCCCATTCCCGCTCTGTCAACGACGAATGACCTTTTGAGCGTCCCTACTGCATCTCTTTTTCTTTTCCACCTGCTAATGACAGCAATCAGCTTCCGAAAGGTTGCACCTCAGTCTCGAAATTACCTCTGATCCTACGTCCCTGGAAACACTGAGCCGAGTCCCGAGTCAAATCCGCTGTCGGTGCCGCCTTCGTCTTCAGTCCTACTCGCGACCTTACCTGCCTCTCTACCTTTTGGTCCTCGAAACGAGCAATTGATTCGTCGACCCATACTCTAATCTTCGTGCAATTACTTTTGCACGGATTTCACATCAGCAAAACACAGTCTCCGTTCCCTGCTGCCCATCACGGCCCGCCGTCGAGTCTCGGATCTGTTACCCCTCACTCTACTCGACCTCAATCCGCCCTACGCCGGCCATCAATAGCAGGGCTTAAGCCGTGCTGACAACACCTTCTGAGCTATGGCGCAGAATCGCCCCGCCGCCTTCAACACTCTCAGGATGGGAGGTAAGCTGCGGCAATTACAATCCTCCGATCGGTTTCGCAATGCTAACCCCCCGCTGTAGAGGTTATTCGCGAAAAGGTGCAAGATGGAATAACTGGTGAGACGAGGGATCTGCAGTACACGCAGTGCAAGATTGTTGGCAATGGCTCCTTCGGCGTCGTCTTCCAGACGAAGCTTTCGCCCTCTGGAGAAGACGCCGCCATCAAGCGTGTTCTCCAAGACAAGAGATTCAAGGTCCGCAATTCTTGCGCGTCTGTGACGGGCACGCGCTAACAATTCGAGCAGAACCGTGAATTGCAAATCATGCGCATCGTCCGTCACCCTAACATTGTCCAACTGAAAGCCTTCTACTACTCCAACGGCGAACGCGTAAGAACACTTGAAGCGCCTAGACGGGAACAATTCACTGACTCGACACAGAAAGACGAGGTCTACCTCAATCTCGTCCAGGAATTCGTCCCCGAAACCGTGTATCGCGCGTCGCGTTTCTTCAACAAGATGAAAACGACGATGCCCATCCTGGAAGTCAAGCTCTACATCTATCAGCTCTTCCGAGCCCTCGCCTACATTCACTCTCAGGGCATTTGCCATCGTGACATCAAGCCCCAAAACCTGCTTCTGGACCCCACATCAGGCATCCTCAAGCTGTGCGATTTCGGTAGCGCAAAGATCCTCGTCGAGAACGAGCCGAACGTGTCGTACATCTGCTCACGATACTACCGAGCCCCAGAGCTCATTTTCGGTGCCACCAACTACACGACCAAGATTGGTATGTACCCCTCAGGTTATGCCTCCACCCGTAGCAATTCTAACATACCCTACAGACGTCTGGTCTACTGGTTGTGTCATGGCTGAATTGATGCTCGGACAACCGCTCTTCCCTGGAGAGTCAGGCATCGATCAATTGGTGGAGATCATTAAGGTGCTGGGCACACCAACTAGGGAGCAGATCCGCACAATGAACCCGAACTACATGGAGCACAAGTTCCCGCAGATAAAGCCGCATCCTTTCGCTAAGGTCTTCCGGAAGGCGGATGCGAACGCCATCGACCTCATTGCCCGTCTTCTCGAGTACACGCCGACTGAGAGACAAGCAGCTGTTGAGGCCATGGTCCACCCATTCTTCGATGAGCTCAGAGACCCCAACACGAGGTTGCCCGACTCCCGGCACCAGAGCGGTGAAGTCCGCGACCTGCCCCCGTTGTTCGACTTCACTCGTCACGGTAAGTAGCTTTGACTCTGAGACCTGACATCGCTTCTAACAATGCCACAGAGCTCTCGATCGCACCGAACCTGAACCACCAATTGGTGCCTGCTCACATCAAGCCTGTCTTGGCCGGCAGGGGATTGGACATTGACAATTTCACTCCGATTCCGAAGGCAGATATGATGGCTAAATTGGACTGAACAAGCCGAGGTCATGTCCAGGGACTCAGCGCACTCGTGGATCGTTCCCGACTTTTCTCGGCCGCAAACCCACCGTCCGACCAGCGCATAATGAAATCGAGTATGCATGGACAGCAAGGCATCGGCCTCTCCTCGAACGCGGACCAAGTGATGATTAGATGTTGAACGTGGAATGACGATTAGAAGCTGGCTGCGTCGATCGCTCGAAGGAACAGTTTCGTTGGCGAAGGAATGCGAAGATGTCTCGTGCTTAAGAAGCGGTGGGTCTTCGCGCTGGCGGAGAAGAGGGGAAGGCAAACATTGGCCCATCGAGGCGTGTCTACGGGTTGTGCATCAAGTTGCCTACCATTTCCATGGGAGGCTGCATTGTTGCATTTCGCAGGAGACGGCGTTCTAGACCACGTTCTGGTGCATGACCTTAGATGGCTCACATTGTCCTCCCCTCATTCTTCACGAAAAAAAGGCTTCCTCATGCTACGGCAGGCGATTGTCTGGACGGTCCGGCCTACCCTTTTTCGTCTTTTCATCGCTTATTATGGTCCGGCGAGGCCGCCTTGCTTGTCAGCACTCGGAAGATGCGTGGTGGACATATACTGTTGTAGGTTTGAACTCTCTCATGGATGTTGGAGGGCGGCTGGAGGGTCGGGAAGCCCGCTCCCATAAGTCGGGGATCGTGGGCGGTAGGTCTGGATTTGGTTTTAGGCATGATTCCAAAGGAAAAAGATTTCAGCTTTCTCTGTTTATTCATGGCAACGCAATGATGGCGAGCCAAGCAGGTCAATTAAAAGGGTGGGACTGGCTACTTTGCTCAGACTTTGGGAAAGAATGTTGCTGTCGTTATGAACCGGCTCAAAGGGGCCAAGTAAGATCAATGCAAGGCTGTCACTCGGATTGTATGTGGTGTTTGGCCGTGAACGTGCATTTCCAAGGGCAATCTCAAGATCCCCCAAGTTCGGATGAGAGTGATGCAGATGCGTGTTTGATTGCATTTGTAGCTGGGTGTAGCGGTACTTGCCTGAGCCTGTTGAGTGAGGCGATGTCGGGGTGGTCAGGGAGAGCTGTCCTCGAAAGGTGAGAGGGCCACCTGATATTCTGCCTCAGGCAACAGTGCACCAAGCCTACCACAAAGGTGACATTGAACGGGTCAATTGACGCGCGACGGTTCAGCTAGCAGGGGAAGCTCGCGCCTTCCTTCTGTAACTTTTTGACGTGGATCCCGTCTTCTCGAGGCTGCAGCCCGTACGGAAAGCCTGGCTCACTTCAATTCGCCAACCCATCTAGACTCAGACTTGCTTTCGACAATTGCAAGCAGCCTTCACTGAGATACACAATGGGTGACTACGAGCGCAGACGCCATCACGGCGGCGGTGGCCACAACAACAGAAAGAGAAGGTACAGAGGTAAGTTTGTTTCGCCCCTGTCTTGTTTCACCAGAAGCTCACCACAGGCCTCTTGCCGATGACAGACGATGATGACAACGATCACCGACAGCAGCGCCGAAGAATCGATTCCGCGCCTCTTCCTGTGAGGGTTCGCCGACAGCTGCTGTCCCTTGCCGAGTCTCCTCTCCGACGATGGCACGAAGAAGTCCAGAGCATCGCACACGTAGTCGCTGATAACACCGAAGACACGGAGCTGCGCGAGAGCTTCATTAGCCTCGTTCTCCAGCTTGCGCTGGAGCAGCCGCTCAAAACGCCTTTCGTTGCTGGTGTCATTCTCCTGGTGAACACCCTCAAGCCGGAAATTGTGGGCGAGATCCTCGTCAAGCTCAGCGCTGCGACTCAGGAAAAGATCGAGGCCGGACAATGGAGAGACGTGAAGCTTTACTTGAAGCTCCTGGCTTGTTTGCAGAGCTCCTTGGACGGCGAGGGAATCTTCAACGTATTGGACGAGCTGTTCAATCGCGCTGTAGACCTGCAGACTGCAAGCTCAGATGACGTAGGACCTTCCATCACTTGCGACAAGAGTACGAGCTAATAGTCCGCAGACAATTGGCACAGAGCTTGTCAAGATTATTCTTTTTACGATTCCCTACATTATGGCTGCCGCGCCCGGACAGTGGCAGCAAAAGGCAGCCGATCTCATGGAGAAGACCGACATCATCGCCTCCGAACCCCATGCGCTCCAAGCGCTGATCGACCCATACCTTGCGGAGAAAGATGAGCCAACTGGGTCAATGAGTGTGATTGCCTTGCTGCAAAAGCAGCTTCATCAGGAGGCGGCGAATAACTGGGAACTCTCGTGCCTTCCCAGACCCTGGAAGCTACCGCTGGAGGAGATTGAAGCCCAAGAAAAGCTTGACAATGCCACCAAGCACACCTTGCCAGCCATTACTGTTCCCGAGAAGATCATTGCTGGACCTCGACCTTTGTTTCCCGAGGTCTATTTCTCGGTGTATAGCTCCCAGGAAGTTGGGTCGATACCTCCTGTCACAGACATTGCCTCTTCGCTGATTCGCGATGGTTTGGTTGATACTATCAACATCCTGGACTACAATCGCAATGTTACTGCTAGGTACTTGATTGATCTCGACTGCTACTTTTCCGACACTACCTTCGTCAAGCGAGCCACTCCTTTTGACAGGCTGCGCGACATAGAGTCTGGCAAGTCGACATGGAAGCCTGAGGACGTCGCCGTCGACGCTGTCTTCTCACAGCTCTTCCAGCTTCCCACGCCTGAGCATAAGCTTGTTTACTACCACTCCGTGCTGACCGAGGCTTGCAAGATTGCGCCGGCAGCGATTGCGCCCAGTTTGGGCCGTGCGATTCGACACATGTACCGCAATTCCAGCCGACTAGATCTTGAGCTCTCGCAGAGATTTGTCGATTGGTTCTCTCACCACTTGAGCAACTTTGGCTTCACCTGGAAGTGGACAGAGTGGGTCGATGACGTTTTCCTACCTGACATCCACCCCAAGAAGGCGTTCATTATCGGGGCCTTGGACAAGGAAATCAGATTGAGCTTCGCTCAGCGCATCAAGGGCACTCTGCCTGAGCCGTACCAGCCTCTTATCGGCCCGGATAAGGAGAAGGACGTCCCTGACTTCAAGTTCAACGACGAAAGTGAGTACCCTCTTATCATCTCCCCACCATTCATGAATCTAACCGAGGACAAAGGCACCCCTTTCTCGGCCGAGGGACGTGAAATCGCCTCACTTCTGAGACGCAAAGCCCCAGATGAAGAGTTCCAGCCTATCATTGAGAAGATTCACTCGCTTGCCATAGAGCACGACCTGGACCCCTTGGTGACTAGCACCGATGTCTTCGTCACAGCCGTCTGCTGGGTAGGGTCGAAATCTCTTAGCCATGTCCTGGCATGCATCGAACGAACCAAGGATCGGCTCCTTGACGTGGGTGCGGCGTCTGAGGCGGCTAAGGCCCAAATCATTACCGCAGTCATGTCATACTGGGCTGCCCAGCCTGGTGTGGCTATTTCCATCGTGGAGAAGCTTCTCAACTATTCAATCTTGTTGCCTCTCTCAGTCATTGACTGGGCATTAGTGAGCAGCAACCATATCAACGGCCAGTCATCTGGGGACTCTCTGGCGCAGACCCATGTTTTTGAGCTTGTGTTTGGAACGGTCGCCAAGGTCACAGGTCGCGTCCGACAGTTGCAGACAGAAGCTGATGCAGATGATGAGGCAAAGGAGAGAGAGGTCAAGGCCATGCGTGACCTTTTCAAGGCGATGGAGGATGCTCTGGTGAGCTGGGCCTCTGGTAGCAAGGACGAGATGATGGAGGAGATGGACGGAGCGGGTCAGCGCGACAGTCTTCTCCGGCGCTGGGGCGAGCGTTGGCTGCGCGTCTTCCGACGTCGGGCGGCCATTGAAGAGGCCTTTATCCTGGAGGCTTCGAAGGACCAGACATCTGGAGGAGAAACCGCCTCCGTCTAATTCACGGTAGAATAACCACACTTGGGCTTGGGGACTAAAGAACAGCTCTGCAATTTGTAACATTACCGAAGAAAAAAAAGGGCCATTGATTTTGGGATTGGCATGGCGAAGCTCTGACCACGGGAGATCGGGGTTGCTAAATAGCTTACATATATCTCGTTTTGCGCAAACTCGGTGCTGCCTGCGCGAAATAATATGAGAGACTGGGATCTCTCGAATCGACGGGACCTGAATGGTAAAGTAAATCCAAAAACCCCCCACTGGCACACCCCTGGCGCTAGATGCTGGTGAGTGCGGGGCAGTACCCAGCCTAGCAGTAGGCACTTTTTGCGCTGCGTCACTGATTGGGCGACGCACTACAGCGGGGGTTAAAGATTTCTGCAAGGCTGACAGCCATCTTCAAAAAAATTTAGATGGAGAATGGTTCGTCGGCTTTTTGCTCCAGTACCTGCCAACCGACGAACTGCACACGCCGAACGAGCTTTCGCTTTCTGAAGGAGGCTGAAGACCCTACAAACCGAGAACCAGAAACCCATAGCTCTCATCAATTCTTACGAGAGACAGCCCGAAGGCATCTCGGTGCCAATCGCCCAGAATGGAGTCCTCGGTGGCCCAGGTGAAGGTCAACTTCACAACGACGCATGAAGACCTCCAGCTCGACGATAGCAAGAGGCAACTGATTGTGCCCGCAGGTTTGCAGCACCAGCGATACCCAGTCCCAATGGCATGAGAAACTAACTCCCCCTCGCCCGACAGACATCAAGCGATATGGCCTCTCGAGGATATTGAACTCGGAGTCGATGCTCAACACCTCCTCCCCGGTGCCCCTCGACTTCCTCGTCAACGGAAACTTCCTCCGCACGACCCTCGAAGAATACCTCCAGTCCAACGGCCTCTCCTTCGAGTCCACAATCACCCTGCAATACGTCCGCTCCCTGCTGCCCCCCGTCTACGAAGCCTCCTTCGAGCACGACGACTGGGTCGCGGCCGTCGACGTCCTCTCCGCCACCTCCCCGGCCGGCATCTGGTCCGGCGACGCCATCCCCCAGGGCCAGGACCGCATCCTCTCCGCCTCCTACGATGGTCTCGTTCGCATCTGGGACGGCTCCGGCCAGTGCCTCGCCACGTCCGCCTCGGCCCGCGCCGGCGGCCACTCCAAGCTCCTCACCGACGCAAAGTTCCTCTCGTCGACGCAGCTCGCCTCCGTCGGCCTCGACCAGAAGGTCATTCTCTGGAAGTACACCGAGTCCGCCGACCGCTTCACCGGCGACCTCAAGCCGACGCTCGAGCTCCACGGCCACAAGAAGATGATCAACTCCCTCGCCGTCCACGGCCCCTCAAAACGCCTCCTCACCGCCTCCGCCGACGGCCGCGTCGGCCTCTGGGCCGCCTCCAAGAAGGACTCCCCCGAGGTCGACGCCGACGATCTCCCCGCCAAGCGCGCAAAGACCTCCGCCGGCTCCTCCGTCTCCGTCCCCCAGCGCGGCGCGAAGGCCATGATCCCCGCCCACGAGGGCTCCTCCGCCACCGCCGTCGCCTTCCACCCCTCCGACCCCACCGTTGCCTACTCCGCCTCCACCGACCACACCCTGCGCACCCTCGACCTGACGAACGGCAGCGTCGTGAGCACCCTCACCACGATGCATCCGCTGCTCTGCCTCGCGCCCATGGGCGGCGCTTCGTCGCTGGTCGCCGCCGGCTCCGCCGCCCGCCACGTCACGCTGCTCGACCCCCGCGCCACCGCGAATGCCACCTCGGTGCTCACGCTGCGCGGCCACGCCAACATGGTCTCCGCGCTCGCGCCGAGCCCGGACAACGAGTACTCGCTCGCCTCCGCGTCCCACGACGGCACCGTCAAGATCTGGGACCTGCGCAGCGTGCGGCCCGCGACCAAGGACGAGGGCGGCGGCAGCGTCAGCGAGGCCGTGTACACCATCTCCCGCGAGTGGCTCAAGGGCAAGAAGGTGCCGATGGGCGGCGAGGGTGCCAAGGTGTTTGGGCTGGCGTGGGACAAGAGCTGGGGTATTGTTAGCGGTGGTGAGGATAAGAAGGTGCAGATCAACAGGGGGAGAGATCTCGTTTCGTCTTAGGAAGGTGTGTAGAAAGGGATGTTGCGAACAAAAATGTCGATTTTATGTGTATAAGTGGTTGGGAAAAGTTTGGCATTGAAGAGATAGCTATAGACTACAACAAAGAATAATACCCCCCGCGAAAAAAAAAAGACTCTTCAGAAAGATTTTGGCCGTGGTCTCTTGTCTATAATTGACATACTGCACCCTTGAACTCCTCGCCAAACAAAACTAACCTCTCATCCCGCTAGACACTGAAGTTCATTAGCTCTGCCACATGTACTCGCTAAGCCCCAGCATCTTGTCCGCCATCTGCCTCTTGGCAGCGCTTGCGATTCCACGCTCCGGGTTCGCCAGCTGCTCGCTAAAGCAGAGCTCGAGCAGGGTCCTCAGCTCCTCGTACGTGAAGGTGTCGCTGGGGTCGGCGTGCTCATCTTTGTCCTTGTCCTCCCTCGCCTTGTCGACGATGGCGTCGGGGCCCTTGTCGAAGAGCGCAAAGTAGTTTGACGCGCGACCGAGGTCGACGCCCTCCTCGACGTTCTTCAGGTTCTGCTGGAGGACGAGGATGTTGAGCTGCATGCGCCCGCAGCCCTTTGCGTTCATGGGCGAGACGAAGGCGGCGTTGGTGACAAGATACGCGTTGATGAGCAGGCCGAGGCCGGTGCGGATGAACGCCGTCTCCTTTGCGCGGAGGTACTTTGCGATCGTCTCGTCGTAGAGGATGAGGTCCGAGTTCAGTTTGAGGATCTCTGGGTCTGGCTCCGTGACTTCTTGGTCCAGGAGGTAGGGCGCCTTATCAGGTGAGAGGGCGGTGCGCAGGGAGTAGATGATCTCTGTGCGGATCTCCATGTGAAGGGTGAGGAGCGCTGTGCCGGCCAGTTCTTCAAAAGAGGAGACTATGCCGTCGAAGGCCCTGCTTTGGGTCAGCACATGTCGTCAGGAGGCAAGGTGGAAGACTTACTGCACTGTTTCTTGTGTCATAGGGAGGTACACCGGACCGTCCTCATTTGTAGCTTTGCTGGGGTCGTTCATGAGAGTCCAACGCTTGCTTGAGCCCCTGTTGAGGGCAGGGCGGGAGGAGTCTGCATCATTGCGAGTAATGTGGCGCAGGCTTGAGATCTTGACAGCAAGCCACTTCATGCTGGTGTACAGCAGGCAGAGAGAGGAGACTGTGTCCCTATCTGTGATGATGTCTGCGAGCTCCATGCGCTTCTCGTTTGTCTGAACAATGAGCAGACCGACTTCCTTCTCCAAGAGCTCGCGCTCAAGTGTGTCGGATGTCCACAGCTGCTTCATGGTCTCGTGGACATCACCCTCCTCCAAAGCCATGCCTGCTGACATGCGCAGCTTCGTGGGCTCGCCAGCCTGTACTTGGGTTCTGCTGACGAGAGACTTATACCAGCCGAAGCAGCGATCGTAGTAGCGCATCATCTGGGTGATGATGAGTGTGCTGAGAGCTTGGTCGTGCGGGATCGTGCTCAGCATGCGGCAAAAGGCAGTGACGACGGCGAAGAAGGCCGTGGTGCCCTTGAAGACGGGCCGCCTGGCAACCTGGGTCCATTCCTGGTCCTGGATAAAAGAATCGACTTCGCCAAAGATGGTGTCGCTGAGCTTGCCGAGCGTCTCGTCGAGCTGAGGTTGGAAGACGTTGACGAGGAAGTTATCCAGGAACGACGTCAGAGTGCTGGTGGCGAGATCGGAGCCTGGCGGGACGATCATTTTGAGTCTTTGGAGGAAGACCAAGGTAGGCGGTAGCAGCAGACTCATGTTGAAGACGCTGGGTTCGACGAGGGACTTGTAGGTTCCTTGTGTTTGCTTGTTCTCCCAGCCAGCAGCGGTGCCTCTCTTGGAGCTGACGCCGTCCATCACCGCTCGCTTCTTGTCGGCGCCAGGTTTGCGGGACGTGTCGGTCAAGCCGGGGACAGCGGCGCGGATGATGCCCTCGAGAGCTTCGTACTCCGTTGTCATATCCACCGCCTTGGGGTCACCTTCGGAAAACTTGAATAGATTCTCCCTAGAAGCATCCTTTTTGCCGTTGATGTTGGCGCCAGGCTTGGGCGATGAGTTGAACTGGAAGACATCGGCGTCCGTTGTTACGTAGTTGTGCAGTAGAGAACGGATTTCGTTTTGATACAGGTTCCACAGCTCCTTGAAGCTTCCCAGCAAGGCACTGTTGTTTCCAGCACCCTCCCTACGGATGAGCGCCTTGATCGATTCGTGGAAAACGCGGTGGCCCTCTGCAATCGCTTCAAACTTGCCGAAGAGCGTCCAGAGCAGGTCGTAAATTACGTCAGCCCTCATCTGAGTCTCGCGGTTGCCGTAGATGTGCAGCCCCTGGTTGTTGGTAGAGCCGCCGCGAAGCGAGCTGGGATGCCTCTGGTCAACTTCGTTGAGAGTCTCGTTGACAATGGTGAAGAGCTCGACGGGCAGCCTCTGCTTGAGGGTGTCTACGGCCGTCTCCAATCTTCCCAACTTGTTCAAGGACTCCACCAGTAGCGACACATACGAGAACGTATCGGCTTCTGGGTTCTTAGCCGGATCCTCGGCCGTCTTCCCTTCAAAGTCCATGGCGTCAAGTATTTGGTGGAAAGGAGCAATAGTAATCGCCTCGTAGTTACCCTCCTTGAAAGCACCTTGTGTCTTTGCCAAATTCTGCCACCTTTCCTGGCAGTACGGCGACTTTAGGTATAGATGCTCGTGAAGCTCCTCCACCAGGATATCCATGAGAGCCCCATCTTGGTTGGCTAGATAAGCCCGGAGTTCGCTCAGGGCCCCGATATCATCCAGCTCAGGCTTACGCAGCTTCCGCAGCGCATTCTGCAACACCTCCACCGCACTCAGAAACCTCTTTTCGGAGATTCTCGCCTCCAACTGATCCGGTACCAGCCTCAACTCCTCCAGTTCGTTCAGCGTTGTAAGCAGCTCGTCGTAAGCCTGTGATGCGGCCGAGAGCTTCTTAAGCTCCGGGTCCGACGTACACAGGCTCACCTTGGACGTCAGCAGCGACTCTTTCAGCGTGCGCACCTTCTTCTGCGAAGCTTGAATGCTGCCCTGGATCTTGTGGAATGTTCCTATGGAGCTGTTGAATCCCTGATGGTGCTCGTGGACGATGCCCTTGAGGGAGTCCTCAACGTAGTTGTGCGCCTCCGTGAACTTGCGGTAGTCGTGTGCGCGGCCGACGGAGCTGCTGTCAAGGAGCTGCAGAGCGAGCTGGACGGGAACACAGTCGTTTTGGCACATGGCGGGCCATTCTTGCTTGATGTGCTCGAGGACCTGGCCGATCTGGCGCTCGGCGTTGCTCTCTTGGATGCGCTCGCGGCTGCGCATGGGCGGGGGACCTGGGTTTCGGAAGTTGGATGGTGATCGGGGGTTCATCGGCGGGGAGCCAACGGCGTAGCGGTCGCTTCTGTCTCTGTCCCTGTCGCCGCCATAGCCGTTGGCGTAGGGATCGTAGTCTTGAGGTTCTTCGCGGCGACCAAAGTTGCCATAGCCGTTGCCGTTGCGGTAGGCGCCGCCGCCGTACCGATTCGACATTCTGAGGGATGTGGTAGTTGGGCGCTTTATACGGTTGGAAGGAGATAGGTTCGCATCGCGGTCGTCGGGATTGGAGGTATCGAGGGTATGTCGGATAATCAAAGACGTTCGAGGGCGATCGTAGCCAGTGTTGTCGCGACGTATCTCGAAATGCGGCTCTTGGAATGTCGAAATGTGGTTGAATTGGGCAAAGCCAAGGCGGACATCGAGGTGCTGGCCGTGCAGCTGCAGCTAGGGGCTCGGGTGCTTCCAGTCCAGCCATCCGCATGCACGTTTCACTGCTGTCTGGGTCTCGTCCAGGCCTGTTAGTGGTTCGCTTCAGTGGTTGAGGTCAGCTAAGGTCCCCACCACCCCCGGATTGCTCACTCATCCCACTTGCCCCCACCAACCGCGTGAACGCGCCGCAATGCTCCGTTGACACCTCCCGCCACTCACGGTGCGACCGGCACACCCGACCGAATGTCATTCATCTCAAGTTCTTAGATATAAGAAGCTTGGTATGAGAACCGGGTTATTAAATTCTCGATGATAATATAGCAGGAACCCAAATAATTTCATCATCATGTCGAATGAATTCTCTATCCAGCCTATTGGGCGCTTTTATGGCGCCAGTCAGCCAGTCAAACGGCCAAAAGTGAGTAGTAAATTGGACTTTCAGGCTCGTACCTGATGGACCCCTTTTTGAATGACTTGGGACCGTCTTTGACAATGTGTTCAGGAGTTTGCATGTTTTTCGTATGATGATAAACACGAATTCCACCTGGGCGACTCGTCACTGAGATACTACTACACGCCGCCCTTAGGAGTCGACCTCTCAGATGGCTACGACAGCTTCATCAAGCATGACGATTCTAAGGCCGAACATCTCGGCAGTCTACTCAAGACCATCAAGGCTCACGAAGAAGAGACGGGGCAGAAGATTGACGCTCAGATCGTCACATGGCGTGGTATGATGACCAAGGTAAGATATAGCCCCTATTCACTCTAACATCAAGCCACTAACCAGATTTCAGATCATGGCATCGCCTTTCGAAGACCGAGACGGGTCAGTTTCTGCAGAGACTCATCTTCATGGGTGACATACTGACGTCCACACAGCTTCGAGATGAACGCAACACTATACCAAGTACCTCACAAGCCCCTCGAAGACATGATCTGAGCTGAAAGCTAACCAAACCCAGGACTGCATGTACGACAAACAACTACACCCAGCCCCAAATCCCCCTTGACTAACCCCCTCTCCCAGCTTCATCGAAGAGAACCACGAATACAAAGTTGCCTCCCAAGCAAAGCAAAACGCCCAACAGCGCCGCGGCCCCATCCCGCCCGAGGTGATGCAGTTCTGGGGCTACAAGTTCGAGACCCTCGCGACCCTCCCGGCGCCCTGGGGCGACACCCCTCGCGCCTACATCGAGAACCGCCCGCGCGAGGTCGTCAACAACAACGCGCAGTACTGCTCCGTCGTGCGCACCGGCATCGGCGCCACGACCATCTGCATCGGCGGCGAGGTCGACGCCGTCTGGGACTCCAAGCCCGCCAAGCAGGGCGCCCCCACGAACTGGGTCGAGCTCAAGACCAGCCTCGCCATCCGCGACGAGCGCGACGTGGATAACTTCCACCGCAAGCTGATGAAGTTCTGGATCCAGAGTTTTCTTTTGGGCGTGCCCAAGATCATTGTCGGGTTTCGCAGCCGCGACGGCATGTTGACCAGCGTCGATGAGATTGAAACGGAGAAGATCCCGGATACTGTCCAGAGACGCGGACGGGCGAATTGGAACGGGGATATGTGTGTCAACTTTGCGGCCGAGTTCCTCGTTTGTGAGTGTTTCCCCTCAAATGTGACAGAGAGGTCTGTTATTAACGGATGCAGGGCTTCGTCAGACTGTCAACGATGACGGGGTCTGGAGGATACGCAGGCGGCCCGGAAGCCCTATGATAGAGGTGTTTAGGATCGAGGAGGCCGGGCACGGAGAGATTCTGACAGACGAGTTCATCAACTGGAGAATCAAGCTCTCCATGAAGAGCACCGCCCCGGAACCAGAACCAGAGGATGAATCACAGCCGGAACCAGAGTCATAGTCACAGACCGAGGGCTAGTACTACAACCCCTTTCATCACAAAGGCATAAACGGAACACTTGACTTCGCGCGATTATTCTATTGGTTCAAGACCTTGACGTTACCTAGGTATCTACCTACTGCCGAAACACAAAACCACAAAACAACCAAAACGCCACCCTATGCGACGAAGACAAACCCGGATCAGCCGTGTAGATATCATCAGTCATGAGAGCCACGTAGCCGGGTCCATCCATCTGCGTCGTCAAAAACTGAAATCCAATCCCGGTATCTCGGTATCTCAATCTCCCGAATGTCGAAAACGTTCCCGATGCTGAACTGAAAACTCTTTCCCAATGCTTTTGTGTACTGTTCAAACCCGTATGCTGCGACGTGGTCATACACTCTCATCATACAGCGTTTCTCGTGAATAATGATATGCCACCTCTCTCTGCCATCTCTTTCGGGCCCGTAGCCCATCTTGTAGCCAGTTTTAGACAGCTGGCCATCTGATTCTCAAACCTTCAGTCCACCTGCCGTAGAGCACGTCTGAAAGTTGGTTGCAGTGCTCCATGCCTGGTCGGGCTGGGCGACCAGGGTATTTGGCCTCCATGGCTGCCTTCTCTCTTTCTTTCTCCTTCTCGGTCGACTCGGGCGTAGCAAACGAGCCGTTGCGCCTCCTATGGCTCTTCAAATGCGGGTTGTTCGACGCAAGCACCAACTTGTTTGGGCTACCACCAGATGACGGTGTTGCTGCAGCGCTCTTGATGATGACGGTGCCCTGCGGTGTGCCATCCGATGGAATCTTGATCGACTGCTGAGGAATCAATGCCGTGTTCAGCTTTGAGTCTTGAGAGACTGCCGACATCAGATTGCGCATCACGTGGTAGGCTCCTTCAGGGTCGACCGAGTCCAGGAGAGCATAGGCATCAGTGAGCTTGGCCAGCGCCTCCCGCTTCTGCAGACCCGACGTTTGCGCGTGCAGCTCTGCGAGTGTCGGGTCGATGGCCTTGTTGAACAGCCGCCGACCCAGCATGCCCTCTTTGCTGTTTGGCTCTACGCATGCACCTCTCATCGGTGCTCTGTTCTCGTCCCCAACAGCGGTGTCACCCGATTCAGAGAAGTCCGTCGGATCAGTGACGGAGCCGTTTGAGGGCACCCGGCGGAACAGTCGTACGGAAGAACCAGAGTTGCCGTACGACATGTCTGGCTGGAGCGGTCTTCTCGCGACGGTAGAACGAGGCGACCCGTTGGCTTGGATCTGTGTGGCAGACGCTTGACGACTTGAGGGCTGGCGGCGCACAGTCGACCGGCGCACTGTACCGGAAGCGGGAGACGAAGGGCCGAGCGGAGCGTCCTTGAGGTCGAGGCGGCGCATGGCCTCCTCCGCCGCAAAGTAGGACGGCTTCCGAGACCGAACAGTCGGCCGCCTAGGCGCCATCGACTTGACCGTGTCAAACACCCACTCATCTGAGTCGTCCTTAGCAGAGATGGTGTTAAGTGTTTCCTGGTAGAAGATGGTATGCGACTTGCGGTTCTGGTTTGCATCCCACATTTGCTTGCGCGCAATCAGCTCCTGAAGAGCCTCCATCTTGCCGGCAGACCTGATGAAGCGGTGACGAAGGAGATCTTTTGCGGATGGTCTGCGGTCGGAATCCTTGACGAGACACTGCGCCACGAAGTCCTTGAAGTCTTTGCTGAAGGAACCCTCCAGGCGGGGAGGAGAGTTCTTGGGAATGTGGAAAAGAACCTTCATCGGGTGGATGTGGGCCAGAGGAGGCTCGCCGTTGGCCATTTCCATAGCGGTAATGCCAAGTGACCAGATGTCTGCCTTGAAGCTATAACCATCCTGCTGGATGACCTCGGGTGCCATCCAGAAAGGGGTTCCGACGAAGGTGTTCCTCTGCGACTTGATGTTGGTCAATTGGGCAGCGACACCAAAGTCGGCCAACTTGACCTTGCCCGACTCGGAGAGCAGAACGTTGGCAGCCTTGATATCTCGGTGAATCTTGCCTTCGGCATGCAAGTACTCGAGACCACGGAGAAGCTCTCGGCAGATGATTGCGATGTGGACCTCGGCGAAGTTGGCCGGTTTGAGCTGAGGAATGTTAGCCTAGACGATAAGGATAAGCTGCGACTCGGAGTGACATACCAGGTCCAGACATGAGCCACCGCCAAGATACTCCATTACGATCCAGAGCTTGTGACCGCGAAGGAAGCTGCCCTTGTATTGGGTGACAAATGAGCTTGCGCAAGTGCTGAGCACTGCGATCTCGCCTTGAATCTCCTGGATGTCATCTTCGCTTGACTCGAGATCAATCTGCGCATCCACGGGTTAGCGATATTGATCAGGATGTAAACATGGGGGTGGCTCACATGTTTAATGGCGACGGTCTCGCCGGTGGCCTTCTCAATGGCCTTGTAAACGACTCCAAAGCTACCACCTAGAGTCCTGTCAGCGCGCATGCACAAAGTATTCGCCGGTATTCAGACAACGTACGACCAAGCTCCTCCAAGACCTGATAATGTTCGGCGACGCCTTCGTCGGCCATCGCGGCCGATCTGGACGTCATGGCGACGCTGATACTCTCAATTCAATCGATTCCGCCGGCAGAGATGGAGCAAGAGAGAGGGAGGAGCTGGTGTTCAACCCTGGAGCCCGAGAACGGAGGGAGGTGAGGGAGCGAGAGGTTTGCGCTTGCAGGATGGTGCTGGAAGAAAGTTTCGAGAGAAGAAAAGGGTATCCAGGGAACGGGGCTGTCGTCTGTCAGTCAGGACGGCCTGGCTTGTATTTTAGACTGGACAAAGGCAATAATGGCGTCAAAGGAAGCAAGCGGATCGTCGGTGGCTCGGTTGCTTGGGGTTGCTTGGGAGAGCAGCGACTTGGTTCGGGTATCCCAGGGCCAGGGCGGGCGAGGACCAGGTCCAGGTACGGTAGTCAACGACGCCGTGCTCTCTCTGCGGTACGTGTGGTGTCTTGTGGCCGGGTTGTGTGTATCTTTTTCCTCGGTGTGGTTGCGGTTGTGTGGTGGTTCTGTGGGCTTGGGTCGTCTCAAAGCTCGGGCCCTTTTGTTTACTTTCTTCCGTTTTGGTATAGCTGGGGGAGCTCCGGGGAACCGCAATTTAGCACCAGGGTTCTAGGAGCCGGGGCGAGTCAGCCGATCTTGATACAGAAAAGCAAACGAAAAAGTGCCGGTGGGAAGCCGTTGTTTCTGAAGCATCGTGAATCGCAAACAAAAGAAAGGGAAAAAGGGTAGATGGAAAAAGGCGGGAAGCGTGGGAGCGGTGGATTGATGGATGCAAGGTAGGTTAAAAGCAAGATATGTCGACGGCAGAGAAATGTGATTGTGACCTACGAGAAGGGGCCGACTGTCGTGTGCTTGCGTCGTTTGCATGCCAGTGGACAGTGAACGTGACCCTCTTTACGTCGCTCTGAATGTGTGCTTGACGTCTTGTTCTTGGTCGAGGCCGGTGATAGAGTATCCAGAGTATGCAGACAGGTTGCCTTGCAGATACCTTAGACGGCCCAGTGTCGTCTAGTCGTTGAGTTGGCATGCAGGGCCCATCGGTAGCGTCGTCTGTGACCCAGTGGCTTCCCAAGGTTGACCCTCTGGTGTGTTGGCTTCGCTGGCGCTGGCTGCTGGGAGACAGGAACTTGAGGCGGAACAATCTGCAAGGGCGAGGCAAGGAGGGAGGGACCGGGGCGTATCTCAGCGAGTGACGGCTCTCCAAAGGCCCACGTCAAGGGAGCGATATCGTCTGCAAAACCCTGGGAACGAACCCAGCAATCTTGTCTGGTATCCGTCGTACCTTGCACGGCATCGCAGGCGGTGACTGACCAAGAACAAGGTTCCGGGGGGCACAGATGCTGCGACTCCAGGCTTGACTCTCGACGCCGCACTGATGGAGCTTAGCGCTGCTCGCCAGGCGGGATCCGCTAGTCGACGGTGGAGATGCGCCAGCCGCACAGGAGGTCGCAACCCGTTACAAGCTTGTCGCCTGCTGCGACTTTACCGCGTCCTGATAGGGCCCATGGCCGCGGGTGGGGCTCCCCCCGGCGCACAGTTGGCCAGCCTCTGCCTCCGCTTGTGGTGTTTGGAGTCGTTGCCCCGCCGACGAGCCCCTCTGTTTGTTGGTTGCCCCGGGTCCGCACCCCGGCTGGCACTGACATTCACCGCATCCCCTTCTTGGGAGTTGTGTCCGACTTTCAGGCTCGTTTGCCTTTGCCATCTCACGTCAACTCCGATTTCCTGATTACCCACTCCAACAAGGTCATTGTCGACGTGCACGCGAAAACCGCTGCATTCCTCACCTCGTCCGAAGCCATCTTCCCACGAGACCTCCAAGCCCCGTCCTCGCTTCGTCTCGCTACGGGTGCTTGAAACTTCGTCGTCATTCCCCTCCTCCGCGGTTGAGCCAGTTTCGTCTTGTTGCGCGCGCCCTGCTGTATGGCGCCCACTGCCCGTTGCAACTTACACGATCGCGTCAGATAAGCCTAATCCAGCACGAGCCGTGTACTGGACATCGCGACCGCAACCGCAACCGCAACCGCAACCGACCTCCGCGACATCGACCACCGACTGATCGCCCACCACTCGAAAACCGGCATCTTGAAATCAAAGTACCAAGATGGTGCCAGCACCGCCGCCTCTGCCGATGCGGTTTCCGTGCTGGTGCAGGGCTGTCTACTCATGGGGAGGAGAGGTCTGTAAACAGAAGTAGTTGTTTACCACACGCGCTCCCAATGGCTGACTTTATTTTTCTCACGACAGAGCAAGCGAGACCTCGGCTTCATCGAGGGCGACTTGATTGAATGTCTGAATGCCGGCGATGGTTCATGGTGGACAGGCAGATTATGGCGCGACAGGCGGACTGTGGGCGTATTTCCGTCCAACTTCGTCGAGGTGCTTCCCTCCGATTTTCGACCGACGACGAGGTCTGCAAGCCCTCTACCCGACCAGACGCCCAGCCCAAGCACACCTCAAAAATCGAGGACGTTCCGAAAGCCCTTCGAAGCGTACGCCAAGGCACCGCACTACACCGCAGCGAAGCAGCCCGAGGTTTACCGAACGAACCCCAACCCAAGGCCTAGAGGGCACTCGGGAGAGTCCATTCACAGCGCGGCACCAGAGAGCAGCAGGAGGGATCGCTCTCCGGCACCTTCAATGCTCAGAGACCGATCACCGGCGCCTTCGGCCCTCCTCTCACGAGAGAACTCTTTCAATGAAACTGCCTCGACTAGAATGCGAGCATACACAACGCCTCAGCCCAGCGGTTACGTATCGCGGGGCAACTCCTTCAACGACGGCGCACAGCAGTACATTCCAAGAGGACGCACTCCGGTGAACGACTACCACCGATCCAGGACACCAGTTCCCGAGCATCATCGTGGCAGAACGCCCATTCCTGAACACCACCGAGCCAGGACACCAGTTGTGGACCACCATCGGGCGAGAACGCCGAACCCTGATCACGACTTGCGTGCGAGAACGCCCGTTCCCGACTATGGTCATGGATCGCGAGCGAACTCTTACAACACCGAAAGAGGGGCCTCGCCCATACCTCCGCATCACGCCTCAAGAGATCCCTCACCAGCCCCTTCGTTCAGCTACAAGCCGTACCGACCTCCCCAGGGGAAAGTTGACTCTCCCCCGCCTCCACCACCCCCACCGCATCGGCACGTGGGTGCGCCGCGACACAAACAGAGCATGTCCTACGATAGTCGGCACGATATCCCTCGTCATGGGTCCAACTCTTCCTTCGAAGATCGTTTCAACCCGCGGCATGGGTCAAATAGCTCTTACGATAAGCGGACAGATCTCGTTCGTCAAGGCTCGAACGCCTCTTACGAAAACCGGCATCCTCCTTTGGACAGGCATGGTTCGCACTTGTCATACTCCCACAGACCGCCAGCAATTCAAACCCAACGGATGCCATCTCCTGCTCCACCCTCCCCATCAGCCAGTCATATGACCCCATCGCCATTGCGCGAAGCTATGGACGGCGTGATAGAGCAATTGGACGCTCTAGGAATGCCTCGAGACCCGACACCGGACCCAGCATTGGACCCGTGGTCACCCGAGTCCTTCAATATGGTCAATGACCGTCAACGAAGGAAGATTACTTACCAGCGACCCCTGACATCCATGGGAATAGCACAGCAGGACGAAGGATACGAGACTTGGAGCGGTGGATCCTCGCGCGATCAATCCTATCAGAACGGACAGAGCGGACACCGAGAAGACAAAGAGCAACTGCCTCAACTCAGTAATTACGTCGAGCGTATGGAAAGCCGTCTAAAGAAAATGCATCAACACAGCGCAAGCATGGCTGACCTTGAGGACGAGGGACCGAAGCCGCCCCCGAAAGGCGCACTTTACGAGAGACCGAAATCATCCATGGGCGGACCGGAGGAGAGGAAGCTTCGAGGGCGGAAGTCGGCTTACGATATTGGCCGGAACGTACTGAACAGGACTTTTACGACGAAGACCAACTCAACCAGCGCATCGTCCGGCAATCAGAGCTCGACGACCCAGAGCAGCGACAGGAGTTTAATGAGTGGATCCTCAGCTGGCGCCATTAGCGCTACAAGCGCCGGCAGCTTTGCTCGGAAGACCCAGAAGCGTGCTCAGAGTGCCCTTGGGATGCGTGATGCTGATATCGAACGACCGGAGACTCCCTTCACCGGGGTCACTTACCACAGCAGCCACGCATCCGATGTGGCTCGTCCGAAATCGCAAGCTGGCTTCCTCGAGGACCCAGGGCTTGGAGGGCTCGTGACTCCAAAGCCCGCCAAAAGAAGCATTTTCAAGAAGCTTCTCGACACAGCCAAGACCGGAGTCGCCTCCGGACGCAGTAGTATTGCCATGGGTGGTGACTCGCCCAGGTCGTCTCCTTTCGCTCGCTCTATGCCCAACGTCGCTTCCCCCGCTGGAAATGCCATCTCCAACATTACCGGTATGGGAAGCACTGGCTTCGGTAGGGAAGCAGCCAGGGAAATGGGTATGGCGAATGGAGTCGACTGGGTGCAGGTCCGCAGAGATGTCAATCGATCCAACTCTCTGAGCAAAAACGAACGAAATGAACGAAGAGATCGCTGTCAGATGCTTGATTACCCAGCCCTTAACCCCGTCGACGAGCTCTATGACGGCATTGAAGGTGACGAGGGCGCCGACGGCTCACCAGTCGAAGATCCCATTGATTATCAGGCATTGAACCTCACCCAAGTCGACAAGAACTCGAGATTCATTAGCAGCCTACCACCAATGACAACCGCAGTATCTCTGGCGACGACCTACGTATGTCGCCCGTACCGTAGCGATGTCCAGCGAATGCGAGCAATCTTTACCTGGGTGTCCGAGAAGATCTGCTGGGAAGAGGACTTTGAGGGGGAGATCAACACCAGGCGGGTAATCCAATCAAAGCGAGCTTGTGCGGAGGAGTACGCTGCTCTGGTACAAGAGATGTGTACCGCGGTAGGCATTCACTGCGAAATGGTTCGCGGGTACCTCAAGACGCCAGGCGAGATTCCAGAACACAACATCATGCCTCGGGCAAACCACTGGTGGAACGCCGTATTGGTCGACAATGAATGGCGTATGGTGGACTGTTGTATGGCTAGTTCATCATACCCAAGGCGGCATCTCTATTCCAGTGCTGGCAATGGTGCAGCTGACTCTTGGTGGTTCCTTGCAAGGCCGACCGAGATTTGCTGGACACATATCCCTGAGCACCACTCTCAGCAACACGTCTGCCCTCCGCAAGCACACGAGGTGCTTCTCAACCTGCCTTGCGCCTGCCCTCCCTTCTTCAAGAACGATCTCGAGATGGTCGACTATAACACAGCGGCGACTCGCATAGAAGACCTGGAGATGGTGCATATCAAGTTTAACGCTCCAGCCGATGTGGAGGTTGCAGCAGAGGTTGAGGTCCGAGGCTACACGAGGGATGTGGACGGCGACGTTTTCGAGAGCGGTGATGTGGTGAAGAAGAGGGCGCTGGCCCAAGCCGAATGGTTCAACGGTATCAAACGGTACACTGTCAAGGCTCTCCTTCCAGGCGACGAAGGCCAAGGAACCTTAAAGATTTATGCCGGCAAGCGTGGCCTGATGCATAGCATCAAGGACATCCCTCATCCGGTGGCCTTCGCCCTTCCGATCATTCATACGGGAGAGAACCCTCCCTATGAGTTCGTGACAAGGCATCCTACACCTCACGCCCAACGCCACGACATTTATGTTGTTCAGCCCCAATGCCAACGTCTGGCTTTGAATAACACCTTCGTCTTCGCGATACGACAGCACCCTAGCTCTTTGGCTAGCAGTGGATCGCCGATGACACCATCGTCGAACCCCGGAGGCGCAAGCCCAATCCCGTTCGCGAGACCCAGCTCAGCCCTGAGTATGACTGCGTCGAACGTCAGTGGATCCAACGTCTCCGGGAACGGATCATCAGGGAAGAAGCCGGCGAAGCTTGCCATTCAGACCCCCGGTGGCAAGATTCTCCGTCTTATGCGGAAGGAGGATCGCCGGGGAATCAGTGTCGGCAGCAGGGGGATCGATGAGGAGACCAGCGATGGTGGTACGTGGGAGACCATCATCAAGTGTTCGGAGAAGGGAGTGTGGAGGGGTCTCGTCCTGGCAGACCGCACCGCTCGGTGGTGCGTCTTCGCCGAATGGGTTTGCGTTGGTTGAGCAGCGTCTTGATTTTTTTTCCCATGCGTATCTGCAGAACTTCCAAGGGCAATGTTGAAAAGCAAAAAAAGGGGGAAGGGCTTTAAGCGGTCATGACACGGTTTGGTTCGGGGTACCTCATGCATATCTCGGCGTTTTCTCTTGTAAATTGCGTTGCGTCTTTTCTTCTTCTTTTTTTTGTGTTTATTTGGGTTCCTGGGCTTACGGCTTTTTGTTTCTTGATGGCCTACTACTCATCATGGTGTGGGAGTTCTCTTCTAATGTACGATACGTAATGGAAATCATGCATGTCGATGCGAGGATGGTTCTGTAAACAAAAATTTCGACGAGTACATGCCCTTCGTTCAATGAATTATGATGTTATATTCGATTTCGATTTTGCGATTATAGGCTTGCTTTTTGTGGTGTGCCTCTTGTCGAAAAAGCTGATAGCCTGTCGCATGATGCCAATGTTTACGCGGGATTCCTGCGAAGACATAGGTGGGAACTCATCATATGATCGGCATTTGACTACAACTTGCAAAGGTATGTGATTGCCGCAAAGTGCAGACATCAAATACCAGGCGAAAGATCATGTTGTGTTTGACAAAGGGTTGAGTCACATAGTACTTCAAGTCCAATACAAGTACTGATCGGAGAGAGAACGTCCTTGGATCTTGGCTCTGCTCCTGTCAACCGTGCTTTCTTCTACCTCAATTGAGCACTCAATAGAAATTGCGCTGCTTGTTTTGGTGGACAAGAATCGGTCACCTGGTTCGGTGAGAGTTGTGGTCATCACGACAAAAGGCGGATTGGATTTACATTCTTCGAATTCCTCGTTTCGGTACCTTTTGACAACCTTCAAAATACCAAAAAGCATCAGAAGGAAGCATACGGTTACATGCCTATCTCCCCAATGCAAAAGCACATATGCCGAAGCCGTGATTGTCGGCCAGCGTATGAAGCTTCCCAAAACAGATGGATTGCGCTGTACATTATTGGTCATGCTGCAATTTTGTGGATTGACACCTGCCTGTTCGCACTCAGCTCCAACCAACCCATACCACTTCCACTTCCCCTCGCACTCGGTAGTTGTCCGGATCCTCTTTCATGAACATTGCCGTAGATAAATGATCCCGACGCCCAGTCATCGCCATGGAGTCGCTGGCAGCATTGAGTCTTGCTGGAAATGTGCTCCAATTCATCGAATTCTCTTCTGAACTCGTCCGCGATGCCGCCAGTGTTTATCGGTCGGCATCAGGCCTTCCAGCAGAACTCCAAGACGTGGCGATCATCACAGAGAACCTCGCCTCCCACATGAATCGGCTTTCCACACCAGTCATGAGACCAAACTCATCCGTGAATGAGCAGGTGCTTGCCTCACTTGCCAAAAATTGCCAAGCAACCTGCTCTGATTTGCAACAGCTCGTCGAGAGCATCAGAGGAAAGACGCCTCGCTCGCGAGGCAACAGTTTTCTCGTTACTTGGAAAGCCTTGCGACGCAAAGGGGAGTTGGAAAGATTAGAGAAAAGGCTTGACAGGTATAGGAGTCAGATCTTGAGCCAAATTGTATCAATGCTGAGGTAGATATTCGTCTGTCTATTCCAATGTGGCTCCTTTATTTACTAATTCATCGCGCAGGGAGGAAAGTCACGAACATCAACATCAGATGAAAACGGCTCAATCTCCATTGGATAAAAGTCTTTTACAAGACATAACGGCCGAAATTCAAAAGTCTCGCCAACAGCTCGCTGCACTTATTGGTTCGAAGGCACCCAACGATGACGCCGTACTACCCACCAATGGGGAAGTCCTGCAGGAGATTCTCGGGGCTCTATCTAAACTGTCAGACAAAATTACAAAACTCAGTGCCGAGAAACAGATCATGGATGTCCTTTGGTTCCCCGAACTTCAGCTCCGGTTCGGGTCGATTGATGAAGCTCACAGAGGAACCTACCGTTGGCTATTGCATGACCCAGACGCTGACTTGGCACAAGCCGCACTGGATTATTCAGAAACACCATTTCATGTATCCGAAAATGCCATAAATGCCAGGAAGCCTCTCGTTGGCCAAGCGACAAGGAATAATTCTTCAAACAACACGGCCGAGAATTCCGGTCGTAATCCAACTGCATCTTCCAGCGAATCAATGAGGGAGAAAGTCCAAAGGCAGTCCTGGCGAGAACAATTCGCTGAATGGCTTCGGTACAAGGAAGACTTCTTCTACATATCCGGAAAGGCTGGGTCGGGGAAGTCGACCTTTATGAAGTGCATCAGCCAAGATCCAATGACACGGCATTTACTTGAGGCCTGGACGAGCGCAGATGGAAAAGACCTCCTCCTCATTCATCACTTTTTCTGGAACTCGGGCACTGAAGATCAAAGAAGCATGAAAGGCCTTTACAGAAGCATCTTATGGCAGGTCGTCCGCTCAAGATCTCATTTGACGCAACAAATTTTCCCGACCTTGTGGCAGAAGGCTTGTAAAGGTGCTATTCATGAATCCGACCTCGGGCTTACAGGCTTACAAGCAGCAATCAAAAACCTTTTGAGCAACCCGCAGATTCTCGGTCAAAACAAGATGTGCTTCTTTATTGACGGCCTTGACGAATGCGAGGAAGATCACTGGAGATTAGCCAACGATCTCAAACGTTGGTGTTCAGTCCCAGGTATCAAGCTCTGCGTTTCAGGTCGACCTTACAATGAGTTCCTCGCGGCGTTTGCAACAGATCCAACTCGTTGGCTGAGACTGCATGATCTGACTCGGGACGATATCCTGAGAGTAGTTCACGACCAGTTCGCCAGCGATGAAAGATTTACCCAAGCTCGTCACCTTAGCGAATTTCAAACAGAATACGATCGGCTTGCAGAACTGATTGTACAGAAGGCAGACGGCGTTTTTATATGGGTCACACTAGTGATACGCTCCCTCTTGACTGGCATTGGAAATTACTACTCACTTTCGCAACTCCACAAAAGACTAGACGCTGTTCCGGCCGAAATGAACTCCATGTTTAACTACATGATGAGCGGGATTGATCGCCTCGAACGGCAGGCAGCAGCTCGAACACTGTTGGTCATGAAGACGCTTGATACGATGGAGAGCCCAAAAATGTGGGTGTACGTCCATGCAGTCTTGGACAGCATCGCCGACAGGCCTGATTACGAAACCAATCTCCTCGATGGAAGGCTTCAACAGAACTTGGGGAGTGAAGATGGTACTTTAGGATGTGTTCCAATGGCACATCGACTGAATGGGAGATGCCGGGGATTGGTTCAAATCCTCTACACCGGCCGTAATTTTCCATATTGCCATCAGCTGCAGTTTGTCCATCGGACCTTCAGCGACTTCCTGGGCGAGCCAAACACCGTGCGAGAGTTAGAGGCAATGGCCGGAACGTTTTGTCCCTATCGTGGTGTAGCTCTTGGACTCCTTTCGGCCGTGAAACATGTTCCAGAACAGGAATGGCAACTCCCATGTCGAGAATATCAGAGCACCGAGGCATTCGGAGATACTACAGATCGTCACCAACATGAAAACGGATTTGGGGGGCCATCTTCGATGCTCGACCTGTTGCTCGACATGGCTGCCGCTTCAGAACTGACGGGTTCATGTCTCGTCACGGGAGAAATCGAGTCTTTGAAGCAGATGACACTGGAGTTCTTGACTTCCAAGGGGTCGAGGCTTGAAAGACCTGCTAGAAGTGCACTAATCACCTGGTGGATCACTGCATCTACGCCGAATGAGTTCGAAACGGCCGCACTTTGCATGGCGGCAGCATACGGTGCGTTTGAATACACCAAGACCATGATCCGGAACCAAACCCGAGATACTGGAGCCAGTAGCCTGCTACTTTTCTCTTCTTCAGCAGCGCTACGCAGCGGTTACAGACGTGCAACATCGGAGAAAGTCATGGCCATGAAGCGATTCCTCCTGGAACAAAGAGCATCCTCAAATTTTGAAGTGCGGAACGTCTGCTTCTTACAAGTCAACACCAACCATGCGCCGGGCTCGGATGTTCGAGCATATTTGCCCTCTCCACCTTGGACCCCATGGGCCATGTCCTTGATGGTGATTTCGGAGCTCAAGTTCCTCTTCCAGGACTATACAGATCCGAAATGGAAATCACTTCTGGAGCTGTACTTGGAGCATGGTGCCGACCAAACAGTCTGCTTCGTCGGATATCAACTCTCAAGAACGAAGCAAGCCCCTCAATGGAACAGACTTGGGTTCAACCAGATTTTCCGAAATGAAGGAGATGGCCTGTATGGTAATATAGAGGGACCATTCTACGCGGACTTGCAGACCATGCTTGAGATTTGGGGGCTTGAAGTGGCTTTACCCTCGGAGAATTCGTTGAGCAGGAGTTTTACTGCCCCCTGGGAATCCCTCAGCAGCTGGCTAAGCGCGCTCGCGCCGGTTACTGGGCAGTTTCAAAGAGTAACCTCGACTGAAGTTCAGAGATGGAACTTCTTGGTTCTGAAGGTTGTATCTCATAGAAAGCTCAAAGAGCTAAGGCAGTCCGAGCTAGAAGAGGCTTTGAGGCACATGATTTCGCAGGCTAAGAAGCGCTTTTAGTGGCCGTAACGCGGCACATCTTGTTCATCTGAGAGGAGAGGGATGTAATGGACAAATCTGTACCGAGCAGAGTCAATTTTGATCACCTAATGATTAATGTGGGAAGATTTCTAAGTCGTACTCATTAGTACAAGAGATTCGGGATTCTCAAATGACGGTCTCGAATTACGGAGTGGATGTTCGAGGTTGAGGTTGAAGGACTTCTTCATCCCACAAAGGGCGTCCAGTGCGTGTACTGTGTCAATGACACACAGTCAACAAATCGCACTGTATTGTATCGATAACGGCTGCGGTGCCTGGCCGACCTCACGCCTATCCCAAGTAAACAGAGCCAACGCCTACGACATCGGGAAAAACCACAGCACTACCAGCAAAATCCCTACCAATATCCAACTCCCGATCCACCGTCATCCCTGGTTCATACTCAATTGACCTATCTTAACAAAATTGTCCTGCGAAACACTCCATCGCGACGGCAAAAGAAACTACACATCTAGGGGGAAAAACAAAAAAGAAACAACCATCGCGATGGCCGACAGGACATCGCGCCAGGCGCCTCCTCCCGGCGCCCCGCGTCGCGCAGTCCGTCGCAACCTCTTTCAAGGCCTGACTAGACGTCCAACGGGCACGACAGCAGCAAACGCGAATGCGCCCACGGGTATGGCTTCCACGGCACCGACTTCTTCGTCCGGCAACTCGGCCGAGACGCTGAGGCTTGATGTCGATGTGCTCTCCGACGGCAGCGCGGCGCCCCAGGGGCCCCTCGAGATTGTTGTGCGCGATGAGCACGGTGAGATTGAAATCGGCGAGCTGCCGACGCTGGTGTTTGATGAGGCGGATGAGGCCGCGCTGGATGATCGCGAGGAGAGCAAGAGTACGTTGCTTCGTTCAAACTTTGCATTGAGGGTATAGAGCTATGTATGCTAACTATTGGTATAGAGGAGCGGCAGAGGCTTGCGGAGGCCGTGAAGCAGCATCAGGTCAACCACACTGCCGTTAGCGAGCAACCTGAAGGTAAGCTAACCCCTATCTGACGACTCCGAGGTGCGCTGCTCCTGATTAATCCCCACAGAGCTACTCGAAGCCGTGAAGGCGAGTTTACGGGCTAAGGTTGCTGCCCTCTCCGAAGACAACTGGAGGTACGAGGCCGAGCCGGAGCAGCCTCGTGGCTACTGAGCGGCACAAGCCAACTTTAACCGTTCTTTTACGGCCTGGATTCGCATTCGTTCCAAGTATGTTCATTATGATCGCGCTCGCTATGCGCGATGGCCATCTACGCCGAACAACTGGAACATCTAGTCAAGTCCCTCAGCCTGGGGCGCCTCCACACGTCTCGGGGCGGGGCGTCTTTGCTGCGGCGCACCACCGCCAGGGCCGCCAAACAGGCCGCCCATCATGTCCATGAGCGGGTTGCTCTGCCTTGGGCGCTGGATACCAAAGTACATCTCAGCGATCAGCTCGAGAGCCTCGCTCCATGCGCCGACCTCGGAGATATTAGAAGAGTACTTCGTGGCGAGCTGCTTGTAGACGTCCGGGGTGCCGCGCTGGATGGCGAGCAGGAGGAGGCCGAGGAAGTTGAGGAGGGGCAGGCCAGGGAAGATGCGCAGGTCGGCGCTGTTGCTGCTGACATCCTGGACGCCGAGGCCCTTGTTGTCGTCGCTGAGGGAGGAGGTGAAAAGACGGTAGGAGGTGTTGGCCGCGCGGACGTTGCCAACGAGAAGGTATGGGAGGATCGCGCGCGCGGCGTAGAGAGGGGCGGTGTGCGAGTCGTCCTCCTTGTACCAAGCGTACTCCATACGAGCGAGGACCTCAGCCGAGTCCTTCGTACCTAATACCAAGTGTCTTTCCGCCTCGTAGGGCTCGTGTTCTTCGGCGTAAAGTGATCCAGCGACGTTGTGGAGATCGGAATCACCGGCGGGGTACTCGCCGAACTTCGATGACCACCTGTATGTCCAGTTAGACACGAGGTCTGCTTCTTCAAGTTTCCAAGAAAATACTCACGCAACCATCTCTCCGACAAACTTCTTTCTGGTCGGTTCCGCCGCAGGGAACAAACGCAAGCACGTAAGCAGCTTGCCCTTGTTTGTGGCGTCGGGCTTCAACTCAGCCTGCTTGAAGACGTCGACAAGCATGACGCACAAGTCACCTCCAGAGCCACCCTGGCCGGCCTTTAACAGTGACTGGGCGACATTGTAGAGAATATCGGTGGCGGCGGGCCAGTTGGCGGCCTTGATGTAGCGGGCAGCAACCACGCGAGTCTGCTGCTGGGCCTCGTAGTACTGGCCCTCCTGAATGCGGGCTTGCAGCCGCGCGATGATCTTCTCGATCTTGTCGGCCTTGGCGGCCATGGTGGGTGAACGGTACGACGGTCGGGTGCTGGGATCTCGAATCGGAGGGGTGGCGGCGAAAGGGAGGTGAAGCTGGTTTGATGTGACGATGTGGTTTTGGAGCTCGCTGGCGTTCGGTGTTGGAATGGTGGGGCTTCAGGTACCTTCAGCCCCTCAGCTTTGGAATGCTTCCCTGTGCTTCTGCTCAGGTCGGTTAATCCTCGGCACCCTCTCGGTGAGCTCGATGCGGGATGACGCACTGACCAGTACCTTAATTCCCAATGGAGCAGGGAGATGATGGTGGGTTATCAATGGAGATGAGATAATTCGCCCAAGAATATGGATTTCACCAGGTGTTGTCCATTTGATCGTCAAATCGGAGCATTCGAGCAATGATTAGGAGGTCATCCTCAATGATCATTGTGTTCTTGCACCTGAAATGCTCCTGTCCAGCGCTCACTATAGTCCACATCACTCTTATATGATGAGAAGACTCTCTACCTCAAGGGTCGCATACTGAATTTATAGTTGATCAAAATTCCCCTTGGATCGTTCCCTTAGGGTTTGTTTTCATGATATAGCACATTACCGTGTTCAATCTCTTTGGAAAGTTTGCGAACTACATAAGCGAGAGCTTGTTTGTGACTAATTACTTGAGAAAGAATGGCCAGACGGCGGTAACCAGAGTAGGGTTGTCTTAACTAAATGCTTGAACTTGAATCAAACTCAATTTAATTAGCTAATTGATCAAATTTATTGCTCAGAAGATTTATCCTGTCTGTTGTAACTGATAGGCAATGTGACAACGCTACCGACAGCACAGTGCCCGAAGTCGGCTACGGTGCAACCCCTCCGAAACCGCATCAACCGGCGTTTAGGTGCGTCAGCTCCTCCAACTCATTTGAATCATGCATCTTGGTATATACAATCTCGAGAACTCACGGCTGGGAGTGAAACTGCTTCGTCAATCAGAAAGTCGAAACAGCAAAGAAAAACATGTTCCGAATACCTGCCTCCCATCTTCGGGCCGCTGGCTCTGGCTCCAGGCACCTTACCCTCAACGCACACCGTGCAGCTTACACCCCGCTGCGCATACACGTACGGCACGCGTCTCAGTTATCCAAAGCCCCGGCCGTACTACCACCACACTCCAAATTGCCTCTCAAAGTTCTGTTGCGATCACTTCTAGTTGCAACAATCTCATCCACCAGCTTCTTGCTGACGCCGGTCCTGGGAGTCCTCAAGTTTCTTAACGACTCACCTCGATTTTGGGTGTTCGATGTTGAGAAGAACCCGTTACTACATGGCTTGATGAAAAAGACCATGTACAATCACTTTTGCGCCGGCGAGAACCAAGTCGAGGTCACATCTACCATCAGCGAGATTAAGCGGATGGGTTTCCGAGGGGCCATTCTCACCTACGCGCGGGAGATTGTTGTTGACAATCAGACAGAGGAGGAAGTTGGCAAAGGCATGTTGGAGTCAAAGAATGAGACAGAGGTTGAGAAGGACTCGGGTATTGAGGCATGGCGAGAAGGGGTACTGACGACGGTTGAGATGGTTGGCGAAGGTGATATTCTTGCTCTCAAGTAAGTTCCCCACCATGACTTACTCAAATACCATCTTACTGAGAGCGAATTTCAGACTCACGGGCGCGGGACCGGCTGTGTCAGAGACACTGTCATCTGGGAAACCTCTGCCCAAGCAAATGGCGGAAGCTCTCGCTGAAGTATGCTCCCGGGCTGTCGAAAGAAAGGCTCGCATCTTTGTCGACGCCGAGCAGATCAAGGTTCAACCTGGAATCGATGCAGTGGCACTCGATCTCATGCGCCAGTTCAACACGAACGGCAGAGGCGCTGTAGTCTACAACACCTATCAAGCATATCTCAAGGGCACACCGGACGTCCTGGCAAAACACATGGAGATAGCCAACAAGGACAACTTCGTGCTTGGTGTTAAGCTTGTCCGCGGCGCATATATCAGCTCCGAGCCGCGCCAGCTCATTAACGACACCAAGGAAGATACGGACGATTCCTACAACTCTGTCGCAAGCGGACTCCTGTCTCAGAGATACCGAGACTTTGGGAAGGGTGGAGGAGCTAATTTCCCTGAGCTTGAGCTCTTCCTCGCAACGCATAACAAGCAGAGTGTCCTAGCAGCTAACAAACTGCAGCAATCTCGAGTTGAGATGGGACAGCCGTTGACTAAGATCCAGTACGGGCAGTTGCTGGGCATGGCCGACGAGGTCAGTTTCGGTCTGTTACAGCTAGCGGATATCACAGCTAAAGAAAAGGGGGCGAAGGGAATGGCACCGATGGAGGTCTACAAGTGCTTAAGTTGGGGCTCATTGGGAGATTGTCTTTCATATCTTCTGCGACGGGCGGTTGAGAATCGGGACGCTGTCTCACGAACGAAGTCTGAGTTCAATGCTCTGAAGACAGAGGTGTGGCGTAGACTCACGAGTACTGTATCATCTTAACGAAAATCAAAGCCAAATTCTCTATCAATCGAGCCTTCCAGCCCTCTGTTTCTGGCCCAACTCTCGCGTAATCGACGACGTCCATTCCTGTGGTGCCTTATTCCCTCTTCAAGACGACGAAGAAGGCAGGAATTTAGAGCATGTGAGCTCGCAGGAAAAGAAATTTCTCTAGCGCAGAAAAAATAGAGAGTCTCTTGAAAGTATAGTCAACTCAACCTAGTGCAGATCTTACCATCTCAGCAGTCGCAAACGTGCCAGCAGAAACTGGCATCGCTCTAAGCAGAGCAGGACCTAGACCCCTAAACATCGCCCTGAACTTGCCTTCCCTCCACGTCTGCTTAAACGCATCCCTCATGTTCGCATGCTTCTGATCCTTGCCATACCCGTCGCTCTGCATCTTACTCTTGATCACGTCCAGGGGGTGACTTCCAAGCCAAAGTGCCTCCCCAGCAAGACCTCCACAGACGGCGATCTTCCAGCTGGGCACGTCTTTTCTGTCTTTGATGCCATCCCGCTCCATCACGAAACGTACCAGGCCCTCATAGGCTGCGAACCAGATGCCATATCCGTGGAACTCTCTCAGGAGAGTGACAACTTGGCCTCGGTAGAGACCTTTGACGCCTGAGTGGCCCTTGATTGTACGGACGCAATCCCACGGGCCCGAGTACAGGCGGTTTACGCCGCTCGGCTGGGTCTGAAGCCTGATACGGACGTGTTCGATTGGACCGGATATGACGCTGTTAGTCAAACCAGCTGCTCCGCCTACGAGGTAAAAGTCGGACAAAGACAGCGATAGGCCGTTGGACTGGGTTATCCCGCGGAAGTCTTCAAGCTGCCTGCGAAAGAATTGGAAAGCGCCGAATTGAATGCTGACCTGGACGCAATGCCTTTAGAGGACAATGATATATTGATGGAATAGACTGAGACTTACGCAAGCTCCAACACCTATGAGAGGGGCAAGAGTTCCCTAATACCATGAGATGAAGTTCAAGTCTCATGAATCTTGTAACCAACCTTGTAAAACGCCAGCGGCCCTTCACGGGCCCAGATCGTTCGAGCAAGACCCAGAGCATTTCCTCCTCTTTGGGTTTGAAGTCGTACCTTCACCAGATCTGTCGATGCCGACGGGTCAATGTGTTGCTCTTATACGGCTCCGGAGTAGTGCGCCCTCTTCCTGACACGTACCAAAAGGCTGGCCTGAGTCTTGTCAGCAATAGGGCTCGTCAAAAGACTGCGTCAGAGTCAGATACGAGCACTTGAACTCATACCTATCAGAACCTGCGCGACTCCTCCCGCCGCGCCGGCAGTGATGTCTTTGGCCGATTCGAGAGTTGAGTTGCCCATGTTGTATATCGTCACTGCGACAGAGGACACCAGCACCAAGAGGAACTCACAGGTTTCGGAAAACCAGCATGCACATCCAAAATGCCATGAATCGTTACTCCAAAGAAGCTCATCGACCGTTATCGGTGCTTCGGCATATGGGGTCGCACCGGCATGAGATAACGGAGCGGGGTGATCGTGGTCGGACCGTATGCGCGATCGGCTAGCTGGCCACCGGCAGTGTGGGCACGCTGCCGACACCGTCGGTAAGGTGCATATGTCGTCGGCAAGATACCCCACGGCACACGAAGCATGTATATCGCTCACTGGACCTTATAAACTGTGTGATCAACTATGTAGAAGTATTGATGAGTGTGATCCTCTGTTTGCAACTTGTAAAGTACAGCCCGTCATGACTTCTCCCATGCTGCAACAACTCTCCAAACCCATGAACAGGGCCGCCCGATCACCACAAGCGCTGCGCCTTGTTTCGTGCGTGAATGCCAGAGCTTTTGGAACTTTCAAGGCTCCTCCGATTCGAAATGAGCCAAATGTAAGTTGCCGGAAGATCTCCAAAATTCAATGAATCAAGGAAACTGATAGTCGCTCCCAGCCATCATACAGCAAGGGATCGGTAGAGCGCCAGAAGCTTCAGGATGCCATCACTCGACTCAAGAGCGAGCTTCCTATCAAAGTGCCATCTCAGATCTCTCAACTAAAAGTTTGCACCCTTTCCATAGCCTTTCAGTCTCAGTCCATCACTGATGCGTACCGAGCAGGACGCAACCATCGCCAAGCAACATATTCCCAGTGATCACTCTAACGTGCTGGCAGAGTACCTGCAAACGACCCCTGAGCAAGTCAAAGAAGCCATAACGAGAGCTTTGGAAGCCAAGTCTGCCTGGGAAAACACATCCTTCACCAATCGTGCCGCTATTTTCCTCCGCGCAGCCGAGCTCATTGCTGGCAAATACCGGGAGAGTATTATGGCCGCTACGATGCTTGGACAAGGCAAGAACATTTGGCAAGCGGAAATTGATTCAGCAGCTGAATCGGTTGACTTTCTTCGGTAAGCGATTGATACTACACACTTATGATGCGAGTTTGCTGATAAAATTCCCTCCCATAGCTTCAACGTCCACAACGCCGCCGAGCTGTACAAGCAACAAAACATCTTGAATGATGCTGGAGTCTGGAAGTAAGTCAAACCCGGTTTCAATACATGTGTCTTACACCTGTAAAGTACCATATGCTGACTAGGTACCCCCCAGCCGAACTGAGTACCGCCCCCTCGAAGGCTTCGTCTACGCAATCAGCCCCTTCAACTTCACCGCAATCGGCGCAAACCTGACTGTTGCGCCCGCAATCATGGGCAACGTCGTCCTCTGGAAGCCCTCAGACTACGCCCTGTACTCCAGCCACCTCCTCCACAAGATTCTTCTCGAGGCAGGCCTTCCTCCCAACGTCATCCAGCTCATCCCAGGCGAAGCCGAGCCCATCACCTCTTCCATCCTCCAGCACCCCAAGTTCGCAGCCCTTCACTTCACTGGATCCACCGATGTGTTCCGTCAGCTGTACGGCAAGATCGGACAGGCCGTGGCAGAGGGTCGGTATGAGAGCTACCCCCGCATTGTCGGCGAGACGGGCGGCAAGAACTTCCACCTTGTCCATGGTAGTGCTGATGTGCGCAATGCTGTGGTCAACACCATCCGCGGTGCTTTCGAGTATCAGGGGCAAAAGTGCTCGGCTACATCTCGCCTGTATGTGGCCGAATCGGTCTGGCCCGAATTCAAGAAGACACTTCTGGAAGAGACTGGCAAGCTCAAGGTTGGCTCGCCTGAACAGGTCAACAACTTCATCGGGCCCGTCATCCACGAAAGGTCGTGGAACAAGCTGAAAGCAGTCATCGACAAGGCCAAGAAAGATCCTGAAGTTGAGCTCTTGGCAGGAGGTAACGCGGACAAGAGCAAAGGCTGGTTCGTCTCGCCGACGATCTTCCAAACCACCAACCCAGCAAATGAGCTCATGAAGACGGAATTCTTTGGCCCGATTTTGTCAGTCTACGTCTACCCTGATGAGAAGTACGAGGAGCTGCTTCCTGTGATTGACTCGACAACACAGTTCGGCCTGACCGGTGCCGTGTTTGCTCGCGATACGAAGGCGATTGAGGCCGCCGAGAACGGTCTACGCCATTCTGCTGGCAACTTTTACATCAACAGCAAGAGCAGCGGAGCCGTTGTCGGTCATCAGCCCTTTGGTGGTGGCCGGGCTAGCGGTACCAATGACAAGGCGACCAGCACCAACCTTTTGGCACGCTTCACCAGTATCAGGAGTCTGAAGGAGGATTTTGTGGGTGCTGATACTGTTCTATATCCCTCGAATGAGGTTTGAATAGAGCCGAGGTATTAGGGGAAAAGGAAATCGGGTAGAAGTTACAAGCCACGTTCAATTGAACCCAAAATCAAAATCTAACATGTCCATTCCAGTGAGACCCATCAGCTGCAGGTGATTTTCGCTGAACATCTGCAAGTCGATGTTGAGGTCTGTTTCGACGGATGGTTGTCTTTGATCTGCCGTAGTCTGTGGCGGCGGCGGTAAGACATCATCGCCAGTGCGATCGGCATCGAGGCCAGGTTGACTTCGGAGAGGGCGAGACATGCCAGGTGTGGATAGATTGCGCAGTTGCAGAAGGGCAGAAGCCTCTTCCCACAACCTTCCGCCTGATCCCGATGCCGCTGGGTTGCTCAGAAGCCCTCCAGGCGCAGAAGGCGCGATGCCTGAGACTGCTGTGGTGCTGGAGAACCAGTCAGCCCAAGCTATGTAGGCTAATTCCGATGACCCTTCCTCGCGGGTGTCCTGGGCTTCCGATGCTCCTCCCACAAGTCTTATCTTTGAACGTGCTTCTTCTGCAATGGCCATGAGAGCTTTCACAAAGTTGATTGCCATGCGACCAGCAGTGTGCATGTTAGACATTTTCCGAAGGCAATCCAGGCCGAACGCTACCTGAGCGTTGTACTCTGGATCCCTAGATGTGATACCGGTCAGCACCAGCATGATGGTAGCGATACTGCAAGCTTGAAAGTCTGTAAAAGAGCTAGGTGCAAGATTTCCAGACTGACTAGCGCTCTCGAGAAGACCGAGCATCTTTTGAGCTGCTTTTTTGCAATAACGAAACGGGCCCGACATGAGACTGACTCCGTCAATGATGGCGTCTGTAGATTGGTTCTTTCGCAAATAGAATCGAGTCATTGCCACAACAGATGATTTACCAATAGCTATCCATGCAAAGTGATAGTTGAGGTGGAGATGGAAGATAGCGCGATAGTAAGGAGACCTCGGGTCCAGATTTGTCAAATCCAGACCCGTCAGGTGGTCATTCTTGTAAGACTTCAGAAGATCATGGTACTCCTTTAGTGGAAGTTGAGAATCACTCGACCAATTCCTACGCCAGCAAAGTTAGTATGGCAAACTTGGCGAACAGCTCGTTCTACTTACGCTGGTTCAACGAGTTTGTCGATGACTTTAACAAACTCAGCATTTGCGATTTGGTGCAAAACATTGCGATATGGTTGACCATAATCATCAGGCGTTAGATTAGGTAACCTGGCTGTAATGATGTCCTGAGTGACAGATCTAGGCCTGTTCAGTTTGATAGTAAGGGTCCTGGCGCAGAAGTTAGCTAAACCCACAATCGAATATTATCTTTTCATTAGTACCTTTCAAGTGAATAAATGGCCCACCATAAGCGGCGTCTCATCTGCTTTTCATGGTCAAGGATGCTAGGGTCGTCTATTTCCTGATGAAGACCAAGTATAAGTGCCTTTCTCAGTGCCAACCCCATGTATAAATAGGAGGCACCGATGGCACTTGATGGCATAAGATAGGCGCCCAGAACAAATGCGGCCTTGACGGAGTACATGCTCACTCGGTCCATAGTATCGGCCATGAGAATGCGAGCATGATCGCCGAAAATTTGCCCTGGGTCACCTGGACAGATTGGAGCATCTATGCCTTCCGGGCGTGCTCGTGGGGTCCATTGACTGCCGAGGGCAAAAACCGCGAGCAACAGACATACAAAACTGGCGTCCCGGCGAAGGGGGGATCTATCATTAGAGTAGAACTCCCGTAACTGCGCTAAAAACTCTTGCTGGTCAAAATAGAAGAAACAGTCGGTCCCGTGCATTATGCATAGCGTAGCCAAAAAGTCTGCTACTGGCCAGGGCGGCAGGATGCCGATGGCAGCTTGCAGACGAAGACCTTCTGCAGACTTCGGAATCGATGAAGTATATGCTAGATCGGCCTCTAGTCTGGTCATATCTCTCTCGGCAGGTGACGGATGTGGCTCGAGGTAGAAGGCATTCCTGAGACGGGACAGGAAGCGAGGCCACATGAAGTTCTCAGGGGCATCGCCATCGGAACATAGATCCCGCCGCGAAGGAGGGTCTTCTGGGCCATCGGCAAGAGGTTCGGCGTTCGAGGTCGGTGTCAAATTCGATGATGGAGTTTGATGTAGTGCCGAAGCCTCCAAATCTCGTGGTCCTGGTGTAGGCGTTTCCTGCCGCTCGAAGCTGCATGTGTAGGATCCTTGCTGGCATCGTTGGCAGATACCCGATGGTGTCTCAATGCATTTGCTTTTCCGAGCCTTGCAACGGGTGCATGCTCTCGAGGCCCGCTGGCGGTCCTCTTCGGCGATTCGACGTCGACGGACGCGGCGTGATGAAGTAGCTGGCGGCATGGTGTGCGATCCGTTGGCCTATGGTTGGTTGCCGAACAATACGTGGAATAAGGAGGGAGAATTCGTCGGCAATGTCCACGTTGGACAACTACCCGACTCGCGCACAGATCATTTGAAATGAGCAACGGGCCGACGCTTCCTTACCTAAGCAGTCGGTTGTGCGCCCATCTTTGCGGCGAGCTTTTGAGCGTCACACTTGCTTTACCTCTGCGTTTGGCAATACATGAATGCGTCCATGAGGTTCGTTTGAAGAATTTTAACGATGGTATTCAACTGTAGAAGGCTTCCCACAGTACCGATAGATATTTGCGCATTTGCAGTCGGTGTGGTATAAAAAGAGCGAGGACTTCAGGTAGTGAGTGGGTAACTAAAATACCCTTCTATGTTCTACGTTCGGTGGTCAATCCATTAGCTCAGAGCCCAAATACACGTCGTTCAATCCTCGAGAGGAAGTTTGATCACAAGGACAAAAACGGCAGCAAAAAAAAACATTCTTTCCAATGATTGCGAATGAGAGCAAAAGTTAACCTGAAAGGGACGAGACTCGAACTCGCGCGGGTTGCCCCACCAGGAATGTAGCTAAGGTATCCTTAACCTGGCGCCATAACCAACTCGGCCACCCTTCCATTGGTTGTTGAAGAGGCAGGTTCCAAATGTTACCAAGAAGCTCGGGGGCGCAGACCGCACGCCAGGCAGTTAGAAACAACCGGCTCCGAGTCGGAAGAGCGACGACCGAAGACACACACCTACACAACTGCGACCCGACAACCCGCGAGCAAGCAACGAAGCCCCAAACTCAATGCATGACAACCCGCGGCTGAAATGGCCGGGCTAGGCTCCGACCTCAACTCTCCAAATTTCCCATTTAGCCGCGAATACTTCCCCCCTCCATGAAGAAGAGTTCCACATGGGCTACCCCTCCCTCATCCTCTCCACCCCCACTGAACCCCAACATATGATCAGCGGGAGGAAGGGGGGATGCCCCTCATGCCCCTCGCACCAAGCACCGAGCTACATAAATATTCCGTAGACGATCCTGCGGCCTCGCTCCAAGCAGGCGACGACATTGGTGCGAGGGCTGCCCCACCATCTTACCATGCCGTCGCCCAGCTAGCCCGATGTCTACGCGGGATGAGGTGTTGGTCTCTTGTGACGGGTCATGTAGGCCGGGGTAATTCAAGAGCGAGGTTGTTGTTACGTGGGATGCTGGACATGACCTTGGAGCTCTCCCCCGCCTCGTCTCATCTTCGTCTCTTTTCTCCTTCATTCTTCAGTCGACAATTTGCTCCCACGTAGTTTTCTCATCCAAGGTTTCGCACTCGTGTGATTTGCCAGCTGCACGCCATGGAGGAACCCAAGACCGGCCTCGTGCTGGGCTATAATGGCGCCCACCCTTTCTCCAAAGTGAAGCTGTCTGACAGAGCATCGGTGCAAGAGCTCCTCCGGACCCTCCTCGACCCGCTCGAGCCCTTCTTCTCCCCGCAAAAGGCACGCGTCAAGTGTCCCGGCGGAACGGCCGTCAGGTTCGACCAGGCCGCTGCCGAAGTTGAGGGTATCTGCCGCCCACTTTGGGGTCTGGCATGTCTCCTGGCCGGTGGAGGCGAGTATCGTGGTACCGAGTGGTGGATTCAGGGTATCAAGTCTGGAACTGATCCAGAGAACCCTGAGTACTGGGGATACCCGAGAGACAATGACCAGCGCATGGTTGAAATGTGCCCTTTTGGTGAGGTCCGCGGTCGTGAGGTGGAATACCCGGACTAATGGATCATAGGCTTCTCACTCGCAGTCGCACCCGTCATTTGGGATAGTCTCTCCGAAAAGGAACGGGGCAACGTAGAGAACTGGCTCGGAAACTCGATCAACGAGAAGAAGTGAGCTGTGACTCTTTCATTAAACCTCAAACAATTCCTAACAGGACATCAGTATGCCAAACACCAATTGGCTCTGGTTCCGCGTCTTCGCCAATCTAGGCCTCAAGAAGAACGGCGGAAAGTTCTCCCAAGAACGTCTCGACGCCGACATTGAGCATCTCAACACATTCTACCGAGGCGGCGGCTGGTCCAACGACGGCCCCGAGGGCATTCACATGATGGACTACTACTCCTCCAGCTTCGCCATCCAGTTCCTCCAACTCCTATACGCGAAGCTCGCCGGTGAGGATGAGCCCGAGCGGGCTGCGGAATTCCGACGGCGAGCACAGCAGGTTGCGCTGGACCTCGTGCACTACTTTGACGAGGAGGGCCGCGCGATTCCCTTCGGTCGCAGTGTAGGATACCGTTTCGCCATGGTGTCGTTCTGGGGCGCGCTTGCGTACGCCGGTGTTGAGCTGCCTGCGCCCCTGACTTGGGGTATGGTGAAAGGCATCGTGATGCGACATTTGAGGTGGTGGCAGACGCAGCACGGCATGTGGACACCAAGCGGGACGCTGTCCATTGGCTATTCGTACCCGAACATGTATATGGCAGAGAATTACAACAGTCCTGGAAGCCCGGTGAGTTTCCTCCACACAGGGGCGAAAATGCCTTTACTGACTTTCGTAGTACTGGGCCTGCCTCGCCTTCATCTGCCTAGCCGTCCCCGAAGACCACCCATTCTGGACCTCTGAAGAGGAACAGGCATGGCCGGTCATCCCCAAAATCAAGCCCCTCGAGCAGCCCGGCCACATCATGAGCAACATTGGTGGACACTGCATGCTCCTTTCCTCCGGCCAAGCCTGCAGCTATCCCATGAAGGGCACGCACTCGAAATACGGCGGCTTCGCGTATTCCAGTTCATACGCATATTCTGTTCCGCCGGGCCTCTTTTCTCTGGAGCAGTATGCCTTGGCCTCGCAGCTGGGCCTATCAGACGACGGGGGCGAATACTGGAAGACCCGAAGACGCTCAGAGTATGCCGGTATCGAGACCAGAGATGGCAAGCCGGTGCTTGTGTCAGCCTGGAAGCCTTTCCCCGATGTTGAAATCAAGAGCATTCTCGTTCCGCCGGAAGAATCGACTCCGAACTGGCATCTCCGCATCCATCATATCAAGGCCGGCCGCGATGTCATGACAGCCGATGGCTCTTTTGCCATCTGCAACGAGAACTCGATAAACGGGCGTTACCTCGATCTCTACGATGCGAAGACTTACGAGGGAACATCTCCTAAAATCATTGGAAATTACGATACGAACACACCAGAGGGCCTTGCCAAGGGCAGTGACGGCTCGTTTGCGGTGTCCAAGGGTGCTGTTGGCATTAAGGCTCTGGAGAGCTCCATCGAGCGAGTAGCCAACCTCGTCAATGCGGATCCGAACTCGAACCTGGTCGAGAACCGCACGACCATTCCGACGCTGCAACATACTATCAAGAAGGGCGAGTCGGTCTGGTACGTGACCGGTATTTATGCGAAGCCGAGCGGCCACAAGGAGGCATTCCTCGATGGGTGGGAGAAGTCACCTGCTATCCCCTCATGGCTTGAGGCGGAGATGAAAGCTTGAATATTATAAGAGGTCTTGGATGAATGTAGATGATATTGATGAGTCTTTTTGTGCAAAGGCGTCAAATTTGTCACCCTGTAAATGTTGAATTATGTCAATGCTCCCTAAATATCCCCATATAGCTTTTCAAATCCGTTTTGTCCCTCTTTTGTTAAATGCTCCTTTCCATGGTATCATAAGATCTGTGGCGCTACGCAAGCACCCTCACCAACACCCTCTCAAGCCTTGGCAAAAGACTCGATAAAAGCAGCAAGCTTCTCCGCGCCCTCGAGAGGAATGGAGTTGTAGTTGCTGGCACGGATGCCACCGACACTGCGGTGGCCCTTCAGACCGGTCAAGCCGATGCTGGTGGCGTCCTTGAGGAAAGCCTTCTCCGTAGCATCAACGTCGCCGCCCTTGGTGACGCGGAAGCAGATGTTCATGCGGGAGCGAACGGACTTGTCGGGGACGATGCGGTAGACATCAGGGTGCGCCTCGAGAGCGGTGTAGATCAGGGAGGCCTTCTTGTTGGCGACAGCCTCCTGGCCGGCGGCCTTGTCAGGGAAAGTGCGCAGCAGCTTCTTGAGAACCTGTCCGGCAACGTAGACGCTAATGCCTGTTAGATGGATCCCAATTGACAGGGGTGGGTGGTATCATGACTCACTCAAAGATGCTCAAGGTGTTGTACAGGGAGTTGTTCTTGGCAATGGTCTCGTAGGAGAGAACGATGGGGCTGATGGGGAGACCCAGCTTGCGCATCAGCGCGGGCGAGGGCTGCGCCGCGAGGAGGCTCTTCTTGATGACCACGACCGTGACACCGGTCAGACCAAGGTTCTTTTGCGCACCAAAGAAGATGGCACTGTAGTTCTTGACGGGTACCCTGCGGGAGAGGATGTTGGAGGACATGTCAGCCACGACAATGGGTCCCTCGCCGTTGTCCTTGGGTGCCAGGGAGGCGGGGAAGCCGGGGAACTCGACGCCGTCGACGGTCTCATTGTCGCAGTAGTACACCATAGCGGCGCCCTCGCTGAGCTTCCAGTCCTTCTCGTCAGGGATCTTGCCAAACTTGCCGTCGTTAACCTTGCGAGCGTCCGCTGCAACGTTGACGAACTCGGAGCCGAGCAGTCTCGCGGCCTCGGCGCTCGCCTTCTGGGACCAGCCGCCGGTGACGAGGTAGTCGAGCTTGAGCTTCTCGTCGACGATCTTGCGGAGCTCGGCGATAACCTCGGGGGTGTCTTCGGTGGCACCCAGGCGCTTGAGCACAGCGTCACGCTGGCGGGCGACCCATGCGCCGACGAAGTTGTAGACAGTGGCGGAGAACTCGCCGCTGCCGCCGGCCTGCATGAAGAGGATCTCGTAGTCGGAGGGGATGTCGAGGTACGTCGTCAGGTCGGCCTTGGCCTCCTCGAGGATCTTGGTCGCGATCTCGCTGCGGTGGGAGTGCTCTGCGATTCCCAGGCCGGTGTTGTTGTAGTCGAGCAGGGCCTGAGCCGCCGTCTCGAGGACGTCGGTGGGCAGCAGCGCGGGGCCGGCGCCGAAGTAGGTGATGTCGGCGCGAGTAGGCATGTTGGGCGGTATACCGGTGTTCAATTAGGTCGAGAGATGGCAGTAGGGAATCAGCAACACAAAATTGCAGGAAGACGGGCCGTCCGGGACGTTTTATGTCGGGATGAATCGGTTCTCGTGAGTCACGGAGGGGAGTGGTGCCAGTGGAAAAAAAAGTCGCTATTCCAGACACCGCAACCCCGCCAAAGTGCGGAAGAGACACCGGTGTCGGCACAAAAAGTGACGTGACTGGATGGAGGGGTCGTTCCCCAGATTTCAGCGTGCAGCGGAGTGGGGTGCCGCTGGAATCTCGCCGCGGCGGGGTCTCGCTTCGGGCGCTGCGATCCGCGAGCCAGGGCGTTTTTTGGGGGCTAGGTCTTGGGGTTCACGGTGTTTCTCTTGGAGGTTGGGCCGGAACAGCTGCCTTTTCTGCCCTCATCCAGCTGCGGTTGCAGGCGTCTATCAGGGATTGCAACCTTAAAGGCACGTCTTGCCGCTCCCCCTGTACATCTGATCGCCCGTATCATCCTCTAATATCGAAGCTCTGATAAAGATGCCGTATTCACATTAGCATCACTCCTTTCCGCTGCCGTCGTTTCAAGGCCACCACCCCCCGCTACTCGATGCATGCTCGCCCAACGACCAAGGCCTGCATACAAATCCCCACGCACCCACCCCTCAAACATTCATCCCGCGTCCGGACCGTCTTGCTCTCTTGACAATTCCCATTGATCGCGATGCAACGTTGATTGGCTCGTCATTCCAAGAAGAGCAACTCCGACGGCCGCCAGACATGGCTGACCGCAAAGCACCAGAAGCCGCGGCGGCGAGGCACACTCACTCCATTCCCGCGCCGTCTTTCCGTGAGCTCAAGATTATTCTATTCAATTCAAGGCGTACTGTAGGCTGATAGAAAGCAGCAACCCACAACTCGCCTCGAACATGGTTTCTCACCACCGCCCTTTCACCGCTCATCATCCGGCTCATCAGGCTGCTGCTGGCCCATGGCGATTACGTCGTCGCATGCCTCCCGCCGAGTGAGATTGAGGATGACGAGCGCAGCGCCGAGTTTAGAGAGCTCATCAATGAGTGTAAAAGTAACCGAAAAGACCGTGAGGGTTGGAAGGACAGGATACGCGGCATCCGCTGCGATGGACGTGTCATGGGCCAGTGTGGCGCCGCGGTTGCAGAAGCCGTACAGGTGTTTGGAAGAATAGATATCTTGCTGTGTTGCAGGTCTGAAGGTAAACCAGACAGGGGCCATTCAATCGAAAGCGAGGCTAACACGGGATAGCTGTCGTTGGAAGCGTCGAGGAGCTCTCCACGAACCCTCAGACCCAGAACCTGGTTCGCGACCAATTCGAGACCGTCTTCTTCTCCCAGGTCAACTTCATCAAGGCCGCTCTACCGCTCCTACGTTCTCAGCACACGGGACACATCATCATTCTCTCCAGCACGGGCGGTCACATAGGAACGCCGGGAATGCCCATCTACACCTCCGCAATCTGGGCCCTCGAGGGCTTCTGCGACTCCTTGGCCTACGAAATCGCCCCCTTCAACATCAAGGTCACCATCGTGCAGCCGAACAAGGAAATCCAGTCCTTGACGAACAAGATCATATTTGCCCCCAATCTGCCCTACTACGATTCCGAGATCAACCCCGCCCCGAGCATCCGAGACATGCTTGGCAACGTGCTCAACATGAACCCTGACACTGCCATGGAGCAGTCTGATACGGAGGTCATTGTGAGATACCCAAAGCTGCCGCCGAGCGCGACGGATCGTCTCGTGATGGAAACTGTGCACGCTTTGACGGCCATCGGAGGCCATGAGAACCCGCCGGCGAGGCACATTGTAGGATTCGAAGGCAGCATCGCCGTCAAAGAAAAGTTGAAGACGGTGACCGAGGAGCTGGAGGACTTTGTGGACGCTAGCCTTGCGGTGGACATTTTCGATAGCGAGCTCAAGGCGGAGGCGAAGGAGGGAAAGACACAGGAGTCGACACCACCCGCACCGGCATCGACAGCTTCAGGATAGTCTCGATGACCTCGTAAATCAGTGGGAGGCAAGCTGGTGCATATTATGATGGTCTTTTTTCGTCTATAGGTATCTTGGAAACAATGCAAAAGCGCAAGAGTACTAACTCCCACGTTACTGAATGGCCCCCTGCCTCCAATCCTCGATACGCGCGGAGGCGTACTGCGCGAAGGCAAAATATAGCTGCACGGCCTCTGCAATGAAGCTTTTTGTAGCAGCTGCCGCCTTCGCAAACTCGTCTTTCAAACGTTTCCCCAATTCCCGTCTCAACCATGCGCAAACCCAAAATACCTACCTACTGGGACTAAGGGGCCGGTTGAAGCCACCCTGTCTGTTCATGTACTGGCGATACTCCGTCTTCTTCTCCTTCCTCACAGCGCCGACATTGTTGCCCGCAATCTTTTGTCCCTTGGTCGTGCCGAAGCCGCCAAAGCCCATCATAGCTTGCATGGCGTCCATATCGTCGCCCTCGACCTCAGGCTCGGGCTCGTCATCCCCATCGTCTCGATCATCCCGACCTGTCATCGGTGTATCACCGCGCTCGCTGTCGCGTCCACTGTCGACTTGCGGCGAGTCGTGGCGTCCCATCTTGAAAGACATGGTGTGCTGCTCCTTCTTGCTCTTTCCTAATGTGCGCGTGGGAAGAGTCTCAGTGTATCTTCCATCGCGGCGGGTTGGGGGCGGGCTAGCGCTTCGACGGGGCGACGCTGATCTTCTACGGTCCTTGTCACGAGGTGGTGCTGCCGTGACTACGTTAGCTTTCTGCCAGGAATAGTGCGGACCGCTGGGTTGCAACTCACGACGAGCTTCATCCTCCTCGTCTCGCCGTCTGGACGGCTTGTCATCTCCGCGATCATCGTCTCTACGCCGCCGGTCGTCTCGGTCCTGCCATCCGTCCCTATCTCTCCTGGGCGGTCTTCCGGCGTCGCGATCGTCGCGAGGACGATCCCTCTCTCTGTCTCTAGATCTGGGGCGTTGGTCTCTGTCGCGTCTGTCACGAGATCTGGATCTGTATCTTCGGTCGCGGTCGTCTCTCTTATCGCGGTCATCGCGTCTAGCGTCGCGATCTCGGTAGCTGTCGCGGGCTCTATCGCGGCCTCCATCGCGGCCTCCACCGCCATGACGACTGCGTCGGTCTGTCTCGTCCCAGCCTTGCCGGCTATCGCGTCCACGAACCATTTTGACGGCGTATGTATATCGTTGTAGTAAGTCAAAGGCTTTGCCGATTTGTTTACTGAATGGATTGTGGTAAGTGTTGAGGAACGACGTCACGTTGTGGCTGAAGAAAATTCGGGGTCGTCGGACGGCTGGCATATGCGGTTCATTTAGCTCCCAGCCTCTACCATTTAGCGCTGGGGTAGCCTGGCAAGAGCTCCGGCAGGCACGTTCTACTGCACCTTACGTTCCATTTGCCCCACTGAAGCTGCTGGTAAGCTCTAGCGGTTTCCCTCGGCACTTCAACACCAAGACAACGTCGATCCAAACATCACGAATAAAAGAATGAGCCTCAATTTCCTACCTACACTTTTGTTTACTCCTTCTCAGCCAACCCTTCCACCCCAAAACACTAAGTCTGAACCAACATATTGACGCGACAATCTTCTTCACAACCCTGGACAAGCCAGAGACAGCAATGAAAACCAGAAAAGGGTTTTGCGTCGCCTGGAGACAGTGTAATACCAGGGACACGATGGAGGGAGGTATGCAGCAAGCCACAGGGACCATCCCACCCCAAGATCAAAAATAAGAATAATCAATGTGATGTCCAATGGACATCTTTCAGAGATTAAACTGAAAAGAACAGATACTACACTTGATCTAAGCCAAGAGGCAAAGAGAAGGTAAGGAGAAAAGAGGAAATATTCCAAAGCTGCGGAGGATGGGCAGAATTATATAGACCTGGGTGGTGGCCTGTGCGCTGCCCCCGATCAGTAACGATACGTACCGAAGCGACTGAGGGACTGCGGTTTAATTCTGGAGGCAAGAAGCGAAGGTCGAGACGGTGAATTGCAGGCAGCCGCGGTACGTGCCTGGTTGAATTTTGGCCTCAGTGGGGTGGTGACTCAGGCTTGAGGCAGGAAGGTGCCGGTATCCTCAGGAAGGACGCTACCTGATGCTGAGGCCAAAGCAAGCGGGAAGGTAAGAGACAAGACGTGAAAGGCAGTGGCCCTCCACCTTGTTGAGGCAGGTGCTGCTGCTGCCACTCCTGGAAGGCATCTTCAGTATTGGATGCGGCAAAGTGTCTCGATCGTGAATTTCATAATGCACTCGTCTAATGACTACCACGGGTGACGCTGTCTAGATTTCGTCTTCCTCGTCGTCAAAGTCATCCTCCCTGCCCATCTCGTATAAAATTCTTCCTCCCTCGCCGGCTCCGATATCCGTCTGCGCGTCAAAGTAAGGCAGCACAATACCCTCTCTATCCCGCCTTTGCTTCTCCGTTAGACTCAGGTTGAAGGTGCTCTCCGGCTCCTCCTCTTCTTCAGCACGGCCGTTCGCGCCTGCACTGTCGGGTGTGGCAAACACAGGGTGCTCCGAAAGGAGAAACGTCTTGCTGCCCTTCCCAGAGGCAGCAGAAGAAGTAGTACCTGCCAAAGGCAGCAGGACAAACTTCTCAGCCATGGCACGTCCACTCCGTCTTCGAACCTCCATCTCCACCACGACACCGCGGTAGTCCTCGGACTTGGTCTCGCCCTTGAGGCCAATCAACACACCCTCCCTCTCTTCACGAAGACCCCACTCCGGCTCCTGAATGCTCCTGTTCCTCGCCTTCTGGCGCTCAATCTCCTGCCTTAAGCTGGACAGACGAAGGATCGATGTGGCGAGGTGAGAGAGCACCGTCAGTGGGTGGGGCTCATACTCGCTCACGGTGCGTGGGAGAACGAGAGGAACGTCGGTGTGATAGACTGCTACCAATGACACAGAGGGCATAATAATGCTGGACAGGAAGGTCGGGACCATCTGGGGCGCTGCCGTGGCGAGGTCGTTGACTGAGTCGACGAGTATGATGGTTTCTGTAGAAAATGAGTCACAGTTTCTAGAAGTCTGCGAACAGTCACATACTTTGTGATGGAGGTGCACCTTTGGCTGCGGAAGGGTCTGGCTTGGGATAATGTGACAAGATCTCTGCCCTCAGAGATTTCAGGTTCTTGCCACGGGCCTTGATGACGACGTCGACATCTCGTGGGCGCTTGAGGGTTGCGAAGGAGAGCAGTATGACCTTTGCCTTTGCGATCTGCCTGGAGGTTAACAAATCGCTGAAACGAATGACACAGCCATATGCACTGAACTCAGAGAGCAGTCGCTGCCATTTTGGGTAAAATTAGGATTATGATTACTAGCTACGCACCTTGGCTCTAGAGATGAACTCTCGCACGACTGGCGCAGCACCTTGCTCAAGACTGTCGAGGACCAACGTCAGAGGACTTGCGCTGTCCCTCAAGTTGAGAAGCTTCTGAAACAACAAGAGGCTATGCGAGCGACTGTGATTCTCTGCCGAGGGTGCCATGATGACTGGGTATGAACACAAAAGGCTGGCGAGCCTCTGCGCGAATGATTCCGGGCGCTATTTGGAGTTGGACCACTGATGCTCAAATCTTCTCCTTCAATGATGCAATTATCTTAGCCGAAAAATTGGTCGGGTCTGATTCGACTGAGAACCCTGAGCACTGGTGATATTGAGGTTGAAATTAGAATGTTTAACATTCCGCCGTGGTTCGGGCTTTTCGCCCACTGAATTTGGGGTTTCCTTCGGCGATGTGGGGCTTCGACTGAGATGTCACTGTGCCGTGGTGGGAATCACTCCGAAGATCGATGCTTACGCGAAACCTTCGAATTATCCTCATTGATTATGATCATTGTTTTTTTTAAATCCATGAAACTGATATCCGTGTCTTGTGACTTCGTGTTGGGAGAGGGATGTAGCAGCGCATTCCTCTAATATCAGTCAACGCAACTAGGCCACCAAACGACAATCCACTGAATTATTGAGGCCTATGCCTGCCATTTCAATTTTTGCATCTACCAATCCCTTATACGCCATGAAACGCTGACTCCCATAAGGCCATAAGTCATAAAGTCGTGATATGTCATGAGACTGCATCGTCTTGTCTCCTCAGGCGACCTGCCCGTGCCTTCGACCCAGCTGCCCTCTCCTAGATCGATGGCCCCGTAGGTTTACCATTAGCCACTGCTGCAGTCCTTTCCGTCGTCGTAGGCTTGGTGCCAACGGCCTCATCATCGTCGGGGACGGGTGATCCAAGCTTGACAACAGGCTCGTTTCCAGAGGCTTCTTCGCCCGCGTCCGGTTTAGGGTTCAGATCGCCCTCAGCATCGTCCTTAGCGGTCTCCGTCGTCTCCTTGATCAGGTCGTTCTTGGAATCCTCTTGAATCGACTCCTGCTTAGCGGTCTCGGTCTCTTCACCAGCCTCCGCAGGTAAGGGTTGAACCTCCATTTCCCCCACGGCACCCGCAGCTTCCACACCCTCTTCCACACCCTCCGCCGGCGCAGGCGCATCCCTCCTCGGCTTGAAATCCTCAGGCAACTCGCAGCTCCACTCGTCCTCGAACTTCTGCACGAGGTAGTCGTCGAAATCGCCCATCCTACGGCGCTCGCGCGCAGCCCAGGCCTGCTCCAGCCACTCGGGGTCGTGCTTCCCCTGCGCGATGTTGTCCGTGTACGTCGCGCAGTCGTGCCGGAAGTTGTTGTCGTTGCGCAGGGCGTCCAGGTCGGGGCGCGCGTTCTCGGTACCCTCGTCTAGGATGCGCGTGCCGGCGGGGAACAGGGCGATGATCTCGGCGCGCTCGGCAGAGGTGAGGATGTCCCATGCTGCTGGCTGGCAGAGGATGGTCTATGTTCCTCGCGATGTTAGCACTTATAGGTCCAAAAGAAAGTGACTGAGGACGGAGCGTTGGGAAAGGAGAGCGTCATACCCTGAGATCCGCGCTGGCGAGGGGTGACCTAGTATCCGTAAGGAGCTTCTCCGCGGTCCACTTAGGCGCCTTCTTCGCCGCGGACACTTTGGTGACGATGTTCCTCTTCGCCGGTCTCGCGGGGGAGACCACGACGGGTCTCGGCTTGTTCGTGTTGCGCGCCGATCTTCTCGCCATGTTTGCCAGGTCGGTGCCGATGAGGGGCGATTCGAGGTTGATTTTTTCAAGGGAGGTGATTTGCGGGTTGGGAGAGTCTTTTTTCGTTCTGACGTCCTCGTACTCGGACCCTGAGTCTGGTGGTGGGGAGAGGGTGGACGCCGGCGAGAGAGCGTCGACCATTTCTACGTCTACGGATGAGGGAGGCGTGGCTGCCATTTTGGGCAATGAAGTCGGCGGGCGACGAATACTCGTTCAGCAATGCAAAGCGTTTGGTCTGGGCGTTTATTAGTCTACGAATAGTCCTTAGAGAATAGCATTATTTTATTAGGATTTCTTTGTGAACATGCAGGTATTGACGGCAACGGGTGATGGAGGTAGCTGCTTCTTTCCAGCCAATTCTCACAAAGGTCCTCAGATTGATGAGTTGAGAATGAGAGCACTGAAACTTACAAAAAGACATTCGTTTGCCTAAGTTGGGAACTCCTACAATGAACTTATTCAAAAACACTCAAGAAACAACCCCTGTGTAAAGAGTGGTGATACAGACTTGAGAAGTGACGTCTTCCCCGCCGCATCTCCTTCTGAAAATGGGAGTGGTTGAAGTCTCACAACTCACTCACTCCAGAACACAAGTCTCGACTAAACAAGGCTGCACGTTCAGCCACAGCAAGCCACACTAGTATGCAAGGGTATACCCCTGCGAACACACTCCCATTGGCCAGCCCTGTCCACCATGGTGTCATCTCAATTCCAGGAATGTGGAGAGCTACCGCCGGCCAGCCAGCGTTCGGTAAATTGGCGAATCCATGATTCTGGTGTACTTTGCAGGAGCCCTTCTGAAGGAAAACCCCCTGACGGAGAAAGGACACACAGCACTCTAGGCAATACCACCATCACCGTTCGTCGGAATCTCCAACAAACTTCCGCTCGTGCGCAACACACATCGAACATTCGGAGATTGGCCACGAGACCTTGGGCCGCGTCTTGAGGACCCGTCGATATCTACCTATCCATCCGTAGCTACCTGCAGCAACCGGCGATAGCTTCCCCCCGACGATCGAAGCCAGAGTCTCGACACGTCGAGCCTAAACCTCCAACGCACCCGTCTTTCCTGCTCATCCGCGACCACAAACAACCCTCACACATTCCCAAAATGATCCGCTCAACGCAAATAGCGAGGCTAGACGGTATGTCACCCTGCCCCCGAAGGACCTCTCCAGAGGAGCAATCTGACACAACTCGCGATAGGCCTGATGCTCTGCGCATCCGTCGACGACGAGCAGCAAGAAGCCGCCCTCTCAGAAGTCAAGTCCCAAATCAAGCAGATCCTCCGCAAGCTCTCCCGCAACTCGGAACAACAAGCCAGCATCGAAAGCGGCTCCTACAACCTCCAGTACGTCTTCATTCTACCCTATTCTCTCATGGAAGACAACCGCCGCTAACACATCAAACCCCCCTTCCAGCTACCTAATCGACAACGATATCACCTTCCTCTGCATAACAGACCGCTCCTACCCGCGCAAGCTCGCCTTCACCTACCTCTCCGACCTCGCCCGCGAGTTCACCACCACATACCCGATCTCCCAATTGCACTCGCCCGCCCTGCGCCCCTACGCCTTCATGGAGTTCGACACCTTCATCTCCCGCACAAAGTCCACCTACTCCGACGCCCGCGCCTCCCAGAACCTCGACAAGCTCAACGACGAGCTGCGCGACGTCACAAAGGTCATGACCAAGAACATCGAGGACCTACTCTACCGCGGCGACTCCCTCGAGCGCATGGGCGAGCTGAGCTCTCGCCTGCGCGACGACAGCAAAAAGTACCGCCGCGCCGCCGTCAGGATCAACTGGGAGCTCATGCTCAAGCAGTACGGCCCCTTTGGCGCGCTGGGCCTCATCATCATTGTGTTTCTGTGGTGGCGTTTCTTTTAAAAACAGCGTTTGTGGTCAGGGGGTGGAATTCTTGCATTGGTATTTCCAGGGGGGGGGGAGGGAGGGGTGTATATTTGTTCATGTATATCAATCAAGTCACGGCGCGCGGGCTTCTCGGATGACGGAGGTGTGGGACCCCAAAACAAAAATAAAGGGAAGGTCTGCTGCCGAATAGTGGTATTTTCAGTCTTAATGTGGAATATGACCCAAACACTACCAGATCGGTATCTCTGTCGTCTCTTTGGTCTGTTTTTCAGACTCTGTGGTATCTAGATGAATGTCGTGGAAGATCTGCCCTAGGGGAACTGTGGTATCAAGGAAACCAGAATAATCTCATGCGTCATGTGGGATGCGGTGGAAAAGCCCGCCCACTTCGTAAATCCCTCAACTCCTCGCCGGCATGAAGACCGCACACGTATATGTACAGGAATCAACCAATGCGCCGCCATATCGTTATTGAAAAATGCTGTCACATCACCACGCAGTCCTTGGCCGCTTTGGGTAGTGGCACGGCGGGTATTGATGTCGCCGTGTGCTGCCACTCCAGGTGTTCTTGGAACGCTTGGAGGTCTTCGAAGCCAGACTCGTCTTGGGCGTTTCTCATCTCGTCGTCGCCATCTTCGCCAGGTTCAATGTACGGAGCCTCGTCGCAGAAGGGGCATTCCAGACGAGCTACCCAATCCCCTTGGTACGGCGCGATGTGGTTCGCGATGGCCAAGGGCGCATGCACAACCGTCTTTTGCTCCCGATTCGCGGCGCTGTAGGCGGTCGCCTGCCAGTGCGGCAGCTGTGTGGGCGAGCCTGGTCTTACGGCATTGATCGTGGCATCTGTCGCTGCGCGCATTGCCGGCATGGTCTCTAGGTCCTCCCACACGAGGTGGCCGTCGCAGAAGTCGCAAACAAAGGCAATGTCTCTGTCTCCGAAGCGCTCAAACTTGCCAATGTTGTTGCACGCCCTGACCTCTTCCACATGTCGCCGGTGGAACTCCTCTTCTGTCACGATGGTTCGGGTCGCCCATTCCCGCTGTTTCCTGTAGACGAGGAATGCGCCGAGACACCTTGACGAAGACTCCTGCTCCGAATTGAATATCCTCCTTGCTGCCCGGCATTGCGCGCGGTGCAGTTCCCGGCGCAATTCAGTCGTTTCTCGTGCCCATATCGGGTTGATTGGTCCGCCAACCTTTGCCCAGTCCTTGAAGTTTTCGATATGCGTCTCGAATTTCCCTTGTAACCTCTTCAACTCGTTGATCGATTGTGCTAGAAAGATCGCGTCAGTGGAAGGTCTGGTAACAGCAGCGGCGGCGGCAGCGGCATCAGCAATAACAGAACGGACTGCGGCGGGGAGTCTCTATGGGGGAGCCGAGGGAGGCAGCCACTTAATCGCGGGGTCCCGTAGAATCGTGCAGGAAATGCGGTTCGGGGCGCCACAAGGCAGGGCAAAAGTGCAAGTTCGGGGTCGGTCAACTCACGTCTGCGATCGTTCATGTAATAGCGTTGGCCGTTGACAAGGACCGACAGTTCCTGGAAGTCCTTTTTGGCGTCATCGAGTGTATCCTCAAGCAGGCGCAACTGCTCGTGTTCGTCAGGTCCCCAGTGGTGCTTATCGGCGAATTTCAAGATACGTAGGCCATCACTGATCAGAGTCGCGATGGCAGCCAGAAGGGACCCGACGGTAGAGCTGCTCATGATTCGGTGTCCCTTCCGTTGCTCTCGCGGCCTTTCGAGCTTCGAGGAGGTGCGTTCAAGGCGAGAGGGCGCGGCGGGGGCAGCAGCAGCACACGTCAAATCGAAGGGAGGGGGGTTGACTGCGTGCGCAGCTGTCCGCAGCAGTTCCTCGCGTGCGAAGCCCCCAATAATAAATTCCGTCTGGCGCCCCTTCTTTTTGGGGGCAGGAATCCCGAAGGGGGAGTGAACGGCGGCGGACGGCGGGCGCGGGCGGCACGGCCACACCGTCCGAACAGGTTTTGTAGCTTACGTTTCCCTTAAAGTGAGGTCTTGGCTCCCTCCCGTGGAGCTTTCGGGGTGCCGGGGGCGCTCCAATTTGGGATGATGAGAGACCCGTGGAACTCCACTGCGTGCGAGGCAGCGTGGACCTGGAAGTCCTGGGAAGTCCTAGGGACCTGGCGAACCGAGAGGCCGGAGCTTCGCTTGGCGGGATGCTGAAGCCTATGCCGGCTTGGGGGGCTTTTGAACCGGTTTGCTGCGCGTTCTACGCCGTATGTGTGCGGGTGGGTGGGTGGGTGTGGCTCAAAGGCCTCGTTGTTGGCTGCTGAACTCTCTGTTGCTGGGGGACCAATGCGGCCATCTATATGTCATGACTGAAGATCCATGGGACGAAATGATGACAAGCGGGGGAACCCGGGCATGTGAGAACGGAGCCGGGGGGTTCCTGGGTCGAAGGAAAGAAGCTCACGCGACGGCCGGAGAATGGACGGTGGGAAAACGTGGTCGGAGGTGATGGAATGTGGGAGCGGAGGGACCGTCGATAGGTTAAAAAGGAAAGAAAACAGCAGACGGAGAGACAAGGGAGTTTGAGGAAGATTGTCAGCAAGCCAAGTGCGACGAATTGTTTTGGTCCGATCCAGCGAGCGTGTTTGGTCAAGACAAGACAAGAGAGGAGCCGCAGCGACCTTGCTAGGACGGAAAGGATGCAATCAAAATCCAATCCAAAATAAAGGCGAACGAGTCGACGCCGACGGGAACTTTAGGTTTTCGGGGTGTCGCTTTTTAGTTTTTAGTGGAGGACCAGGCCAGCCATGACTGCTTTGGGCAACTACCGTGTTGATGCCATTGGAGGGGCTCTGTCGTCTTTGCGGCCCTTCCTGGCCATCTTGGAATGATTCCTCCGTATTCTTTCGTCTTAATTTCTCTGCTTCCTTCCTGCCGTCCAGGGTCATCACCATTACCAACCTCTGACTGCCTGCTCTCAACTCAACCTGTGAAGTAAGGAGCACCGTACCGTATGCTATTTACAGCATCACGGGCCGAATGTTCTAGGCTTTCTCCCCTTTCTCCATCCCAATCAAACACAGCATTGCGTGTACCCGATCCGATCAACCGAACGAAGCCTAACAAAACCTCTTTGCCCAGAAATTGTCTGCTCTAAATCGGTATGTCCTTCCCGTAAACACTCCACTATCCAAAAGCCCAAGGCCCCCCAAACCCCCAAACATGCCCGGGTAGCTAGAGAAGCAGCAAAAACGTGGAGCTGGATCCATGCTCCCAAACGCCGTTGGAGGGGACCTGGCGTCATTAGAAGGGATGAGACCCTCTGATAGGTGCGGTGACATACGGGTGTTCGGATGCTTGTCTCTGCCCTACCAGGCACGGGGGCTCTGACGACTGCGAGCCCCCGCCATTGGCGGTTTTTACGGGGGCCCCTGCTGCGAATTTCAGCCGCCACCGAGCTGCTACCCTTTTGCAATCGCTGAGTACCTAGCCCAAGTGTGGCCCGGCCTGGTCCCGTCTGCTGTAGCTCGCTCTTTACCTTACTTTTAGAGATGCTTAGTGTTTGCGCCCATGGCTCCGTCGTCTGGTTTTACGCTCGAATACGAACTCCGTCTAGCGAGCTTTTCGTTGCTTTTCCTCCGACCGATCTCTCTTAGCCTCGCTTCTCATGTCCAAGCGTGCATTGTACATGGTATACTTGTGAGTTGGGATGCTGGCAAGATAAGATGCCATTGATGAGTGACACAGCGATGGCTTCGTTGACGGGAAGCAGCATTAGCCTCGATTAGGTATTACATGCGACCAGGAGACACATTCGCTTCGGCCAGTCATGCAGCAAGATGAGCCCCTGGTTCCGTATCTACTTGGTATCTGTCTGCTTCGCATGACTTTTATCTACATCCAAGTTTGCTGCACGCATCCACTGCTGTGCGACACGCCACCTCACCTCTACTTCCTCTTCTTCGCCTTGCCAGTGTCGGCGCCAGTGGCCTTGCCAGCAATCTCCTTCACCTTCTCCACCGTGGGGTCACTCTCCAGCAACTCCTTCGCCTTGGCCTTCTCCTTGTCCGTCTCCTCCTCGTCCTCACCGCCCTGGCCAAACTCGTTGACACGGGTGTAATCGGTCTTGTACGCATAGCGCTGGTAAAGGTAAATAAAGAAGATGATGTCGTCACGGAAAGTCGACAGACGGTGCAGGAAAGGCATCTTGATGGTGAACGCGAACAGGTCGTCGATGAAGGTGTTGAGGAACTTGTACATCATCGCCTTGGCCGGCATGTGTGCAACACTCTTGAGTCTGTAGTTGATGTACAGAGAGGGAACCATCATGAGGAAGCCGGCGCCGTAGACAGACGAGACGAGGACCGCGAGGACGTACGAGTACCACGACTTGTGCGTCTCATACACCAAAGAGTAACCGGCGTATCCGAGAAGGATAGGAACTCCTGCAATGTACATGTACTTGAAGGCGATCTCGTCGTATTCCTTGGTCTTCTCCTCGGTTTCGCTAAGCTTGTGCTTGTCCTCGAAGACAACGGAGAATGGCAGCCATGACCCGGGCGGAGCAGGTTTGATGGCCACATTGACGACCGTGGTGATCTTCCAGAGCTCAATGACGATTCCGACGGCCTGAGAACCAAGAATCATCCAGCTAGTGTTCGTCGAGTTGTCGATGAGGTAGAGCAAGATAACGGCCTGCATGAAAACGTTGGCCAGGATGGAGCGAACGGAGATACCAACGTTGTCCTTCTTCTTGCGGTAGTGAGCGATGTCGGATCCGAAGGCGAGCGTCTCCAAGATGATGTGCGCAATGCTGACAACGACTGTAATGCCGAGGAGGATGGGGTTGGTGTCAATGAAGATCTCCTTGACCATCTCGATCTCGGAGCCGTCACCGCCGCCAGGCAGAGAGTTGCCGTAGGCAGCCTGACGAGCAGACTCCTTTGCACTCGCCTCGATAGCAGCAAGGGTGTTGAATTGCCATGAACGCAGGTTGTTCAAGTCAATATGAAGAGGAACCTCAGTGACCGTATCGTTCAGCAGCATCATCTGGCTCTTGAGCTGCCAGAAGGTGTTGACGAACAGAATGGGGTCTGGCACGAGTTAGTCATAATCATCTGGAGACATGTCTGGGTTTGCTACTTACAGTACCAAGAGTGCTTGCCAGAACCATCTCTCGCGCCCGTCGGCTCGAGTTGCAGGAACTGGCGGATGGCGGGGTGGGTTTGACGGTACTCCAGGACCCCGGTGTTCGGAATCATGGACAGACTGGCATTGGGGTGGTAGTAGCTGGCAATAATGGGACCAGTATCTTGCTCCTCGACAACCGGCTCAGGTTCCTCCTCGGCCTTGTCCAAAAGCGATCTTGTCTTGAACTGCTTCTTCTTGGGGATGTACTGGGTGAGAGGGAACGCAAAGTAGTAGGCCGAAGCGGGATCGAAGGTATCAGCGTGAGGGTCGGGCTGTGCTCCGGGGAGCGACACGTAGAAGTGACCCCACAGTGTACCGTTGTTCTGAACAGAAGGGGGGATCTTGATGGTGGTATCCACGGAGCGCTTCTCGCTGTAGTTTCCAAGCTTGAACTTCTCCTCCTTCAATACCAGCTTCTCCTGAAGCGTCTGCGACAGCGGGGTGGGAACGACATTGTCGGAAACAGTGACGATAATGTCGACGTAGCTATCCATGGGCCAGATCGGGGCCAGCTTGTGGGGGATCTGGCTAAAGGTGGCACCCTCGTTCAACTCCTTGGGGCGAAAGAGGTACGGGGGGATGTCTTCGGTGTTGGCGGGAACGCTGACGACGTTACCGTCGGCGTCCTTGACCTGAGTGCCCGACTGATTCTTCTGGAACACGTTGTTCATGAGCATGTTCATGCCGAAGTACACACTGGCGCCGAGCAGCAACTTCTGCGTCATGCTCATACCCTGCCGAGACAATTAGGTCAGTATTATGTCGCGACATCTAGAACCGAGGCTCGGGGCCGAAAACTCACGCCTTCCTCCTGCGGAGCAGCCGGCCGAGCCGGCGCGTTGGGCTGAGACATGCTGTTTGTCAAACACCTGCGCTGGCAAGGGGAGCAAGTCGAAGCCGAAGGATAACAGATCGCGTGCTCTTTGTAGACGACGATGCGGGCAACAATGCGGCAGGTTGCACAACAGCCTCGGCGTGCGTCTGGCGGAAGAGGCTGGCTGTTTGCTCGGGCACAGACAGCTTGTCGCGAGTTGGCACCTTGTCGAGCAGAGTCGCGAAAGATACCGTGTCTTCTCCGGCGCGGGAACCGTGGGAGTTGGCGAGCGATGTCGGTTGGAGAGGTGAAGTCTGGAAGGGTCTGAAAAGGAAGGCAAACTTAACGGGGACCCCTGGGTTTGACAGATTGCGTGCTGTTCGGGCGAATCAACGGCCGAGGCGCCGCCACGACCCAGAAACCCGGGCTGGGCGGGGTCCTTAAAGATGCAGCGTCTCTAAACATTACATGTTCTTCCAAGAGTAACAACTCATCCGGCATTTCTCAGTTTGTAGGGCACTTTTTTCTTCATTCAATCCTCCTTTTCCAAGAAGGTTGTTGGTCGATTGGTACTTGATTCAAGATGCATACCCTTGACTTAGGTACTCTGCAATAGTTGATGGCCCACCACTTGATAGCAGATTGGGGGCCCTAAGATCTCCGCGGCAAATAGCGAGGGTCGACCGGAGCACCAGGAGAACAGGGGCCTGTAAGGTTGTAGTGCAGTGCAGTTGCCCCAAGGGCGGGGAGAGCCCGTAGCACCGGCCAGTAGATGCTAAATTGCACCTCCGGCTGGAGCAGCCGCCAACAACTGATGTTGCTCTTGCATCAAAGAAAGGCACACTTCTGTCTCTTCCAGCGTGCCACAACCTATGATGACATCCTTGACCCTGTTAGCCAACGTCTAACACCGACTCAGATCAGGACCCAAAGAGACACTCTTCACGCCTCTGCCATCCATTCGGCAACGGCGCTGGGCACACGTGAGGCACCGTGTCGTTACACGTGTACATGCCTGTCAAGAAGTGGCATCTGCCAATTGGCCTGCGTTGCGTCAAGTATTCTTCATCGCTGACAACATGGACTCGTTTGCGAGTGCCGCTGCTATCTACCTAGGATTCAGACGGTTGCTTTGAGCATCCCTTGGCTCGCTGCCGCCACTGCCCTCTTCCCCGACTTTAGGCATCCTCTGATTCCCGCCACTACGGTCATCCTAGCGGGACGGCCCAGTAGAGTCATCAACGGGAGGCCAGAACTGCGCACCGCGTGGCACTCGGACCTCGCCGGCAGGTCACCTGAACACTTGTGCGGGCCAGTCGCTGCGTAACAAGTTGACAAACCAGACACGCTTGGCTGTTGCAGACGGGGAAATGGGAACCCCCAAGAGCCGTCTCGTGTCGAGGCGATGAGAGGCGAGAAGGAAAGAAACCGAGTCCTTCTGAGGGAAGCTGGAGAAAGGTCGAGTTCAACAAGAAAAACCAGGAGTCAGTCGTGTGCCCTGTCTCGCCCCGTTCCAAATCCACGTCCATGTCAACAAGCCCAACACCGGCGGACGTAGCTTCACCGTCACACCGCACCCGTCTCCTGTCCTCGTTCCCGGCTACGGGCTACGAGACACAGGGCCCTCTGCTTTGCTTTTCCTATTCCCAGCTGGGCCTACGCATCGACCTAAATCGTCCACTACTGTACCGGCAAGAGGGGCCACGGATCCCCGAGCGAACCTTTTGAAGCCAGAAGCAACCACAAGGAGCCAGAGGAGCAGATGAGCCAAAGAAAAGGCGACATCATCTCGCGCCGTGTCCAGGTGTCGTTCCAGCTACCTGCGCTAAACCACCAAACAAGTCCTTCGGCCCGCCGCCCATGCGCCGCAGCGGTAACTGACATCTCGTTGTCTCATTCCCATCTGTGCTTGCTCTCGCCTCGTCCAATCTTTCCTTTCTTTTTCTACCTTTATTCCCCTACATGTCATTGCCAGGATATTGATACACCAATTCGCCAACCCCATCGCCCTCCTGAACCCCAACCAACACTTGCTGCAAACGAGACAAACTTGCCTCCCTTTTCGAGCCCGAGACTCCATCCTGAGAAACGTATATAACTGCCCTCTCTTTCACCGCCATCTCCTCTCCCCTTTTCTCAGCTTCTCTCGTGGGCTTCTCTCTCTTTTGACTTTTTGTTGGAATTTTCCTCCTCTGACATTCTGTTACTCAGTCTTTGAAACTATTTCGGAAGACGCCGTGAACCGCACAGTTGTTTCCGGCGTGACTCCTTCTCTCTATCTCTACAACTCCCAATCCGTAACGTCCCCACAAAAGCACCGTCATCTTGACCCCCCGGGTGTGTGTCTGTCTGTCTCCCAACGTATTAAGACCGCCCAGCATCATCTCATCGTAAGCCTCTCAGTCTCTTGGTCTCTCCCTCCAACCAAACAGAAACAAAAGCCACTAACTCTGGGAAAAAAGAAATTCAATCACAACAACCTGTCTTGAACGTTGTTTTCATTCCATCTCTCAACACATCAAGAACAAGCCGCAACGATGCAGTCCGGCGGCCCTTCCCCATTCCCGGTATCCCGGGACGGAACTCCCAGTGGCAACGACAACGGCACAACCAACGGCAACACCAATGGCACAACCACCAACGGCACAAATGGCGTGCAACGCAGGGCAAAGATCTGTGTCTACTGCGGCGCCTCTCCCGGTTTCAAGCCCCAGCACATGGAGGCTGCCCGTGAGTTGGCAAGAATCATGGCCGAGAACAACATCGACCTCGGTGAGTCACCTTTCATCCTTTCTCTCTCTCACTGCCATCTTCAGCCGCCACAGGTCTCAGTCATGACACACACGATGACAACCTAAGTGGCGCACCAAACCCAAGACAACATGAAACGCGCAGCTCTCAATCATCCTTCAACAAACTAACAAAGCTCCCAGTCTACGGCGGTGGCACCGTCGGCCTGATGGGCGAGGTGGCAAAGTCCCTCGTCGCCCTCGCCGGCCCGGACGCAGTCCACGGCATCATCCCCGAGGCCCTCGTCAAGTACGAGCGTGACGGGACATACGGCACCCTCAACAAGGACAACATGTACGTCCCCGACGAGACCGTCTACGGCCGCACCACCGTCGTCAAGGACATGCACACCCGCAAGCAGATGATGGCCAAGGAGGTCTTCGCCGGCGGCCCGGGCTCCGGCTTCATCGCCTTGCCCGGCGGTTACGGCACCATCGAGGAGGTCCTCGAGACCGCCACCTGGAACCAGCTCGGCATCCACGACAAGGGCATCTGCCTGCTCAACATCAACGGCTTCTACGACGGCATTCTCGAATGGGTACGCAAGAGCGTTGACGAGGGCTTCATCAAGCCCGCCAACGCCGACATCCTCGTCACCTCCACCACCCCGGAGGGCGCCATCAAGGCCCTGAGGGATTACAAGGTCTCGGAGGCCACCTTCAAGCTCGACTGGTCCAACTCTTGAATCTACTGCTTCACAAACCGGTAGAACTCATGTTTCTCTCTGAAGCGGCGGGGGTGTAATGAAGAATCACTGTAGGCAGATCGAGGAACCGAGGAACTAAAAAGGAGGTGGAGGGCAAGTGTGTGTGTGTATGTATGTGCTATGCGAAAACGGATGCGTACCGGAGTCTGGCGCCCTTCGTGTTTCCCCCCTTCTGCATCGCGCTTCGGCTGGGTTGGGTCATTCGTAAAAAGGGGCTTGCCTGCCTCTACGGGTCGGCCCTGGTTACACACGAACCAAGACATTGGATGGTGTTTGTGCATTGTTGGCTGTAGCTTTTGTTGATAGATCACCATAAAGAGTTACACAACCGAGATAACAAACTGAAAAACAAAATCATACAAACTGTCTCGGTCACAAACAGTGCAAGTGTCGGGTGCGCGGGGCTTCATCTCATTGAATCATCGGATGCAGCTCATTCATCGGCTGTCAAATCTCCTTTTCCGTGGTGTATTGGTACAAGTCTAAATGGGCCGGCTCGCGTTTTGCTCCTGCCAATCTCAGCAAGTCCAATCCGTTTCCGCAGAGAAAACGCAACGGTCCTGCGTGATGTAGTCCGATGCAACGCGCGGGTTTTACCATCCCAAAGAACCGCCTTCCCTTCCGTGTCTCACGTCCGTCTATTCGTCAACCTCCATGCCCTCAGCACCCTCCTCGCCGCCGGCCTTGGCCCTCGCTCGCCGCGACGCTGTCGATCCACTCCTTGACGTCCTGGCCGTCAAACATCTTGAACGGCTCGATAACCTTCAGGCCGTCCTTCTCCGTGAAACCGATGACGCCAACGCTCGTGTTCTCGACCGTCAGCTCGCGGTCCTGGACGAGGGACTCCTTCAGAGCCTTGAGGCCGTGGCGCACAAGCTCCTCGCGAGAGCAGTTCTCGAACTGGTCAATGTTGCGCTCGAGGTAGGTACGGGCCATCTGGGAGCGGGCGCCGATGGCGAAGGCCAGCATCTCCTCCGTCATGCCGGACGGCTGGAACTCGAAGAGGTGTGGCCCACGCTCGTCGACACCGGCAACGAGGAGACCGACACCGTAGGGGCGCTTGCCGTAGACCTGCGTGTTGATCTGGGCCTTCTCACCAATCATATCGACGAGGGTGCGCAGAGGCATCGAACGGCCGTACGTCATGCGGTGACCGAGGCATTGCTGCTTCATGAAGTTGGAAAGGACGCGGGCGTCTGAGGTCAGGCCTGCGATGGCAATGCCGGCGTGCTCGTCGACAGGGAAGATCTTCTTTTGGTAGGATGAAAGCTCCTCGGCGTTGCGCTGTGCGGGTGTGACTAGTTAGCCTTCGGTCTCGGGAGACTGGGTCGGGCGTGAGAGGGAAGGGATGGAGTTGTGATAACGTTAGTGACTGCGTGCTGGTGACATCGTTCGTACCTTGATTGCCACCAGGACGGCATGTGTTTTGCTGGCAATGCCTACTACCACGGAACCCTGCTTCACTGCTTCGGCTGCATACTCGATCTGGAATATACGGCCTTGCGGCGAGCTGTGTGTCGTGTTGCGTCAGCGAAGCTGTTCGTCGTGATGGTGCTCGCCTCCACCGCCAGCCGGGGGCGGCAGGGAAGGCTGAAGGGCAGCCAAACGGGGAACCTACAATGTCACCGAGTCGTTGTCGTAATTGTTTCTGAACATGGCGGGCGTAAGGGAGTGATCGTAGCTTCGTCAAGCAGTTCAATTAAGCTGCCGTCGATATCGTGTCGTGGGTTGAATGGGAGGGAGAGGGAGAGGGAATCGCGGGGTGGTTTTCGTGGTTGTTGGGCAAGAAGAGCAGCAGCGGGAGCAGTTACGGCGGAGAGTAGAGCTTGTGGATAATCAACCCCCCCCCCCCAGGCCAGCTCAAGGCAGGTCGAGCTTTCGTAGCACTCTCTCAGCCTGGAGCAAGGGTGTGGATGCGTGTGGTGTGTGCTCCGTGCATTTGAGCTACGTACCTCCACGCCGGGGTCTTGCCGGGTGGGGATTAGCTCAGCAGGAACTGGCAGCTTCAACTGGACTGGACCTGACTGGATGGACCCGGGACCTGAGCGACCGGCTGGAACAAGGTTGCGCCGTGCTGCGCTGACGACGGCCGCAGCAGCAGCACACGACGCTGAGGTGCGTCAGGGCCGCCAGAGGACCCGCCATCGCATCCCAGCTTCAGCCTGCTACCTTACTCCCAGCCGAGCCGCGACAACGACAGCCGAACCTTCCCACCTGCACGAAAGCAACCGACACGACTCCCCGACTTGACCAACACATTGGCGATTTCCTTCATCCACGACTTGCGATTCTTTTCAGGAAATCGATTCGAAGCCCCGACGGGGCCCTAATTCCAACCCGATACCTCTCCGAAACAAGAAGCGCAACCCACTTTGACACTCCTCGACGCTCCGACATCCAAGATGCCTACCGCGGGGCTCAAGACCATCATCGCCCTCTCCTTCGTCCTCGCCGTCGGTTTCCTCCTGGTTATCCTCTCCTGCGCCCTCTGGAAGGTCTACTACCCGCTCCTCGTCGTCGCCACTTACGTGCTGGCCCCGATCCCCAACTGGGTCTGCTCGCGATGCGCCAACCCCGATGACTTTGTCGAGAGCTCGGGCGCCGCCGTGCTGGACCTCGGCCGCTTCTGCACTGGTTTCCTCGTTGTAATGGGAATTGGTTAGTCGTCCCACTCGTCGGGTCCCTCTTCTAGACCAAAAAGCTGATCAGTGACCGTCTCTGCAGCCCTGCCAATTGTCCTGGCCCACTCCGACCTCATTCAGATCGAAGCCATGTTCATGTCCATTATCGGCGGTCTCCTTATCTACGGCACAATCATCAGCTTCGGCATGTTCTTCCAGGAGGAGCAGGAGTTCTAAAGCATCCGACCGAACGAAGCGAACCCGGAGAGGTATTCGGTCTTCATGGAGGAGATGCGGTGGTAGGGAACACATATCTTTGGCCAGTTGATGAGCGAGGCTGTACAGTATGACACGTCGGGATCACGAAGGCGCTCAGGGCATTCGGCAGGGAGGGATTGGATCACTGTGTTTGATACGGAGGAGGTGCTTCTCACATGTATATCCAGCATCGTTCCGTCAGGCGGGCGTTCCCTAATTCGCTGTTTTGTTATGCGACCATCTAATTCGAGGGCATGGTATTCATTAGACGGAAAGTGTACCGAGGGTCGAGATTGATCATGCTGATAAGTCTGAAGTTGTCTTTTTTCCATTTTCTAGAATGGATCATCCGGGTTGTCTAAGTTGAGTCTAATACCCGTGAAGGTCACAAGAGTCTAATATCCCAGATACGTTGAGGTATCATCCAAACACCATGCCTTTATCCCCCGCCAAAAAGTCACAACGCCAGAAAACCAACGCCCTTGTAAAGACTCGCCTGATTTGTTCAGGCTTCGGCAAACACCCCAAGGGGCCCCGCCAACTTGGTGAACATCTCCTCCCTCTCGCCCTCCGCCGTGCTCAGAATCGTAACGGCACCACCGGCACCAATATGCCACACTTCTCTGGGCTCCGTCTCGCCCTCCTCAGGCGCCGCAGCCTCGTCGTCCCATTTGAACATGGTCCGGATCGTCACGCTCCAGTCGCCCTTGCCGGTGACGTCCATGTACCCCACCACACCCGAGTACAAGCTCCTCTCCCGGTGCTCCTCGATCTCCTGCAGCAGCTCACAGCTTCGCTTCTTGGGCGCGCCAGTCATGCTGCCCGGAGGCAGACTGGCGGCAAGCACATCAAGCCCGGTATGCTGCTCCTCGATCGCACCCAGGCGCTGCAGCTGCCCACAGACAACGGTAACCATCTGGAAGACGGTGGCGTATTCCTCGACCTTCATCAGATGCGGCACGGCCACGTTCGATCCGCAGATGCTGTGGAGGTCATGGCAGACGAGGTCCACAATCATGAGGTTCTCCGCCTCCTCCTTGGGGACGTGCAAGATCTCTTCTGCCTGAGAGAGCGTCGCGACCTCGTTTGACTTGCGGACGGTGCCCTTCATCGGCCTCATGGAGATGGACCCGTCGCTGCCGTATTCGAGGAATCGCTCCGGCGAGCTGCTGATGAGAGTGGCGCCGCCGAGGCGGATGAACGACCCGAACGGGGCGGGTTGCCGGGTACGCAAGGTCTTGTACAGCTTCCACGGCGTGACGTGCGCCGACTTGGGGTGGTGGTTGCCGTTGACGCGGTTCGTGTAGGGCTCGGTGGTGGGACGACCTGGGAGCGTGATCGTGGTCTGGTCTGTAAGGCACAGCTCGTATGACTCACCGGCCGCGATGTACTCCTGGCAATGCAGCACCTTGGCCTCGTACTCGCTGGCGTGAGGAACGCGGACGATGGGCCGTGTCGCGACGGTCATGGGATCGAGGTGGTGGCCGTTGACAGCGGACTTTCCAGGCTGCCAGAAGTGCGAGGTCTGCAGCGACGCCACCACCGAGTCGATCCAGAAGTCAGCGTTGAGCTTGCGCTTCTGCAAGTGCTGGACGTGAAGAAGCCCCTTGGCGTGATCCACGACGATGCTCTTCGTCACCCAAGCCCAGCAGAGGTCAGGTCTCTGGTGCCCTCGGTCAGCGGCCACGGGTACGTCGATGCCCTTCAGCCCCATCTCGTAGGTAAGATAGCCCATGAATCCACCCCTGAAAGGTGTCTCGACATCCAGTGGGGGGTCGGAAGGCCTCTGGACTGCGCGGGGTGCAGGAATGCGTCTCTTCTCAAAGAAACTGGACAACAAGTGCCAAATGTTCTCCTTAGGGCCAAACGGAATGGTCTCCATCAGATCGATAGGGAGCCCCTGGCTCGAAGGCACGCGAGCTGTGGCAAAGTCATCCCCGACATGGTATTCAATCCGCAGTGCCTCCTCCACGTCCAGAGCAATGATGCTGTATCTGCCCCGTACGTCCTTGGCCCCTGTTGCCGTCGTACTTGAGTTGGCTGAATCCAGGATGATATGCTCCGCCCTGCCACTTTTGAGTATCTCCACAATGTCCGGCACCTTGATACCCGCTGGAAGATTCATCGTCTTGAAGACGTACTCGCAGTCGAGTCCAACAGTCGCCAGAGACGTAGGCATCTCCGTCCACGCCAGAACGGGCGCATGTCCTCCCTGAGCTGCAGACCGAATCTCTGAAAGCAGACTCGGCTTCAGAGAGTTCCTCGCCAGAAACTTTCCGTCAGTCTTGATCCTTCTTCCCGTCTTCTTGTTCCATTGCATGGCATGCACAAACCAGTTCTGAAGAACAGCATGACCTGTTTGCTGGGTGCAGACGGATTCCGGGTGGTACTGCAGACCCCAGAAAGGCTTTTTCCGATGCTTGACTCCCATGAGAATCCTCTCATTCCCGTCCTCTCGCTCCTCGACGGCCCAAGACAAGGGCATCAGATCAGGTACATCACGAGACTCCCATCGCTTGTGCTTCCAGTCCACGTCGGAAACCGAGTCCTGTCCGATGTCGGCGCAAAGGCTGTGATAAAGCGTCGCCTTAAACTCGGGCACACCCTTGAAAATGTCTTCCCAGCACGATGAGTGTGGCATCTCACGCTCAATGGCGCGAACCATGCCATGCAACCCCCGGCGCAGTCTTCTCACCTTCCCACCAGCGCTCAGGACCAAGCTCTGAAACCCAAGACAAATTCCCAACACCGGCAAGAGGTGCTCCTCCCGCAGCCTCCAAACGCATCTCATGAGCCCGACGTCCTTCTCATTTTCCGGAGAGCCCGGCCCAGGCCCGCAGACTACCGCATGATAGCGTGAAAGTTCCCGGTGGAAATCATCTTCAAACGTTGGCGAGTCGTGGTCCAGCAGCGGGGTGTCAATCGGCAAAACGTGCACATCCGCCTCCAACAAATCCGTCAAGAGGGAGACGATGTTGTTCGTAAAAGAGTCGTAGGCATCGAGAAACAGGATCTGAGGTCGCGTCATCCTTGGGGATAAAAATCTCCGATTCCCGGACCGAACGACAAGGTCTCGATGCAACGCTCGCCCTCTCTCGAAGCGAACGACTTTTGACACCCGTGTAAATGAGATGAGTCTTTGGAGGGGTTAGAGAAAAAAGACCCGCCGTCGGCTAGCGCCGGAACTTGGACCTTTACAAAGAAATTTTGGTGGCAACGAAGGCAGAAATGAGAAGGCGGTCAGGGCCCGGCGCATGATTCAACGCCGCAGGGCCGTTTGCCAGGGATAAGCTTAATTCGATCGCCGGGTCGATCAGTCATCCCTGGAGGCTCAACCCCTACGACCACAGTCGTGCTCAAGGGCACTTTATTAGCTACGTAAAGAGGCCGCTACGATTGCCAATTCCAAATCTGCTATGAGTCTAGCGCCTACGTCCATCATACAGTTCGTCATACACGATGTAGCTTACGCTGCTAGTCGTGGTCTATCACTTTGACGACGCAGGGTTGCCTCGAATGCCAGATGCGCCGCTCCTTTGCGCCGAGGAGGGCGTTCATCATCGTTTGGGTATCCGATCGTTGTCGCGCCCCTTCCTTCGTCTCTTCCTTCTCCTTCTCGTCCTTGGGCTCTTCCCAGATCTGGTATTCCTCGACCGATGCTGCGATCTCGAATTCTCCTCGACAAAGGGCCATAGCTTCGACCTCCACTTCGGTACTTGACTTGGCAGCCAGGGGCGGAAGGGCTTGCTGCAGGGTGCCATTCCAAGCAAACTTCCGTGTAAAGTCTAACGCGACGTTAAGAGGTCTGTGACACAAAGCTGGCATCAACCGCAGCATCGGGTAGACCGGTTGAGCTGAGCGGTTCGTGATGCCCACCTTAATCTGTACGAAGTTGTCGACCAGAATAGAGTGATCCGCTGCGATGCCAGTATCGGTACTATGGTCCTTGATGGAAATGTCGATACCAATGTCGTCGATTCTGAGAGCATCCATCATCCGTGGAGAAAGCCTAATGCTCCGCAGATCGATGTAGCCACCTCGCCTGGGACCGGACACCGCCTTCCAACGAGCTGTAAGCGTGTTGAGAATCTTCTCACGGAACCAGAACGCCTCGCGATTGGAGCGTTCCATGTCCGGTGTAATCTTGCTAGTGCTGACGACGAATTGCCGCTGTCTCGAGGGGTTCAGTGCTGGGATCGAGGCGTGTGGGTCGTCGAGGTATATCCGTCTGATAGGGACGATGACTCGGCTGGTATTACCAGGCAGTATATGTTCGTCAATCAGGACGCCGTCCTCGCCATCGATCTGTACCTCCATATTGTTGGGCCAAGCGTTGCGCAGATCCATGGACAGCAGGCAGAATTCGTCTGCCAGTGTGGATGGGTCGGACTTCAAATCAAGGTGAGTAAGACTGAGTAGTGGCTGAGGAACAGGCCCGCTGAGAGGAAGCACGTCCAGCCTAGAGAGCTCGACGCTGGCGTTCACAGTGACCGTCAATTGCAATGCGACTTGGCGAGTGTGATATTGCTCCGTAACTTCCTCTGGTGGCACTCCGAGATGTGCATAGTCGATTTGAATGGCAGCATTCGTCAGCCCTGGCTTGCCTAGAATTTCAAAGTCGAAAGTCGCGGTGCCCCCGGGGGCGATGAAGCGCTTCTCAGGTTCCTTCTTATTCAACCGTCTAAGAGCTTGACGCTTCATGAGAATGAACTCATACTCATATAGCTCAGCCGGAGTGGCGTCTCTGTTGTTAAGCCCCGCCTGCAACGGCGCCTGGGTGGAGTCCTGGAAAGAGAACAGCATGAAGTCGGCTGGTGTTGTTGAAGACAGGTTTTGGAGGGTGACGGAGAAGACCTGTCTTTCTCCCTCGAGGACCATGATCGATGACTGCGGCAACGTTGTCGACTTGACTACAATGACGGGCTGTTGGGGAATGACATTTAAGCCAATGTTCTCAGCCTTTAGCGGCCGCCCAGGAGTTGTAGAAGAAATGCTGTTTTCGAGAGCAGGCAGTCCGGTGGACTTAACCTTTAACTCTGTCTCGGGAGTCCAAGGCTGCTTGAAAATTGGGAACCTCCTTTCCCGACATCCACGAACGCGTATGATCGCGCCAGTCACTTTCAATGCCCCTGCGCCTCTGGGAGTTCCAGAAACCTTCAGTATTTGCGTCCGGTAGGGGCCGATGACGGTACTTTCGGCATTTGACTCGAATTCCGCTCCACCGGTGTCTAGGCGAATGCTCTCAATGTCGACCTCAATGTCGAAGGGGTTCTGGAGGGTGATCTTGAAGGTTGCTGGCTCGTTCGCTACTAGAGTGTGGATAGAAGCTTTGTCGGGTTGCTTCAAAAATGGATTGTAGATAAAAGGGTTGACATCCTGCGACGTTCTCGCCGTCACAGCCCCCGGGAGAGTACTTTTTGCATGAGGAACTGGTATCCTGCTGTTAGGCAACGGCTCCAGTGTCACACCGCGGACGAAGAACTCATCCCAATACTCCGCGGAAAGGTGATCCAACCCCAGTCTTTTAGCCAAGTTGGACGTCTTGGCAATATTTGTCACCAGCCGTATCTGCTCATCGCGGGAAATGACAGGCGACGCGTCTTCCTTGCGAGGCCCAGGAGCGACGCCAGATCCGGCTGTTCGTAGCAGATCGCTCGAAAACTTCAACACACCGTTGAAGTCGGGCAACGCCTCTGAGAAATTAATACAAGCCCTCAAGATGTTCAACTTGACACTCGTGAACCCGAAGAATCTCGCAGCCGACTGTCCTCGAATTCTATCGATGATAGCAGCGTCTGAGTATTCCACGGCGACAGCGTCGTTGGAAGGCTGCTTCTTCATATCAAAGCCCACAATACCGTAGGACTTGCACAGAAGAGCCAGAAAGGCCTCGATGCCTTGTTCAACATCTCCCTCACCCAGCTCAAGGGCGACAGCACTATTGCTATGCCCATTGGCAGCGTTAAGAGCAACCAAGCCTGCTGCAGGATGAATTCCCATTTCCGCAGCACCTCGTGTTCGGGCTTCGACGAGGCCGCTGATCAAAACCGAAACAAGCTCTCGTGTAACCATGGCCTTCTTGCGATGATGTCCAAGGGGACCCAGTACTGACGCAATTCCAGCCAGAATTGATGCCCTATCCGCAATGGTGAGAAGCTCCGACGCGGACGAAGGGAATGCGCGAAACAGCAATGTGGTGATCTGCTGCCGGCTTGGTGTAATGACCAAGCGTGGTGAAGTCGTCAGCTGCTTGTCAGGAAGCTTGCCAAATATGATCATATCCATTGACTTGTCCCCGAGCTTTCCATCAGCAAGATGCAGAGCGGAGAGAACCTTGCAAAAACGGATTGTGGTTTCGGCCAGGGGTAATGGAGGCAAGTGCTCTGAGGATATCCTAGAGTAAAGTCCCACGATGCGCTCCAAGAGGTCCGGCATTATCAGCTGGAGGTTGCGCATGTGCTTCGGCTGGCTGAGATCCGTTGAAGCTGCCTCTAGCGCAGCCAGAGTTGCGGCCGTGGACTTGTCTTGAGGTGGCAGACATACAGTGGGAATTACGAACTCAATCTTTGCCCACCCGAGGAGCAAAAGACTAATAGTAATCAACTCTAAAGCCTTGCCGTGCCAAATATGGTCATTGATTGATCTCGCAACGGTTGCGCCATCTATGGCTTCCTTCAGGGAATCAGTCCAGCGTCCGGCTTGAAGGTAAAGCGAAGCAAGAACGATGGTCACTCTGCCCTTTCCCTTGGCTCTGGAACGCTCATTTAGCCCACCAGGACCGAAGCCTTGTACAGACACTCGATCTGAGCTATCGGACTTGAAGTGATCGCCAACAGGGTCAGGTGTCGACGAGCCGCTGCTCATGCTTGCAGCGAGGTCGTCAAAGGTGGTGGGTGGATTAGACAACCCACTCCTTACAGGCGTCGAAGACCGAGCCGGTGTTGAGTTGCTGGATGGTATTGCAGAGTTTGATTTCGAAGGCGCGACAGGCATCGACATGCGGTGCAGATGGCGATCTGGTAGCCCGCTAGTGGAGCTTGACCTCTGAGGCGTTGGCGCAAACTGCGAATTCCTTTTGTTCAATGGCGGAGAACCACTCAGGTCCCAGGATGCGCCGTTGACGTGCTTCATGGCATGTGACTGCCCAGGCGATTCGATGGTCGAGAATGCCTCATACATCTTGGCCACGGTGGTTAATTCGGCAAGGAATTGCGACGTGATGTCGCACATTATGGTCTTCATCGTCGTCCGCTTGCACTCGTCCGGCGGTGGAATGGCGACAAGGCCCTCAGGCATAGAAATCGGGTTCTCTTGAGACGGCACATGGTCGAAGATCAAGACTTGGTGGACCAAGGCCTTGCCAAAGCGGTCACGCAGGTCCTCCAGCTCTTGGTACAGCGTTCGGATGTTCTGCTCGGCGATGGTTGGCGCAGTGTTGGACGAGCGCTTGTTGAAGGCGACTCTGTCAACTTCGGATCCGTCTGCGATCGCAATGACGGCCAGAGGTTCGCGGTAGTGGTCGAAAGGCAGAAGGGCGAGGTGGGAGGGTGGAGGAGTGTGGGTTACGAATTCGTAGAATACGGCACCAGGGGGGAAAGCCAACGGCGAGAACATGTCTGGTACCCAATAGTTAGCAAACAGATGCGCAAATCCAAATCCTGAAGTGAGTGGCACTTGCTTCTATGCGGCCGCCCATCGGGGGTGACATCCCGCAAGGAGACGACATGTTCAGGCCGCAGGCGCTCGACGAAGGACGAGAATCGGTCACTTCTGATCTGGCCTACGGGTAGAATCAATGCCCTCACCCTCGCGGGAGCGATGGGTAACAGCGAGTCCAAGCTCATCCTAGCACTATTGTCTCCCGTCCAGCATCTTCAAATCAAAGAAGGCGGTTTGCGCAGGCAAGCTATGCGACCATGTCGCGATGTATTCGTCCTAGTGAGATCCACGACAAGTACACGCAGAGGTAGGAGAAGCTAGGCGGGTTGCTTTTCGTTCGACGCCAGGGGAAGCTCGAGCTGGCGTTTGTTTGCGCGCGGTTGACAATCAAGCGCAAGACCAGGCTGCAGGTTGGCAGGAAGCTTGCCGTCGTGCAGTGTGCAGGTTGCAGGTTAGGAGTAGATATGTACGGATAAAGTGGACGGGACGTGACGGGATGGAACTGGCATGCAATGCAGCCACCTCACTGGGTGAATGACGGTGTGCGAACCGACCGGGGGGTTTTATAGTGGTGGGAGCGATTCCCCAGCGCCCACTGCATTGGGAGGGTCTGCTGAGGTTTCAGGGATTGTAGCAGCTGTCGAAGACGGAGTTGACGCTAAAACAGCCGACGCCACACGACAGCTGGCCCAAGCTCGACCCGGCTCAGGGGGTTGATTGGCTCGTGGCGGGGTTGACGTCGAGCAAGCTGTCCAAAGCCACATCTCCAGCCCCGACAACGGGGGGGAGCTTGAGCTGCTGTCGTCAAACGTGTTCACTTACGTACCGCGGGCGTCTTGCGGCAGGTACCTCGCTACTTCACTTACCACAACTCAATTGCGCCTTGCTTTTCTGTAAACGCTCGCTCACACAACTTCGACAAGCAGCTGTGTGAGTGTCACTTATTCAACTCAGAGCTCTCATGGCCGCTGGTTGATCCCTCACACACCGTAAACATGGCTCGATTAACGCAATTGGCCGCTCTCATTTCACTTTCCCTTCTCAACTTCTTTGGCGCACAGCTGGCCCTTGCAGCGGAAGATGGTCCTGGTTCGGCTTCCGTCCTGACCAGCGAGGTCGGCCGCCTCAACAACCAAAGCTTGTTCTGGGGTCCTTATAAGCCCAACCTGTACTTTGGTGTTCGATCCAGATCTCCTCAGACCCTTTGGACCGGATTGATGTGGTCACGGGTTGACACCTACAACGATGTCCAGAATGGTGGGTTGAGAGAACGTTAGACTCGGTAGCTTATGAGCTAAAGCTAACAAACTCCAGGTTTCCGCTACACCTGCGAGCAGCACGAGGGCCTCCATGGCTACGGCTGGGATGAGTACGATGCACGAAAGGGTGGCATTCAGACTATTCACGACGAAGGTAACCAGATTGACATCACCACCGCCTTCGTCAAGGTGCCAGGCGGAGCTCACGGCGGCAGCTGGGCCGCCAGGATTAAGGGTGTTCCCAGAGAGGGTGCTCCTTCGGATGTGAAGACCTTGCTGCACTACTACATTGCTCAGGAGGGATCCGAGGCCGAGCTTGCCTTCTCCGGCACCGATAGCGATCCTGCCGGTTTCGATGGCGATGTCGAGTTTGAGGGTTTGTCCCCTGAGCTCGGCAAGTACAAGCTGGTCATCACCAAAGGAGAGGGCAAGCATCCCTTTAGCAACCATGATTTGGCCCAGGCCAGACACGGTGACAAGACCGTTGTACGATCCCTCACGGTTCCTGATGAAATCCAGTGGCAGGGCAAGGGCGTCGTTTTCAACCTCATCCAGGAGAGTGTTAAGGAGGTCCAGGAGAAGTACGACATGGATGACCCGCCTCCACCTCATCTCGTCTACCAGCTGTCCAACAAGCCCGGCGCAGGCAACACTCACGTTGTTCAGAAGGCATTCGAGGGACCTTTCGAGTTCGACGTCATCTTCTCATCTGCTTCTGCCGGCCCTGAGCTCACTAGCGCCGACGTCACTCGTGAGGTCAAGACCGTTAGCGAGTCTTTCGGCCAGCGTTTCTCCTCCATCTTCAGCCTGAAGGCCCCTTTCACTGCCGACAAGTATAAGAAGTTCGGCAAGAGCATGTTCTCGAACCTTCTCGGTGGCATTGGCTACTTCCACGGCCAGCATCTTGTCGACCGCTCCTACGCGCCTGAGTACGATGAGGAGAACGAGGGCTTCTGGGAGGAGACTGCTGCTGCCCGTGCACGCAAGGCCCAGGAATTGGAGGGTCCTTACGAACTTTATACTGCTATCCCCTCTCGTCCTTTCTTCCCCCGCGGATTCCTTTGGGACGAGGGCTTCCACTTGATTCCCATCGCCGACTGGGATATTGACCTGACTCTGGAGGTCGTGAAGAGCTGGTTCAACCTGATTGACGAGGATGGATGGATTGCTCGTGAGCAGATTCTTGGCAACGAGGCACGAAGCAAGGTACCCGAGGAGTTCCAGGTCCAGTACCCGCACTATGCCAACCCTCCCACCCTCTTCCTCATCATTGAGGGCTTCATGGAGCGTCTCCGCAAGACCAACGGTAGCCTGCCTGCCGAGAAGGAGCAGCTGGGCCAACCGTCTGCCCTGCAGACCGCCCACTTGGACAACGTCGAGCTGGGAGAGGAGTACCTTCGCAAGCTTTACCCTCTTCTCCGCCGTCAGTATGACTGGTTCCGCAAGACGCAGCGCGGCGATCTCAAGTCCTACGATCGCGAGGCCTTCTCCAAAAAGGAGGGCTACCGCTGGAGGGGCCGCACCGAGACGCACGTCTTGACCAGTGGCCTCGACGACTACCCTCGTCCTCAGCCCCCTCACCCCGGTGAACTCCACGTTGACCTCATGTCGTGGGTTGGTCTGATGACCAAGTCGCTGATGAACATTGCCGACGCCCTTGGTATGATGGAGGAGGTGAACGAGTTGAAGACTACCCTGGACGCCATTCGTCGCAACCTCAACGACCTCCACTGGTCCGAGAAGGAGGGCTGCTACTGCGACGCAACCATTGACGCTTTTGAGGAGCACCAGCTTGCTTGCCACAAGGGCTACATCTCCCTCTTCCCCTTCCTGGTTGGTCTGCTTGAGGCTGACGACCCCAAGCTGGGCAAGCTCCTTGACCTGTTGGGTGACGAGGAACACCTCTTCAGCCCCCACGGCCTGAGGAGTCTCAGTAAGCAAGACGAGTTCTACGGCACCGCCGAGAACTACTGGAGAAGCCCCGTCTGGATGCCCATCAACTACATGGCCGTCTCTCAACTTAGAGTACGTCACCCCTCACACACTCGCTCTTGAAAAGCATAATGCTAACACTGAACAGAACACTGCCAACCAAGATGGTCCCTACAAGGCCAAGGCCGCAGACCTCTTCACCCGTCTGCGCAAGAACCTGGTCGACACTGTCTACAAGAGCTGGGAGAAGACGGGCTTCGCCTGGGAGCAGTACAATCCTGAGACCGGCGAGGGCCAGCGCACGCAGCACTTCACCGGCTGGACGAGCTTGGTCGTCAAGCTGATGGCCATGGAGGAGCCTAGCAAGGCAGGCAGCGGCCACGTCAGAGACGAGCTGTAAACTGCTCCATCTGCGTAAAAAGTTTTTCCTTCCTTGCAGCATTGTTACGGAACGTATGTATGAAGCATGAGCGATAGACTAGGTGGTTGGGGTGGGTGACGTAGAAAGCACTCCCGAATGATATACGGGGGAGACACAGTGGTCTGAATCGAACGCATCTACTCCTTTTGTGCTTGCAAATCAGTGTCATTCAATCAGCCGAGATCACTACCAGGCACCAGAGTTGCAGGAACGCTGAACATCGTGAGTAGGCGTCATCGAACGACACGTACTCCAATAGGCTTCACACCGCAATGTCCCTCACAAGAAGGCAGATCGCCATGCTCGAATTCCAGAAACCCCCATACAACGCCTCGTCCAGGCAGAAGCCGCGCACAATGACACGTCCATCGTCGCTACCATCAAAGAATCTGAATCACCAGGCTCTTCCGACCTGTCATCTCTCACCTCCCAAACTCCGTCGGCCGACGGACTTACATTGCGCCCGCATCACCAAGATACTTGGTCACCGAGATCCGCGGCGAACGGTCCACACGCAACGGCCGTATACATCTCCTCGTCGAATGAGGACAACCGTACGCGTGGCGGCACCCCATTCTCCCTGACCGGCAGACTGACGAAATACGCTTGGCAAAACTGCAGTGTTTGCGCAACCACTGTATTGTCCCTTTCCGGCAAGTCGATGCGGGAGAGTCCAAAAGGGGTGGACAGAGAAGGTGAGATGTGGAAGGCGAGGATGTAAGCGACAGCCTAATCCGTGCCGTAAGCAAACACCTCAACGGTGTGGACAGAACTATATGCGATGAGAAGTGCGTAAGCAACACGCCGCATCTAAGCCTTGTGCGCGTACTCCGATCGCCAGAGGCAAGATCCGCCTGGCCCCGGGTCGCTTTCGAATCGGTAGCGGGTGCTCTCTTCAAGCGACAAGCTTCATCCTTCTCGGCTAGAAGTAAGATGATAATGACGTCTTAAGGTTCTGAGTTCCGGTCTTCAAGGCCCTTGAAGTCACTGCTAAAATCCTTTAATCCTCCTAGCAACAAGAATTAAGGCCGGAGTCTCGTCCGCGTAGGGCTGGAGACGCGGGATAGCCCGCGGTCACCCGTAGGATCCGGGAGCCTGGTTCCGAACGTGGGCAAAAATTTGCCTCGTACAAAGTCAAGACCTTGGCACCTTCTTCCGTGTAAACTAAGCGACGGGGGGTTTTTCCTGGGGGCCTTTTCTGAGGCATGGCATCCTTAGCAAAGCGGCGTTTCGTTTCATTGTTTGAGGATGCCATGTGGGTATCGGTCAGCCGGCGGCCGCCTTACCATGACTGCATTACCCGACAGCCATCAGCCCTATTTACCACCCTGCGGCTTCTTTCAGACGGGGTTCGCATCTGAGATGATGAAAATCATCCACTGTATTGGTGGGGTTACACGGGGGCCGCGCTGTTGCACATGAAGGCTGTGCGCGTGGAGTGGGTGGGTTTGCACTACAAATCGTTCGACCTGTACCCGCGAACTGGGCTGCCATTGTGGTCGGACTTGGCGTCAGCAACCAGCATTACCTCCATGCAGATCGTAGGGCTGGGCGGCTATACAATGGCGGCCAAAGGGAAAGTGAAGGAAGAGGGGGGGTAGATACCACCACCTCTGACGACTCGTAGGGCTTGACAGCATCTGTCATAGAGGCTGCAGGATGGGTTGCCATTGAAGCCCGACGGGCCATGTACTCGAAGTCCGCCAAGAAACAGAGAGTTGATACAGCCGAGAATCGCATTACCTGGAACTTTTCCTAGGCCTCGCTTGGGGGCCGAAGCAAGAGGCATTGTCATCGAAGTGACGCTGTGAGTAAGAGCTCTTGATAAGCGCAGCCTACTAGAGCCTCAGGAGGCTGAGAAGAGGGTGCATGGCACTGCAAAAATAGCGAAGAGAGTTCGGTGAACTATGGCGTCCTGGCGAAGCTGGAACGACGGTACACAAGATCAGGCCCGGGTGTTGCCAGCTTCGGTGATGGTTGGTAGTGCAATGTGGCAGAAACCGTCCCGATGGTGGCGTCTTTAGCGATCAGTTGAGGCTCTTTCGCAGTCGGGTTCGCTGCAGTGACCCTCAGAACTGGTGTCAGTCGAGATTTGAAGGTATAATGAGGTCTCTCAATCACCATGTAACGTGTTAGTTGTTCACACGAATGTACCGTCAGCTATCAGAAAGGGGATTTGTGGCTAGTTGCAGCTCCTACACATATTTGAAGCATATTTCCATACCAGGTTTTGAGTAACAGACATATCCGCTTCGACGAGACAAGCAGAAGCCATAGATAGGTTGTAGTAATACATGAGATGTATGTAGAACGAACAGGGTAAGAAGAAACCACATGACCGCCTTGAATAATCCCGAATTAAATCAGCGGTCCACGCTCAGGCTTTCTTCAAGATAATAAAATGATCCCTAAGTCTGATATAGAAACAGTTCACTGTATCATTTTACGCACTCTCAGTAAGGTACTGTGCTGTGGATCCATAAAGCAATAATATGAGTAGACAACTTGAATGTTTAGATCGTCATATGTCAATTTACATAATTCCTGATTAATCACGATAGCATTAAATTTAAGGCCGTAACAATCAAGATAGTACTACAGTCAAGGCCGTAAACATGAAGGTCAAAAGTGCATATCACATCAAGTGGAGGTTAAGGAACGATCAAAAGTAAGTACGTAAAAAAAGTTAAGGATCATGAACACTTACGCTGCTTTTGAACTTAGCTCATTTCCCCCCTCCCTGTATTCAACTGAAATCTCAACTAATTGCTTCAATACGTCCAGGTTGTTTAATTACATTTCTCTTTTTCTGTCCTTCAGTGAAGGGTTCTGGAGGACACCATACTGCCCGGGGTGACGATGACTTACACGCTTTAGCGCCTCCGGCCCCCAAGCAGGGGAGCCACAGCGGTGCCGCACGTGGATGTCAGCGCAATGTTCACCTCCACTAGAGGTGCCCGAGCCCGTTCGGGAACCCCACCACATGGGCGGGATCTGTCTTGCAGTTCCCCGACTTCCCAACGACATGTCCTCATTCCTCCTCGTTTCCAATGCAGACTCCTTCGCCATACGATGCACCGCGCCCATACGACAGATCGTGCCCCGGGGTCGCATACGAATCAAACCGCCAGTCTGCCCGCCAGTGAGCCTGTCAGGGCAACAGGGGTTGGCAGAGCAGTTGTGTCGCGTCGGCTGAGTCATATCGGGTATTCGTCCATCTCTTCTCGGTCGAGGGAGCGTCGACAAGCGACACATTTGGATACACGGGTGCCCGGCATGCCTGTGCTGCAGCAGCCTTGCTGCAAAGTGACATCCAGTTACTTACCACATTCAGAAAGCCAATGACTTCAGGCTTCGGCCTTGTCCGAACCCTTAGACAAGGGGTTCGGTGAAGAAGGCGATGTGCTGCGTCTCGAAACATGATGACCACAGCAAAAAAATGGGTGCCTTCTCCAAGCGAGGCCAAATCATCTTAGGTCATCGTCTTGATGCGGATAGACACCGCCAGGTCCCGTCCTGCCGAAGCTCCACGCGGCCCCCCACGGAACCAGTATGACTATTCCCGCCCACGGAGTCTCCGATTTCTCATCGGCTTTTGGGGGTTTCTAAGCACGGCTGCCGGGACTACGTTTATGTGGTCGTCTCATCACATGTGCGCAGCGAAGCAATATGATGGTGTGGGTGTGTCTATGTAAAGCACCGGATGACTCTTTTCGCCTTGCTCACCCGCAGCGGCGATCATGTACCGGGACAGAGAGGCCGGGTTATTACCAAGACAATTACGGAGAGCAATGGGGGCATTTCCCGCTACTCGGCGAGGACAGGAACCGGACGAAGTGCGGACGAAGCTGTTCGATCCGCGGCGGCAGGACATCCGCAGCGCGGCCGCAGACCAGGGGACACGCCGAAGGCAGATGTGGCATCTCTTGATTAACGACGAATCACCGTGTGGCGGGTGACTGGGAATCCAAATAAGTCGGACAGATTCGAATTACGCCCCTGTTCACATCGGTCTTTCTTCCAATGATTGTCGAGCATGTCGTTATGTCAGCTGCCAGGCATCCCCCACCATACCTACTACAGAGTAAGTAATACGTTACACGAAGAACCCTCGTCGTCGTTGATCGCAAAAGAGCCTCTACGAATGTACACAGCCTCCCAGATGCTGACAGAAACACTCAACCACTCCCCTGTGGCTGCAACATGACCACAAATCCCCCCCTGCCTGCTTCACCATTGTGACTGCGTGCCTTACCGGGCCGACCTGATACGTATCGCTAAGGCAGGAAAGGTGTAGCCCGGATTCTCCAGGCAGAGGCCGGGCTGGTGCTTACTTTGCACACAATCTGGACTCGTGCAAAGGGTCCCCTCAGAAGGACTCAGCCCTACGCCTACTACACCTTCCCTGTCTCCCGGCCTCCCATTCGCCTGATCACGTTGCTCAGCGTTCTTTTCCTGTCTCTCGTGGCTCTTCTGGCGCTTCCACCAAGCCCGCCAAAGTTGGCGCTCCGATCCCGTCCAATCCGTGCGACCCGTCGCCCTGGTAAGTGTCCCTGGCCCATGCCTTTTTCTTCCATTCCTTCTTCCCCTGGTACGGACCACCACCCCCTTGTCGATTTCCAACTATTCGGAGTCTGTACAAGCCACGCCCGCCCTTGACATCCAACAGCCCAAAACGGAAATCGCCAGGCGAGACAGCCTATCATGATGCCGTTAATACGGCGAGACCTATCTGGAGTCCTGCGTCTGCCCAGAAGTCCTGTGTCCCAAGAACTGGGCTCAGCACCCATGTCCGCGGCATCCCGGTGCATGTCCTGCTCGCATCTCATCCCGTCTGAAGCCACCCAGAGGACTCACATTTCCCATCCCACCAAGATGGGAGCCCCTGCGAAACCCACCACCATGACGCCCGGAACCTGGGTCCTTTGCAGATGCGCGATGACAATGACACATCTTCGACACACCCACACCCGCGAAACATGCGTACTTTTTCGTACGACGCGGCGCTTCTTACATCGTGACTGCGCAGAAGTTCCAAGCTGCCCGGCAAACCATGGCACGCCCGACCCAGACCGACTGCGAGTTACACTAGACCAGGGCCCCTAGGGCTAAAGCTTGTTCGCCAACCCCCGGCCCCCGGTTGTGTAATCACCCACCTCCACACTCCAATTTTGGAAGGAATGCTGCCTGGCCGTTCGTGGGGGCCGTGCCGAAGCCAGCAGCCAGCAGCCAGCGCCATCGCAGGTCTCTCTGGCTCTGCCTCTTTTTCCGTCATCACTCTGTCTCTCGGTTACCGCAAGCCCGGTTGACAAGCCAATGCCAATGCCATGCGACGCCTTCCGGTGCGGTGCGGTACCCGTACCGGTCGGCCGCGCCTCAGCAGGGAGGCTCAGATGAGGTCAGGTCCCCAGGTAGCCGTGTATCTTGCAATCTAAGGTAGGGCTGGCTCTTACTACGTGCCTCCATGATGAGCCTCAACCATGGTCCTCGAGGTAATTTGGTTGCCTTGAGATCTATATAAACACTTGCTAGATCCCCTCAGGAATCAATTTCTTCTCATCATCACAATCATCACACACACACAACAAGCTTAGCTTCAAAGCAACTCTTCAATCTTCTCCGCCTTACTCACTTACACCACGCCCTTTCAACCCACTTACACCCACAACACCTCCACCCACAAACACTCATAACCATTACAATGGCCGGCTTCACTCTGATGTTCACTCCCACTGCCGCTGTCTACGGACGCTCTGGCTACAACAAGGACGGCGACGAGGAGGAGAACAACAAGGGCCGCTCCGGCTACAACAAGGACGGCAACGACGACGACGACGACAAGAACAAGGGTCGTTCCGGCTACAACAAGGATGGCGATGACGAGGAGGACAAATAAGCGTCTTACCCTCCCGCATCCTCCTCGCCTCTGCGGCCGCCTCTCCCGACGCCCTGTCTCGGGACGGCGGCCACTGTCTTGAAAACTGCCATGGGCAACATCATCAACGGTGCCTGCCCTCGCCTTTTTCGCCACTGCATTAGACCGGAGTTCTGATGTCGCCTCCTTCCCGCTACCCTCTTGGGATAACATGCGGGGAGGGCCAGGATCAACAGCACTGGCTGGCGACTTCCATCTTTCTCTCTCTCTCTCTCTCTCTCTCTCTCGTCAACTTTGGGATACTAGACCTGCTTTCATACATTCTTCTTCATCGCCACTGCATTGGGTCGGAGTTCAGGATACAACGAATGAACCGCGCTGGGATCGCTCTTTTGGGATTATCTTGAGATTTCATGGCATAGCATCGCGTTGCGCCGCATCGAGTTGAACGGGTCTGATTTTCTTTCCTTTGTACCTGGGCGTTGAAGGAGCTTGTCTTGCATCCCCCCTCCCCGATAGATTAGATATACGAGGACTTCACCGTCCGATGCTTGTAGTATCTTAATCACTATTTTCCTACACAGAATCTGAGAATCGCCTGTTAGTGACTACGATGACAGCTTTGCGACTGAAGACTGAGAACTTACTTTTCAAATACAACCCCAAGCACCTCTTCGACATCGCCCGCCTCGATCCGGCCGGTGATTCTTGCTAGGCAATCGGCCGCATATCGGAGATACTCCGCAGCCAGCACAATGTCCGGCTCCTCGCCCTCATGCTCGGGCAGCGCAACCGCCATGAACTCGTCCAAAAGCCCGCGGCACTGCCCCAATAGCTGCGCCTGTCTGGCTGTCACGCCCAACAGGTCCTGCTGGTCCGATGGCAGAGACGTCATGCTAGCGAACGACTCTACGAGCTGGTCCGTAAGCCCATTGATAGCGCCTGGGTCCTTTTGAATTGAGTGTTGCGACTGAGCTTCTCGGCACGAGATCGTAATCAGCTCGACTTTACTTAATTCAGGCACATGGGCGTCGATCTCGCTCCGAAATTGCGTGACAAGTTTGGCGAACGTGGGTGAGTCTACTGCATCCCGCTTGTTTACGACAACGAGACATGCTTGAGCGTCGGAGGCAAGCTTCAACGTTTCCGCATCGTAGTTTATCCTGAAGCCCCCTTCACGTCTGGGCTCGACGGCCGCCAAAACGATAATGATGTCCGACTCCGCAGCCTTTTGCTTCGCGCGGCGGATACCCTCCTCCTCAATCTTGCCCAGCGCAGGCTCGTTGGAATCGGCCGCAACGCTGTGCAAAGTTTTCGTCCTGATGCCAGCCGTGTCCGCAAAAGAACACAGGTAACCCCTGATGTCGAGGCTGACTTCCACGATATCTCGCGTCGTGCCGGCCTCCTTCGACACGATCGACGCCTCCCGTCCCACGATGAGGTTCATCAGCGAGCTCTTGCCGACGTTGGGCGGGCCCAGGAGCGCGATGCGGATGCCGTTCCTCAACAGCTCGCTGCGCTGGCTAGCCGCTTCGTGACGCAGTATGCTCTGCCGCATGTCGGTCATCAAGGCGTTCACGTTGCTCATCAGATCCGCGGGGGACTCGTCGAAGTGCTGGTCCTCCGCGAAGTCGATGAGCGCCTCGAGCTCGCCGCGCGCGAGCAGGAGCTGCTCGCGCCAGGCGTCGTACGTGCGCCCCAGGACGCCGGAGTTTCCGCGGACGGCGGCCCGCCGCTGCTGCTCGGTGTCGGCGGACAGGGTGTCGCCGAGGGACTCGACCTGCGCGAGGTCCAGCCTGTCGTTGAGGAACGCGCGCTTGGTGAACTCGCCAGGCTCGGCGTAGCGGATCCTGCCGTCTGATTTGCACTTGGGGATTGCTGCGAGAACGGCTTTGACGGTTGCGGAGCCGCCGTGCACGTGGAACTCGAGCACGTCTTCTCCCGTGACCGTGTTCGGGCCAGGGAAGTAGAGGACCAGGGCGTTTGAGTCGAGAATAGAGGCGTCATCGCCTGCTTGTGAGTCCACAAGTGTCCTTACAGCTGCGTAACGGGGTTTAGGGAGGGGCCTTTTTGGGCACAGTCCTTTGTAGACCTGTGCAAGCAGTCAGAATACGATGCATGTTGAACTTTCAAGGGGCAGCTAACGTCTGTACATCCGGGACCAGATATGCGTATTACCGCAATACCGGCGCGGCCTTGAGCAGTAGACAAGGCATACACTGTATCATCCACTGTTTCATCCTGAAGCCCGAACTCGGGCTGGGATGTGAAGAATGTAGAGTGGATGGATAGCCCGGCGGAGACAGGCCGTCGCATCGGCCGACGGTGACCCCACGGAGCCGGCCCCGGTCCGGGCAAACGGCCTCGACCACTAACACATCTCGCAGCAGCTCCGGACGATGACAGCGTCCTGGCCAAACTCCTCGACGTTCGGAAAAAGATAGGCATGGACTAGTGAAACAACGCTGAGAAACGAAGAATAAGTCTATTGAACGACCAGCCGGAAAACCCTCATCATTGAGTGCGTGAGTGAAATCGCATTCAAAGACCTTTACGGAAAGAAATTCAGAGGGCCCACCTTCCGTCGGCGAAGCTATCTGTAACGCACGGACGCCCATTGGCCAAACGGCCCGTTTTGCCTCCGGCCTTATCGCGATAAGCATCCCTGCGACTGCTCGATTCTGAAATTTTTTGGGAGACTGCCAAAGAAAAACCAGCGCCCCGCCGCCTCTCTTTTCCCCGTGAGCTTCGCAGCATTCGACCAACGGCAAGGCTTCCATCAACACCGGCCTTGTTTGTTCGTTCGCAAAACCGTCACAATGGCGTCCGACGAGATTATCTGGTACGGCTTAAGTCTCTGAAAGTTGTTATTGTCTTTTGTTGCTGACTTGAATCCAGGCAAATCATCAACCAGCAGTTCTGCAGCTTCAAGCTCTCGACAGACAAGAAGCAGACCTTCTGCAGAAACGAGTACAATGTCACCGGCCTCTGCAACCGCCAGTCGTGCCCATTGGCCAACTCTCGCTATGCGACGATCCGCCGCGCCCCCAACAAGGACACGCTGTACCTGTACATGAAGACGATCGAGCGCGCGCACATGCCGTCGAAGCTATGGGAGCGCATCAAGCTGCCCAACAACTACCAGCAAGCCCTGGAGAAGATTGACGACAAGCTCATCTACTGGCCCAAGTTCCTCGTGCACAAGTGCAAGCAGCGTCTCACGCGCCTGACGCAGGTCAACATTCGCATGCGGAGGATAGCGGCGGAGGAGGAGCGCATGGGCGAGAAGCTCGTGCCGAAGATGGCGCCCAAGATCAGGCGTCGCGAGGAGGCGAGAGAGCGCAAGGCGGAGGCGGCGGCGAAGCTGGAGAAGACCATCGAGCGCGAGCTCGTCGAGAGATTACGATCCGGCGCGTACGGCGACCAGCCCCTCAACGTCAGCGAGTCGATCTGGAAGAGGGTTCTCAATGCCATGGAGAAGGAGGGCGAGGGCAAGCGTGACAAGGACATGGACCCCGGTATCGAGTCTGAGGAGGAGGCCGACGAGGAGGCTGAGGACGAGTCCGAGGATGACCTCGAGAAGGAGGTCGAATACGTGTCTGACATCGAGGAGAGCGATGAGGAGCTCGAGGACATTGAGGACTGGCTCGAGAGCGACGAGGAGGAGGCCGACGATGACGAGGAGAGCGAGGACTCGGAAGACAGCGACGAGGAGACGGATCGCAAGGCGGGCGACAAGCGCAAGCGCGGCAGGGCGGTCAAGATGAACCAGAAGAGGCTCAAGCAGAAGCAAGCGGAGCGTCCCAAGATCGCAGAGGAGTTGACCTGGTAGAGAGGCTCGGGGTGTTTTTCACACTGGCGTCTGGCGCGAATACCTTAATGGCTGGCTACGGATGGAAAAAAGTTGAACCCGGGGGCATTGTGCATACCACTGCATTGTCACATATACTGTCAGAATGGAGTTTTAATTGTTGAGTTATCGTTGATCGCATCTACATCGTCGTCTCATCACTACACACGTCAGTAGACAACTGAGCATGTCCCTGGTGCAACATGGCAAATGCTTATTTTAGGGAAACTGAAGGTTTGAACAGACTCTAATTAGAGTATTGCGACCCCCTCACCAGAGATCTGACAAGCTTCTCGAAAAGTCTTTCGATGAACCCAGTAAGATTTGCGTCTCCCGGGCGATGATCCAAGCGCTCACCGAGTACCCGTGGGGCTAGCGCCGGCGGAGGGGTGGGTTCTTCACCGACGAACCCAAGCGCCTCAATTAGTGCAAGTCCCCTTAGAACAATGCGGGCAGGCCCCACCGCTGGCATGCATTCAGTGTCATTGCCGCCGAGCCACAAGTGTTCCCTGGTCGGGGGCCCAACCCAGGTCGACCTTCATTCCCTATCATTCAAAGGCCGGCTTATTTGAAACAGACCACTTCAAGCAACTCTCCACGATTACGCCGCCTTCACGAAACAGTACCCGGGGGTCTTTTCTCGATTCTTTCTCCTTTTTCCCAAGCATTGACTGGCGAATAACAAACTCAGCAAGCGAACACCTTTTTTTTCTGGCCCTGCGAAACGCACGAAGCGCGGTAATTCGTCGTGTCCCGGAGCTCTCATTTTACCCCAACCCGTCCGACACCAGAGCGTCGTCGAAAAACCAGCAGCAGCAGCACCGCTTCTTTTGCCCCGCAGGATCCTCGCAGGCAAGGAACAGGCACGATGTCATCGTGGTACTCGAGGATCCTCACCAACACCACCTCCCAGATCTCGAGCTTGCAGAGCCGACTGCTGCAGAGCGAAAATGACGGCGACACCGAGGACGACACTCACGTCTGCAGAGTGCTGAGAGCCTACTACACCGAGAAGGGCCGTCCGTTTCCGGGCTGGCTACCCCCCGACCCAAAGGCGCCGCCGCCAGCGGCCCCCGTCTACGCTCAGCCTGCCAACCAGGTCGGCTCGCGATACGGAGGTCTGCAGCCGCAGCAGCAGCCTGGTCCTACCACGGGACTCAGCTCGCTGTGGGATAGCAACGGTGGGGCACAACCGCGGCAGGATACTATGAGCCTTCGGCAGGGCCGCGGCGCCCCGCCCCCGATGCGAGGCGGCGAGCAGCCGGCGCGACTGAGCCCTTTCGCGAGGGCCGGTGATAGTGGGCGAGACGATGTGCAGGCTCGGCCTCTACCTAGCCAGCGGGCAGGAAGCTACCAGTCGAGCGCGGCATACGGACGAGAGGCAGTGAGCACACCGCCCGGTAGCTCGGGTGGAGGAGGTGGTGGCGGTGGTGGTTCAGCACAGGACCGGCTTAAGCAGCGACTTTGGGGAGGTGCGAGAACGACGAGCCCGGCGTCGGGAGGTAACCAGGGACCTTTCCAACCACCGGCTCGAGGTGGATCGGGTGACTACGAAGATCGGTTTGCTCCCGGGGGCATGTACGATGGAGGCGGAGCAGGAGGCGGAGGTAAGCCCTTCATGAAAGCAAACTCACCGTAGTTGAACAACGATACTGACTTTGATGGAGGCGGCGGCCGACCGACAGGACTTCCAAGCGGACCAAGACGAACTGGACTTCCGAGCGGTCCTCGAATGCGATAAGAGGGCAGTTTGTATGGCGGGAGACACATGGTGTGCGAGCGAGGATATATCTCGAGCATACCGGCAGGCTCATCGTGGGCTTATTCTGCGAGGGGAACCTGTTCAGCCGGGCTAACCAGGCGGGCTCGCGAGGCAGACGGCAACGACTTTCAAGCTTCTGCGGCCGTATTTCAACGTTCAGCGGCGCGGACCTCGCGCACGAGGGCGGGGTATGTATGTTGCTGGGAGACATGCCGTCAAAAAGGTGCGAGAGCAGAGCTGAGGCACACAATACAACCACTAATACTCATGTGATGAAGAAGCATGCAAGCGAGGAGCGGTTCCTATCAAGACTGTCCATCGCAGTGACAAGTGCAGCGACGTAATGTTCGCTCGTCATCCAGTGCGTCTTGGTCGCTACAGCTCGCAAAATGACTCCATCGTGATGATCCAACTCCGCGACTCGATACTTGATCTGGCAAGTCAAAACATCGCGAGTAGCGGCGCAACGAGTTGCTTGCGCGTGCAGTACGTAAATGCCAATGAACAGCCAGAGGCGCGAATGACGACGCATGCATGCTGCAGATGACATGGTCTGCGTAAGAGCTTCAGGTAGGTAGCTATACCGCTAGCGGGCACCAACTTGGCGCTTAAGTGGCTGTACAGATACAGTGGGAACAGCCCCTCCGAGACATGGTGCGAGCTTCCGTAGCGGGGTGGCCACACGCCGCCGCAGCGCCTCTGCTGTCGATGACCACGCACCTTGGTGCTCGGCTCACCCCAACATCCCATATCACTAGCCACACTTCGCTCACATGCTGTTGCCTTCCCCAGACTCTTTGCCTCTTCTCCAGTTGCTTTTATTCTGACGAGAGAAACCTTATCAACCCTGCCGTATTTTTGTCTTTTACCCTTCTGAATAGTCTCACACACCTCTTAGACTTCCCAGGTCCCCGGGTGCCTGGAATCCCGTCTTACATCATCACAGGCGCCATTGCACGATGACCTCAGACTCAGATCCCCCTCCATCGTCGAGCGCCCCCCAACCGGGAGGCCCTCGCTCACCGTCAGGGAGTTTCTACGCCCTCAGCGACGACGAGGAGGGCGAGTACAACACAATCACGCACACCGAGACCGGCCGGGGCGTGAAGCTGCTCTTCTCCAAGAGCAAGGTGAGTCCCGCGCGAACGCAACCCATCTCGCCACCCCACTACGGCCCGGAACTGACGGGAAGCTTTCCCCCACGATGTAGGTCTACGTGCATCCCACACCCTCAGCGAAGGATAACATACCCGGATACATCGCTCTGCTGCAACAAAAAGGCGCCCGTGGCGAAAGACCGACATCCTCTTCCTCCCGCGACTCGAAGCACCCTACCGCCGACGACTTGCTGCTAGCATGGCTCCCCGAAACGTCCCTCGGCGAGGTCGAGAGCATATACGTCAAGGTCGACCTTAGCGAGGGTGAATCGCCACCGAAGCAGTCTTACCTCGTTCCCCCGCCGCCGACGGTGACATCCCACCGGGGATCCATCGGCACATACGCCTTCGCGATACCCGTCAGCGCGATCTACTCGCTGCTCGTGCGCCCGCCGAGTCTGGGATGGTGGTTCGGCTCGCTTATTATCAACTCGCGCGCCGGCGACAGCTTCCCTGCACTGTTCTTTCACGACAATGAGTGCCAGAGCACGATCTTGAAGAGGAAGAGGCGGACGAGGGATAGTTTCGACCCGTTCGGCGATCGCGGGGAGATGTTCTGGGGTGGCGACGAGGTGCTGCGATGGCTGAAGCGTTACATCCCGATTGAGAGATCTGGCGCCGAGCCCAATATCTATCTGGTAGACCCGTCGAAGGAGGATAGCGAGGCTTTCGGCGGTAAGGTCACCGCTAGCACTGCGCAGTCCCAGCGAGATGGTGCGAGCGGGAGTGCTTCAGGATCTAGGCCCGGTGGTGCTGGTGCCGATGCGCAGATGGACCCGTTTGTGAAGTTGATCAAGGAGACTGGGTGGAATATCATGGAGAAGTTCAGCAAGGTCACGACGTTCACGCGGAGGGCGGCGCAGGATGTCATACAGAACCCGAACGTGCCGCCGCAGGTGAAGAGGTTATTGAGGAATCCGGAGGTTCAGACGCTGCAGGATGAGTTCGACAGTGCTAGGATATACCTCGCTCGCTGGGCGATGGGAATTGCTGAGCAGAGCGAGCGCGATCGTAGCCAAAGGATATGGACCGCAAGGGAAGTCTTGGAGCTCGAGGACACCGATGTTGGTGAGTTCGAGCTCTTGGATGGCAGCAGTACTATGTCGCTCGAGGACAGGAGGAAGCCGGTCAATTTGAAGGAGTGGAACACCTTTTTCGATCAGCGGACGGGAAGACTCTCAGTCACAATCGACGAAGTCAAGGAGAGAGTATTCCACGGCGGACTAGATCCTGATGATGGCGTCCGAAAAGAGGCGTGGCTCTTTATCCTGGGAGTATACGACTGGTATAGCACATCTGAGGAGCGCAAGGTTCAGATTGCGTCGTTGAGAGATGAGTACGTCAAGCTCAAGGGCGCATGGTGGGAGCGGCTGGTAGATATGGGAGGCGAGGGCGACGACGGAGAATGGTGGCGCGAACAACGCGGCCGCATCGGTAAGTCTTGATCCTTCAACCCCTGAAGCACACTCACTAACAAGCAAACAGAGAAGGATGTCCATCGAACAGATCGCAATGTCCCTATCTTCGCTGGAGAGGACATTCCTCATCCCGACCCGGACTCCCCCTTTTCCGAAGTCGGCACCAACGTTCACCTCGAGCAGATGAAGGATATGCTTCTCACCTACAACGAGTACAACAAGGACCTCGGATACGTGCAGGGCATGTCCGACCTCCTCGCCCCCATCTATGCTGTCATGCAAGACGACGCCATCGCCTTCTGGGGCTTCCAGCACTTCATGGACCGCATGGAGCGCAACTTCTTGCGCGACCAGTCAGGCATGCGTGCTCAGCTTCTCACCCTTGACCACCTTGTTCAGTTCATGGACCCCAAGCTATACGAGCACCTCAAGTCGGCCGACAGCACCAACTTTTTCTTCTTCTTCCGCATGTTGCTCGTATGGTATAAACGTGAGTTCCAGTGGATGGACGTGTTGAGATTGTGGGAGATCCTGTGGACGGACTACCTGAGCAGCAGCTTCCACTTGTTTGTTGCGTTGGCTATTCTTGAGAAGCATCGGGATGTAATCATGACTCACCTGCAGCATTTCGATGAGGTCTTGAAATACGGTATGTCACATCCCTCTTGCCCCTGAAACCAATCACTAACATAAACCACAGTCAACGAGCTGTCGAACACCATGGACCTCGACTCAACTCTGATCCGCGCAGAAGCCCTCTTCCGTCGCTTCCAGCGTCTCGTCGAGGCAGTTGACAAGAAGGGCAATTTCCCTCCTCCGAAGATCCGCGACCCCCCTGCTTCCCCGTCAAAGTCGACCGATGAGACACCCAAGCAGGGCGAAAACAGCGCTAGGCCGGCCTCGCCGCGTAAAGACAACAGCAAAGACAACAAGAACAGCGGCAAGAAGCCTGAAGAACCGCAGGTTCAGAAGGTCATTACACCGGAACTGCGGGAGTTGCTTAGTCGTAAGGTGGTGGTTCTCCCACGGAAGACAGTGGTGAAAAAGGGTGACGGGCCTAACCGGTCATGATGACGAGTTAATGCACGGGTAATGGTATGGGATGGAGGCAAGGCGTTTTCAGGGATGGGCTTAGGGGGCACGGGGTGAAGTAACATAGCTGTATATGACAGTAATACGCATTCGAACTCTGAACGATATTTTCCTCCGACAATCTACTCAGCTATGTTTCCCTACCACCATCACGAAGCTCGAGGGTTTTTTTTTTTTTTTTTTTTTTTTTTTTGACTGCAATCGGTAAAGAATTTGGACTTTTCATTGAAATCCCATTACACGCAAGTTTAGGCGGAGTCAATTGCTGGAGGCTTTGTCGAACGATACTGCGATGTAGTGGAAATGCCCTAATGATTATCTGGTATCAACCTGATTGTTGCCTTTTCCCAGAGAAAACCCAACTTCAGTGATCTCTGGACGATCTTTCTTAAGAAAAACGCCTGACTTAAGAGTCGTTGCCGCTAACAGCGGCCTTCCACCGACAAAAAAGGGAACTTGCTTGTCAAACCATATCTTTGCATCCAATAATGGAACACTCGCCATGAAAGCGTCAACTAGCGACCAGAATCGCTTCGCTTCTTCCTGAAGTTTGTCACTTTTCCTTTCTGGAGATTTTGAGTGATCCATCCACTCAATTGCAGACACGATGACTTCTGGCCCAGGCTTTCCCAAGGTGGTTTCGGTGGCGGCAGCGGCAGAATAGGGGCCAAGAATCACCGCAAAGTGCATTGATCGATCTCCTTCCATATTCGTGCTCCTGATGTTTCCAGGAACCAAGAAACGGAAGATATGAGTGCCATAATTGCGGTTCGCTCCGACAGATAGACTTAGCGTTGCAAATGCACCTGGAATAGGTTCGAACCCTATATCAGCTGCCGGTGGAAACACTTCCACCAACCTCGCCGATGGAAGGAATTTGTATAAATCAGTCAACCGTATGCGCACCCTGAGGAAGTTGGTGCGAAAGAAGTCGAGAACCTTAGGTCCTAATATCAATACTTTCCTGTGGGCTGTTCCTCCAGGGACGTGCCCAGCGTTGATCACGACAGGTCGAGAAGGAGGTTGAATCATTTCCTGTTCATCATTTGTCCCCTTTGAACCAGTCGACGAAGCCAGTAATGGAAAGCAGAGGCGATGCGTTGAGAAATTCTTGAAACCGAGTCGTGGGTAAACATTAACCTCCCACACTGCATAGTGAACATCGTATCTGTCCGAAATCGATCCGACAACGATGTTTGGAAGTTGGAATATTCGCAGTGATATTTCGAGCCCTCTGTTGTTCAGGTGGAAAGCCTCACCTGGGTAATCCGTCATGTCCAAGTTTCCAAAGTAGGATGGCGATGGAGCGAACGTGCTGCGAATCAACGGCGACTCGTTGTAACCCCAAGCCAACAGGCTTTGCCCTCTGTGTTCTTTGATAATCTCTTGCTGTAATCGGATAAAGGTTTTTCCTCCTTCGCCATAGAGGAGAGGCATAGTAATGCCGAAAATGCCCATCAAGCAATATGCTATGTCTTCTTTGCGTGATGTGTTTCTTTTTCTTGCCCACCCTAATCTCACAGCGGGAGCAAACCTATGAAGTAACTTGGTCTCTAGCTCTTTAATGGGGATGCCGGTTATATCTTGAATCTTGATTGATAACGATGACCTACTTCCAGTGAAGTCCCAATGCTTGTCGTAAAAAAGGACCTCCCGAGGCGCAATGAGTTCTTGAAGGGTCCAGCCTCGAGTGAACCAGCGAGAGTTTCCGAACAAACATCGTGTGCGAGCCCGGCTTCGCACATCTGACAAGAACGCAAAGCAGACGGCTGACTCTTTGTACCAGCGGAACATCGAGTTTATAGCTTCCGAGAGTTCGGAACTACTCGACTTGTCGATGCAGCAAGTATCAACCCACAGATACCGCAGTCGCTTTTGTTCCGCTAGACGCGCGCTTTGGACGATCTTCTCGAATCCCGACCGACGACATATGGCGGTTGCTTTTTCTTTCCGCCGTTTATGAGTTCGAGATATGAGGGCTGGCAGGGAAGTGGGTTCAAGTCGTTTGTTTTCGTAGTCGTTCAGCCAACAGAGATCCTGGAACGAGACCTCTTCCTGTCCCCAGGTGTGGGATGAAATCGCATATCGGGGAACGTTATCGTCAAAGAACTCCTTCAGCTCAAGCGTCTTCACGTCGATCAGCCTCATGGCGTCGAGCTGCTCTGGGCAACAGGTAGAGTGGTACAGTCGTCTGCTAATGTGCCGTCGGAAACAGAGACTTGGTGGAGAATATCGTAGAAAGGTTGAATACTGAAAGAGCCCCTCAATGCGACTTGCGAGGTGATAAAGCCTGCACGGGGGGTTATCAGAAGAAGGGCGAGGGAAGTGGAAAATCAGGCTGCAGGTGCTGCGCCAATCAGGCTGATCGGGGGGCGCAGCGATGCGAGAGGGGTTTGCATGATGTGTACAGTTTCCACATGACCAATAGAGTTGAATGTAGTAATGTATTCTCTTAAAATGTACAAATGCCCTCCTTGTGCTGCCAAACTCCTACAATGCAAGAAACAAACCAAGGCAACCGTTGTGGTCATGAAATAGGAGTCTAAGTCTGGGGATCCCGATGCCGTTGCCAATGTCGACGACGTGCTGATGACCGCGCCCTGTGTCGTCTAGACGACCTCTAATCAAACAAAGTGTATCGTGCGTTTCCTGGCGCTTGTCTATTGCTCTCTTGATACGAAGGAGGGGCCGATGGCGGCTGGGAAGGTGCGGGAGGGAGAGCAAGGGGTGCGGCCGGAGCAGCAGCAGCTTGCTGGGTCCACTGTGCCGTCTTCATTACCATCTTGGCGAAGTATTGCTGGATGAATGATTCCCTGTAAAATGTTAGTGCAACTCAAAGGAAAGGGAAACGAATCGACATACGTGTAGTAGCTGTGGTCCGAGTTGTGAGGCTGAACCAAGTTGTGCGCCAGCTCATGAGCCATCACAACCCACCACCAAACGCCTGCCTCAGCTTTTCCTTCGCCTCCTGGAGATCTGCTGAGCTTGTCGGCATGTAGTTGCAGGAAGAAGCGCAGGTTACAGAAAACACTGCCGTTGCTGTTGAATGCGATGGTGGAACCCGACTCATCGTAGAAGATGTGAAGGACTCGCGGAGAGAGGGAGTAGACGCCGCCCACCTCAGTAAGAAGGGAGGCGAACGAGTTGATGGCGCTATGATATGCCGACAAGAATTGACCCGCATCGGTCGAGAGATTCCTGGAAACAAAAACCTTCATAGTATTTGATGCCTCAGCAGCGAACACAATGTTCTGTGCTGGTGTGCTGTCGCAGTATGTCGCCTGCTCCTTGACCTCGTTCACTGTAGGCGGCGAGAAGACGCTATTCGAGTCGTGTGCTCTTGTCGAATTGATGGCGTTGAGGAGGTTCTGGCCAACAGTGGCCGGATTGGTCACACGTCCATCATCCTTGCCCTTGTTCGAGCCGCTGCCGCTGCTCCTGCCAGGCTGCCCTGGAGCTCCGTGCTGATGGTTCTCTTGAGGTTTGTCGATGAACTTCTGGAGCTGATCCTCTGCCTCATCGTCATCATTGGTTTCGAAACCGAAGCGACGTGAGAGGTTCGAGAACAAGCTCTTGCTCTTTCGGTTCGGTTGCGGAGGCGGCAACTTGTGGGATTCTTCTGGGCTGTCGGCTCCGAATGAGCCTGGCATGACAGGTTCTGGAGTTCTATTCGCGATCTGTCGAGCAGCCTCGGCGGCCTTTGCTTGCTGGCCCCATTCTTGCTCTCTCTCCTGGATGCGCTTCTGCTCCACTTCGAGTGCCTTGCGGCGCTCCTCCTCGGCGATTCTTGCCTCAGCAGCCTTTGCTCGCAAAATACGATCTACGTTGTATCCACGAGCTCGCAGGCCAAGAAGATCGAGTGTTAGGAACGGCTCGAAGAAGAGGTAGGCTTGCTGATTAGGTCTCGTCAAGAGGAGCTGACAAATGGCCTGCCCGACTTGGTACATGTCGGGTTGTCCGTCAGCAGCGACGTACAAGATCCAGCTAGAACCAGACTGAGCGCTGGCAGCAGATCTCTTCTCAGTGTGTGATTGGCTGTGGCCCCTCAGTGAACGACGCAGCGCAACAGAGCGTACAAGCTCAACTTGCAAGCTCTTCTCCAGCCACTTGGCATCACGCTTGATGTAGTCTCTGCGGTAATTGGAGTATTCGTGGAGGAAAATCTTTGAGCGCTCCAACACGTGCTTCCGCAACTTGGCTGCCCGGTCTTGCTTATCGGCATGGGGACCAATTCTGACTTCCTCCTCTACCAGCGAACTCAAGTTCTGGGCGCCCAGTTGATGGTAAAAGTCCTCGAGGATCTCTTCTTCAGGGGCTGTGATCAAGTAATCCTTGAAAAGACGGTAGCTGATGATGTCGTCGAGAATAACAATTCGACTGGCCGCAGCGAGCTGGTATTGCTTGATGGGTGCGTCTGCATCGTCATCGTCGATATCAACAAGTCTATCCTTGTTCGGAGACGGGATTTCCTTGGCGGCGAGGAGGAAAGGCGACGACTTCATCTTTCTGACCAACTCCTTGTCTCTCTTGAGAGTAGCCCAGTTCTCGGCCAAGGACTTCAGCAAAGCGAGGTACTTATCCGGGCTTTGCAAAATGCTGAGCAAGCGAGCTGGCTCGCTGCAAGCAAGATTCGCAATTTCGGGTTTTGTAGGTTCGTTCTTGGCCCCGCACTTGAAGAGAAACGTGTTGGCATTGGTGCCAAAGTCAACAAAGTCAAAGATATTGCCGTAAGTCGCAGAAGTCCCAAGGTAGCATCTTTTCGGGCTGATGTGGGTAACGTAAGAACCAGATTTCTCACTGCCCTCTCGAGCCTGCCGACTGACTGGAACAATCGGTGCGTCGCGCAGCTTGGCCAAACTGCCTTCGCCGAGATCTCCGATACGCAGAGCAAAGTAGTCGAACAAAGCGATAGCCTTTTGACGATCCTGAGGTGGCTTGGCCAGCAGACGGGAGACACACTCGGCGATAGGCGGATCTCTGACAACACCAAATTTGTTTGCATGCACATGGAGTTCCTTCTTCAGGATATCGAAGCCCAGAATTGCTGCGCCCTCGTTCGTGAAGCAAGCAGCCGGTGTCACCAATCTGTTCTCATTTTGTAGAGGCAAGAAAGCCCTACGACTGTCGGCAAGGTTGAAGGAACCATATCCGTTGATATGATGATTTGCGATGAAGTAGGTCATTGCACAGGTCCGAAGCTCTGCGTCCTTGGAGCACATCATTTCCACCACTTCGGGAACAGAGGGGTAAGGCCGTAAGCCCAAAATTGCCAGGAATCGTCCCTCGTTGCTGTTGGCCCTGAAACTTCCGGGTGGGCCAGGCCATTGCAGAATGGGCAATTGGAGCACTCTCAGAGTGTCCTTAGGCTCGAACAATTCTGACACCTTGTAGAGTTGAGTGCTTCCCTTAGTTGGCTCCATTCCCCTCGGCCCGGCTTCCGCGGGGCAGAACCGTGTCTCCTTGAGCTTTCTCATATCCTCTGCAGGAATGTCATCCCTGACAGACGCGAGATACTTGACAAGTTCCATGTGACTCCATTTCTGGACACCGCCTTCAGCTGATGGGCTCAGAAGCCTGGAGAAAATGGTATCCAAGTCGACTGTCTTGCGCACTCCGATGGCTGACAAGAACTTGTCCTTCAGACTCTGGCAACCCTGGATGATAGGCAAGTCATCGAAAAGCTTGACGGTGGGGAAGAAGGCCTCCGTTGGCCTCTTCATGCCCATCTTCGTAGGCATTACAGTATGAGCCTGCAGAAGAGTTGTAATGGTGGCTTTGGAGCTCTGGCTGGTGTTGTCCCAATTCTTGGACAAGACTGTCAGAATCTGGACAGCGAACTTGGCTGACTTCTTAATGTTCTGCTCATCGGGCTTGCTCGAGCTGGTCTCGATGAGGAACCGGAGCCATGGCACAACTTCAAGAGGGTCCCAGCCAAGAGCCTGCAATTCAGGAGCGGTGCAAGTGTTCGTGTATGCCAGAGGTATAGTTGTAGGAGGGATTGGCAGATTCGCTGGTATCTTGTTCGCCAGTTGGTAGTTTGTGATGGTGCCAAGGGCGATAATTTCGCCTTGACCACCGTCCTCACTTACTGTCGCAACCGCGACATCCAGAAGTCTGGCTTTGCTGGGAGGATCCAGCTCCCCATTGAGGGCTTTCTTTCCGGCCCAGTTGATAAAGTTGATCAGCTGCTCCTTGTTCATTGCCTTGGCCTCAAGCTCAGATCGAACATCATCGACAGTAATGGGACTAATAAGCCCAAAGTCGATCAACTTGCGGACGAACGAGTTCTCCATCAGCTCTTTGGGAACAACAGGAATGGTATCGACAAACTTGGCAAGTTCGTCAGAACCAATTCGGACCTTGGTTGTCGACAAAACGCCACGAGAGGAGAAAATCTCAATAGAGGCCTTCTTGAAGGCAGTCCAGAATGACTCTTCTAAAATCTGTGCGACATGACCGCTTGGTGTGGAATCAGAGAACGTGAAAGTCTTGAGAATATGCAGTGCTTCAGGCATGAGCTTTGCGGCGTCCGCGGCAGACAGCTTCGATCCCGTGCCGGCAATGCTCTTAACCTTCGAGTCTAGATCACTCATCTCGTTGATGAAGGCCAGTCTCGTCATAATGCCAGCAGCTCGGAGCATCTCGATGTTCCAGGTTCTGACCCAACGAGCGTTGAGATCGATCGCCTCACGCTCCACAGTCGGGATAACCGACTGGGCGGAAATGTGCATACCTGCACCGGTTGTCTGCGTGGTGGGGAAACCAATGAAGATGCGGCCACCCGGCTTTTTGCTCGGCAGAACTGACGCGAACACGTCGACAGACTTTGGAATAGTAGCAGAGCGCGAGCTCTCCGATGCCATAGTCTCATCATAAGAAGATGTGAGGATGGCCAATTTTGTGGTCTTTGGGGGCGGCTTCTTTGTTGCTCGCTCCAACTCACTGGCGAAGGAGGACGACACATGGGTCTTGACCGCTGCAGTCGTGACTCGGAGGAAAATGGTTGACGTAGAAATCCTAGTCACATCCTCACTAATCTCTTCCTGAGCTGCGGCCTCCTCTCTTTGCTGCTTGCCTTTGGCGGTTGCTTGTGTCGCCGAAGAGGTCAATCTGGAGAAGAAGCTTCTGAGCGAAGGGACTTCAGAACTCATGCCGTAGGATTCGGACGTTTTCGCAGCAACAGCCTTCGGTTTCCATCCAGCAGCACTCATCACGGCAGCGTCGATCTGTGTGCTGGTACGTTCCACCGTACTGACTTTCATTAATCCCTCCTTCGTCCGTGTCTCAAGGTCCCTAGGAATGGGCACATCCATGCTCGGAGACGTCTTCTTGTGGAGGGCCAGAATCTTGTAGTCATCGATCCAGAACTCGACATGTTGTAGGGCAACAAAAGTAAGACTGGTGGCCAGGAACTGGCTGACAGAGAGTAGGTTCGGCAGAGGGGTTGTCGAATTACGGTAGTCCAGGACAAAGGTGGTGTCACCGCTGCTCTGCTCTTGGGGCAGGGTGGACTTCTTGGTGAAGAGGGCGTTTCCCTTCCAGTAGAACGCCATGGCCTCGTTTCCTGAGCTCACAAATGGCTCCTCACAGTCGGCGAAGACACTGTAGAAACCAACACCAAAGGCACCAATCTTGGTTTCGTCGGGATTCCCCTCTGCGATTCTCTTCAGTCTACCCCAATCCGTCTTGGTGAAGGGTTGACCGTCGTTCGCCACGACGAGGCGCCGCAGTGTATGGTTCGAAATGACATGCTTGAGGATCTCGGATCGGTTCGTTGTGTTCGGGAGCGGTACGGAGGTGGAGGGCAACGTCTCCCATTTTACTTTGACTGTGGTTGCTTGCGCATCGGCGGCGTTCTGGATAAGTTCTCGCAGTGTCGTCCACTCGCCAGAGTATCTCGCGAGAACCTTGTCGATCAAGGCTCTGGTGTCGACGGTGACGGCCTCCTCGTCCTCAGCGCCCTGCAAGGCCGCAGCCTTGAGCCGCGAATAATCCATCGTGGGGTATGTCTCGGCTTGCTTAGGCGGGGCACAAGCTCATGGTCGGGGAGCTCGGTACGGGTGAGGATGAGGGTCGAAGTAGGTTCTCGAAGCTGTGATGGTCTACACCATGTAGGTCTAATAGGAAGCGAAAGTGGCGGGACTGATCTATAGTCGGCGAATGATAATGAGGTGAAAGGTGGCGATCGAGGTCGGTGAGATGGGAGGAAAGTCGAGGAAACCGGGGAAAGCTGAGACGGGACCGCGCGTTTCGCTTATGCAACGAAAGAATCGGATCGAAAGACTCGCGAAGAGGACAACGAAGCCTCGAGGTACCTTAGGGACAAAGGTTCGGTGAAAGATCGTAAAGGTGAGGAAGATGGCAAAAGGTTATGGCCGCCTTCACCGTGGACGTCGTCATTGAGTTCGCAGATACAGCGTGGAGACCTCCAGGTCTGTCACTTCCAGCGCAGTTGCACCTGCCACACCTCCCTAAACCGAGGAAGAGTGGACCTACTACTCCTGCTAAAACGCGTCTTACTTGGAAGGTTTGGGGCTCAAGGCTGCCGTCTTACTTGCGCATCCCCCGGTCGTTCCTCATGCACGTAGGCCAATCATATCGGGTTCTGATAAGAAAACAGCACCTAGCAAAATCGCCACAGGTGTACCCCTGATCCCTACAGGACCCTGGATCACACCTCGCCTTACCGCCCAGCTCACCACAAACCCCGCTAACTCCGCTGTCTTACCACTGGAATGCAACTTCACACCTGATTCAGCGTTTCCCATGATTTGCTATGTAATTCTAGTTAAAGAGGCAAGATGTTTGCATAACAGGCTAGTTTGATAAGTTCTTGAGCGTCCTGTTTGACTTGGTTTATCAAGGTCAAGACAACGGGATCTTCGTCGCCGAAGACCATCTATATGCCAGGATCTATCTTTGGGTACAGTAAGACGTGCAAGTGCAATAACACCCACAATCAGCATTGCGTCTTCAACTTCCTCTCAATACATCAGACACATAGTTCACATCACGCCATCTAAAGTGTCACAAAACTTGAAGTAATGCGTTGATATCTCAACATCTCTCCTGAAAAAAGTCCGCTTACATGATCCATCGACCTCCAAACAAACAGCTCCATACCATACCATACCATACCATACATACCACGCCTTCCACCCATCCATCCCACCACCAATCGCCACAACATGCAAAGAACAGAATGCCAACCCAAAGACCAGCTGGATCCCAGCATCCCATTTCCACACAATGCGCGTGTGCGTGTCCTTCAATATGAGAAGAAAGAGAGAATAAACGAGCCAGCAGAACAAGTAATGGTAGTGGGCAATGCAGTAGCGCAAAACAATGCAGCAATGCTTTCGTTTGACTCCTCGCCTCTCCATATAGATTCACAAGAAAATTTTTTGCAAAGAAAGCAAAAGCGGGGTTCTTGATGATGACGATGATGGCGTTGTGTAGCATGCTCCTCCTCCCGATTTTCCTTCTCCCTTAGCTTGCCTTTGGTATCCCTCTGTAGTCCAGATCGGTCGCGACTTGGGTCAGGGGGGTTCCAGGGGCTGGGCATAGCCTTCTTTGTCCCCCCCGCCCTGGATGCTTTTTTGTTTCCTCGAAAAAGTAAACATTACGTAGTTTGTATATATGGACGACTGGTGTGACTCCCACATGAGATCCGGGCTCATGATTCTACAGGTGTGTTCTCCACAGAGGGTGTCGTGGGTATCTCCTCCTCCTTCGAGGCCTCCGTCACAGTCGTCTCCCCTTCGCCTCCTTCGCTGATGGCGGCAGTATTGGTGGAAGAAGCCTTCTCACGTCTGCGCCTCCTCATCCGCCGCTCTTCCTCGGCCGTTTGCCTCCTCGAGCGCCGCAGGCTCTCTCTCTTCTCGGGATCGGCGTCGTCCGCCCCGTCTCCACCGCGCATGCCTTGGAGGAGCATGGCAGCACGCTCGGCAACGTCGTCTTCGCCGCCTTCTCTCGGTGACGATAGCCCCGGGCTGAGGAGATTGCCATCCTCGTCGATGGGGTTCTCTTTGGGCGGTTGTGCCAGGTTTGCCTCGATTTCCGGATTTTCGTCGGGATCGGGAATCTTTTGTCCAGATGCTATACGCACCTGATGACGATCCTTGAGTCTTGCTCTGCGGCGGCGATCTCTCTGGTCTCGCGTTTGGGGCGCAGCAGCACGTAGCTTCTCCAACAGAGAGTCCATGGCTCCAGCACTTGAGGGTGAGGGAGGCGCACCCTCCACCTTGCCGCCTGCGACGTTGAGCTGCTGGTGCTTCCGCTTCATGGAAGCCTCGTTGCGTCTGCGCTGCTCCTCGTACTTAATGTTCTTTTCCCTGGACTTCTTCCACTCGCCGATGAACATGGCAAGCTTGGCGAAGAAGTCTCTGCGAGCATTTTCGTCTGCAGGGTCTTCGCCATAGAAGACCATGATATCGTTGTAGGTCTTCATCATCTCCTCCAAGTACAGCGACATCTCCTCGGCCTTTCTCCTTGCATCCTTCATAATTCTCTGCACGACCTGGCTCACACGATCCTGTGGGTGGAATTTCTTGGAATCGCTCAGGTTGCCCACGTCGAGCGACATCTGGACATTCTTGACGGTATCAATGTACTGCTTGGCATCGGATTGAAGTTGCTCGATGTTGATCTTCTGAGCAGCCATGACTCCAGAAATGTCATTGGAGAAGTCCTCCCACTCAGGGTATTGGTTGCGGACGATGCGCTCGACGAGATCAGCCAAGGTGGACTCGTTCTTGTCGTCCTTGACCATGCCGAGACGGGCCAAGGAGCTCAGCTTGAAACCGCGAGCCTGCTTGTTCGCGTCGTTCATGTAATTTCCAATGTCCAGAATAAGACCGAGGACATTCATCAGGGATACAGAGTCTCTCAGAGACTCAGATACGCCTACAACGTGACGCATCTTATCGGTAATTTCGTCGAACTCTGGCTCGAAACTCCTAGTCAGGGACAGAGCACGCATTCTGGCTTTCCAGTAGTGGTGCAACTCAAAGGCAGTGTAAAGGTAAAGCTGGTCCTGTCTGGTGAGCTCAGCAGGGTCTTGTTCGCGGTCCGCCTTGTCCGGGTTGGCACCTGTCCAGTCTTTGCTGTAGGGAGCCAACTGCCTAGCCGTATTGTCTGGAATGTTGCAAAGATCATCCTTGCCCAAGAAGTCCATGACCACTGGGTTATCCAAGATGTCCTTGTCGCAGTGGATGATCATTTGCACAATCTTGTCAACAGAATATTGTGAAAACTTGGCGAACGCAATTTCTACCAATAGTTAGCATGGCGGACACATTCAAATACGCAAAACACATACCGTAGGCTTTGCGAAGATCACCATTGATAATCTGCTTCTTGTCGTCCTTCTTCCCACCACCACCAAGCCCTAATTTCTTGATCTCCTTGGCCATGAAGAGCTTTTCAACCTCATCCAGGATACCCTTCTTGCTCAGTTCGATATACTTCTCTTCGCGCTCCTCAGCGGACGGTGCATGCGCAGCCCAGTGAGTTGTCATAGGAGAATCGACCTTGTCCCAATGAAGAGCCTTGAGCTTCTTCTTCGGGCGAACTGCAGGCAGGCCGAGAGAGGGCGCAGAGGAAAAGTTGGGCGTAGCTTGTGACAAGAAGTGTCCAGAGATAGCTCCAGGCAGCGGAGGAGGTGGCGGAGGAGGCATTCCAGCGGCACCAGGCATTGGCGGAGGGGGCGGAGGAGGAGGGGGTCCGCCAGCAGCCCCGGGCATAGGCGGGGGCGGAGGAGGAGGCGGCGGAGCGGGGGCACCGGTCGGCGAAAGCATTCCAGGCATGGGCGGGGGGGGCGGTGGCGGCGGAGGTGCGCCGGCTTGACCAGGCATAGAAGGCGGGGGAGGTGGCGGAGGCGGCGCCCCAGCACCGGTGACCTGGATCTTGGGAGGCTCTCCTTCGGCGGGCGTGATGGGCGAGCCTGATTCCAGACTGGGGTGAGAGGGACCCGTAGTAGCACCCTCGCCCATCTCCGAGTCGCTGTCGGCATCGTATCTCTTGACCTTGCCGGCCATCTCGCCGAAGAGGCCAGCCTTTTGGCTGGGGTCCATGACGGGGCGGCGGATCTCGACAACTCTGGGTCTCTCGTAGACAACTCCATCTTCATCTTCGTATTCCTCGGTCTCGAGCAGCTCACCCTCGACAAGCTCACGGCCCTGAACAGGCTTGCGGGCAATCTTGGTGTTGCGGTTGACGCTGCCCAGCATGCTGTTGGTGAAGTCTCGAGGCGGCGTGCCAGGTCCCGAACCAGCCATGGCGCTGTCGTCCATCTCCTCGCGGAGAGCACGAAGTCTGTCAGATGGTCCGACGGCCTCTCCCCATACTCTACCCTCCAACTTGAACTGTGTCTTCTGTCGCTCAATCTGCATCTGCAGACGCTCCATGAGACGATCACGGTCCAGGATTCCTTGCATTTTAGCAGGGTCTTCTTCTCCGAGCTTGCTGCCAGCACCCTTGATGGCGGTGGATGCAGCCACATCTTGCGCATCGCGGAGCATCAGGTAGAGCTCTCTCGTTTCTAACTCATAACGCTGAGCCTCTTTCTGACGCAACGTCTGGATGTTTTCCAACTCAGCCTTGAGGCCCTCGGCTTGGCGACGTTGAGCATCAATAAACCTCGCCTGCTCATCCAGTTGCTTCTGCAATTTCGCCACAAGTCCATCAGCTCCCAGCTCGATCCTCTCCTTCATCTCGTCTCTCTCAGCCATAGCAGCATCGGCAATTTGCCTTGCCTCTACGGCCTCGTCCAAGGCCTGGCGGGCCTCGGAATCCGTGTGCAGCTTGTCCAATAGACTCTGAACGGTGAAGTTGAGACTCTGCTTCAGGTCCATGTTCGGCAAACGCCGATCCATGGCCACGTAACTGAGCATGGAGTCCACGAGCTGGAATGTCCGCAGTCGTTCTTCGCCATCGTTATCACGAAGGAGCAACAAGTGCTGGAGTGCTGAGATGAAGTAATCCTGAGTCTTGCTTCCCCGCAACCGTTGCTGGATGGCATCAACAATCTGAACAGGGTCGTTGAGGTCCTTGACTTCTCCTTCGACGCTGTCCTTGATGCTGCTGTTTTCCTTCTCCAGCATGTCCTCATAGTCGATAGCCTCGTTGGATCGGAAATGCTCGATCTGCTTGTCAATGAGGTCGTATTGGAACGACTCCATCTTGGTGAGGATTCGCCTCATGCCGCATGCTGTGAACTGCGCGCGAATGTGCATCCGCAGCTGAAGATCCCTCTCAGGGGCGTCGACAATCATGTTGATGAGAATCAACGTAGCGACTGCGTATTCCATCAACAGATTCTCCATGCCGATACCACCACTCCGGACCTCGTCACTGGCTCCTACCAGACTGCCCATCTTTCCTCGTCCATCGACGGTGACCTCGACGAGTCGCATCCAGGCGTCGAATCTGCCATTTTCTCCTTGCTGAGCTTTGACGGAGTCAAGGGCTTGGATAACCTTCAAGTGGCCTTCGCCTTCTCCCCAATGACACAGGAACGTGAGGACTTCGCTGACCAGCTTTCGTGTTGTCAAACGCGGAGAAATAAGCGAGGTAGCGAGTGCGATCATGACCTGCTGGTGTGCGAGGGCATCGTCGGCGCCGAACTTGTTGTTCATCAAGGCCTTGAGACACTTGATGATATCGTATTCGCGATCCAAATGCCTGTCAGCCTTCTGGTCTGGTGCCGGTCCGAGGGCGGTCTTGCGGTTGATCTTCATCAACACGTTTGTCAACGCGACCTGACCCTGACACTCGATGAAGCGCTTGACCCATCCTATTTGTTGCGTTCTGAGGTTGACCTCCAGACTTCCCAGGCCCTTCGTGTCCAAGCTGTTATCCATCACACGTCGGACGTACCATTCTGGCGATCCTTCCTCGTCCGAGTTTACCAAGATTTCCGGAGTCGCGTATTGATTCGGTTTTGCTGTCTGCCTCCTCTTTTGTTCTCCTTGCCACTCGGTCAACCGGTCCTGGTAAAGCAACGTCCATTTCTTGTCGGGCGGGTAAGCGACCATTTGGCGGCGAGCCTGTTCGGGTAAATTGTGCCATCCTCTCTTCTGCATCAGAGCCAGAAACATCTGGTTGATGATGTCGTCGTTGTCCGGTCGGGGGAAGTGGAAGCCATCGTGTCCAGTCGGAACCATGCCGGGAAATTTTGTCAGGCGGTGCGAAGATGGGTGTGACGAGTCCCTATAGGACGTGTGCGAGGAATAGGAACTCTGCGATGAAGCACTGGGTAGTGCTGGTCTTGATGAGCGATTTGCGGTCTTGTCTAAGGTGCCTCCATTACCTGATGAGAATATGCTGGCTTGGTCAGCGGAACTTCGACCCCCCGATGTCATGTACGAATCGTATCTGGGGTTGTGGGACCCATTGATTGTGCTCGCCATGCTAACGCGAGCCGGCCCTGGGCCCCACTGCTGGTATTGCGTCTGGCGACCAGTGCTCGCCATTGTGATGTTCGACTGCGGAGTCCGCGAACTATTCGATCCGCCCGCCATGCTGGATGGATCAAAGTTGGGATATTGGTGAAAGTCACCACCTTTGTTGAGATGATGTGGCGAAGGGCCGCCGCGCAGCAGCGCGATTTGGTCGGGCTTGGGCAAGTATTCGACCGGTACTGGGGATCGAGAATCGGGTACGGCTTCGTAGGGGATACTGGTCATTGGCCCAGCCGACAGGCCGGAGTCGGGGAACTGGTCGATTGAGACGGAAGACGAGTCGCGATGGTGTCGAGAGGCACGGGAGTGTATGCTGGCGGTATCGAAGTTGTCGGCGCCTCCAGCCAAGTAGCGGCCTTCGTCGCTGGTGTTGCGTTTATCTTTCCTGTTCCGCGAGAAGAAAGATTTCCCTCCCGAGGACTGCCTCGACTTGTCGGTGGAAGACATGGTGGGCGAGGGTAGACTGGGAGGCAGGTGAAACACCTGGTCCTCTCACGTAAGGCTCGATCGGTGCGTAAGGGTACGATATCTTCAGGTTCAAGACTGACGGGACTGGGTAGTTCGGGCGAGAATGGTGGCCAAGGCCGGTCGCATGATTGAAGCTCTACCCGTCAACGTGGAGCCTTCTGGTAGGTGTTGGGATGTGTCTCTGCAAATGTGGCGCGTTGGATCTCTGTTCGCATGAATCGGTTATGTTTTAGCATGTCTTCTGCCCAAGTTTGGATCGAAGCAGACAGAGGTTTGGGAGTCGGGGACGGGGATTGGCGGGGAGGGGAACCCCTGGAACACACGGCGAGCGTGGACGTGGACAATGGACATACATTTCGTCGCCCTGGGAATGCGACAAGTCGCTGCCGGGCGGACTGGCGAAAGAGAGAGACTGTCGAAACGGTCGCTCAAATCTTGCGCGTTGTTTCGTTGGGTAAGCGCCGAATTAGATGAGCGACCGGCGTGGATGGGGCCGCGGGGGGGTTGATTAGGAAATGGAAACAACTCTTGAAGATCGAGTCGCGAAAAAAAGAAGGTGGTGTGTCACAACGTGTGCGATTGAGGGCTGCCGGGTATCCAAGGCCAGGTCAGGTTTGTCCGAAGGAGTGTAGCTGTGTCGCGGAGCAGAGGCAAGGCACTCGCAAAGCAAAGCTGGTGGCAGGCTGATGGCCTCCTGTTGCTGGCAGGTTGGCGATGAAAGGTAAGGTGGACGGCGGACGGCGACGGGGATTGCCGTACGTGTTTTGGGCTGAGGTCAAGGTTTCCCACGTGAGGGTAGGGAAGGGGGAAACGGGCAGCTGGATCCTTGAGGCGCGAGTTCGTTCCTTCAACACAGGCACACCTTCCTGAATCCCTTAGCCGTCTCTATGCTCTCCGATGCTTGTTGAGCCTTAGGCGGGAAGAGGGCGTTCGCTGGCGAACGGCAGTTGACTACCAGTTTTAGTGCCCAGCGGCGTTGATCAGGGAAATTCGACAAACATGGGGAAGGGGAAGACGAAGGAGTGGACGTGTGTGCGCGCACGCTCTCTGCCGTTCTCCCTCTCTGAGTGGTATTTGCCCTCTGTTTCTCAGTGTATATCTCTCGTGTCTGCAGGGCAAGGCCGTGACAGTACCGTAAAGACTGGACAAGACCGAAGACGACGTTGCAAGTGCGGAGTCCCCTGATGAAACGGGGCTCGACAAGGGGCCGCGATTGACTTGACACTTCAGGGGCAGCAGATGTGCGAGTTCCTTTTGCGAAAACCGCCTGAGCGTTTTGGGGGGGAGGGGGACGTTCTGAGTACGTAGGGCGGCGGGAGGACGGGTACGTAAGGCGAGGTGAAGATTGGTGCCGACCGCGAAGTCCAGACTCGTTCTTTGTGTGTGTCGGGAGTAAGGTATTGGTTGACTTGGCCACCGACGACCCAAAGCGTTGCAGCAGTGACAGTTGGAATGGAGCAGAATGCGGAGGGACGAGCGAGGCAAAAGCAGAGTCAACCGAGAAAGAAACACGAGATGGTGAAAGCAAAAAGACGCATGTGTCAAGTGTCACATTCAAGGCGAGGCGAGGAGGAAAGCGAAAGACACGGAATCGGCGCCTCGGACTGTGGGCGACGAACGACGCCTCAACTCCCAAAAACGCACTTCGAATGCGCCGTAATACGGAAGCTTGAACAGATCCGGCGCCAACAGTGGAGATATTGTTGGCGCAGTCGTTGCAGTCGCTGCAAGTGCTTGACTTGTGGTCTGCGAGACGCTGGAGCACTGGGGCAATCGGCCGGGACTTTTTGATATTCGATATTGGCTTCTCGTTGATGCGATGCTACCTCTTGCATACCTACCTGACCTACTGACGCAGGGGAGGGAAGGGAGGCCACTGCAATGCTGGGCTTGCTGTGTCTCTCAGGGGTTGGGTGAATTGAGCGACCAAAGACCGGCGCCAACATTGGCGGAGATCAGAGTCCGGACAGCCAGAACAGACCAAGAACGGACCAGATAAATCCAAGTCCGTGGGGGAGCCAAACCGCGTACGCCAAAGATCGCCATCGGCATCTGCAAGCCTGGAAGCCAAGTCGCCCGCCGCACGTCAAGCTGGAGCTTGAGTCCTTGACGTGCTTTTTTCTTCGGTCAAATCAGATCGAGAGTTCGGCGGCTCAGTCCGTCAGCTGCTGCTCTTCAGAAGTTCACGCGCACCGAATCCCGTTTCCTTTCTTCACATTCGTCAGTCGTGGATGCGCCGGTTCCTTGCGGGTTCGGTATCCGCCTGCCTAAACCCGGTTTTATTGGGTGAAGTCGCTGCAGTGTGGGAGTCCATCTGGTGGACGGTTCAGCAGAGGGCCCCCGAGCGCCGTCCACCCTTCGCTGTGGTGCTGAGGCTAAAAAAGACCCCTGAGCCCCCAATAACAATGCCTGCTGGCAGCCTTCCATTTCGAGCAGCACTGAAGGGGTCTCGAACCACGTACCTCCACATGCAAAGCTGGCGGCGGGGGTACCTGTCTATGTTTGGCATCAATGTTCTCCGGGGTTCCCACCATTACGGCCCAGCACTTTAAGCGATATTGATGGGAATCTTGGAAGAATTCGACCTCGACCATGACGACGACGACGAACGACTGCCTGTCTCTTCCCGTATTTTCTTTGGTTTATTGTTGGTCCCTGCGTCCTTCCAGATCGTTCTGTGGCCGTGGTCGTATGAGTCCGGATCTCTCACCAAGCGTTGCTTTGCCGCTGCAGGAACAGAAACAGAGAAAAGGAACGAATCCTACGCCGTCAAACATCAGCACGGAGGCACGAGTTCAGGACACACTATGAGATGGCGATCCCCAGACGCACGTGTCTTATCTTCGGCCTTCGCTTACGAGCTTAGATAAGAAATCTTGGGTTCCCGGGCGAAGGGTACGGATATCTTTCAGGTATTCACACGAGCCTCCTCCACTGTTTACGAGGCCGTTGTTAGCCATAGAGCCAACCGCTCAAAATGCAAGATCTCACTAGATATCTTGCTAGTGCACCTCAGTCAAGCTCATGTGAATGTATAGGCATGGCTCTCAGTATCTTTCAGAATGAACTAGATTTTGAAGCATTGCTACAACGACATGTTGGCACTCACAGGTACGCTGTAGCTCACGTTGCTTACCTGAGCTTGATGAGGTAGCCCACCGTGCCTGCCCCTGCCAGACAGACATTGGACTGAGTCTAGCCCGGCGCCGGCCGCAACCAAGTGTTTGCCTCTTGCGTGTCGCCAGGTACCTCGCTCCGCGCCACGTCAGTCGCCTACCTTATCCGCACACGCTCTCACCCGCGCCCGCGCCCAGCATCTTGGCGAGGCTACCTCAGCAATTGGCCCTGCCTCAGCCGTCCAGCTCTGGCTCAGGCTTCTTGCTAGCCTTCGTCCGCGCGTTGGCGAATTTCTTCCGCCACGGCTTGCGACAACCCAGCAATCTGGATATCAAATAAAGGCTCAGGGTTGGTTTTCACAGCCGCCCTTCTTCATCTCGCAACTAGCCCGTCATGGGCGCCACCATGTCTGTGATCAAGGTGCGCTACCTCCAACCCACGACCTCAACTTCCCCCGCGCAATCCCTTCGTTCCGTGAGCTGACCGAGCTTCGTTTTAATTGCAGACCCTGATCGTTCCCGCCGTCATCTCGTTAATCCTGTTCCTCGTTTCGACATATGTGATTTTGCCGCTATGGCGCAGATGGCGGAGTCGCTACAGCCAGTACCTGCCCATCGACACGATATCGACCTCGACCGTTTCGTTACGCCACCGCATCCAGAATAGGATTGCAAGGATGCTGGTGCCTTCTACGTGGAGCCGGAACGCTCACGAGCGTCTCGTCGTTGCGACCGACGCTTCCGATGACGAAGATGGTGAAGAGCTGGGGGAGGTTGGAGAGGAGACGCGGAGGGCAACGTCAGACGATACTCGGCGGAGCAGGCACGACAGCACGCGGAGATTAAGCAGAGAGTGAGTTAAGCACACTTCGCTCTCAGCATCCTCGTGGCATGCTAACATACGTCACCGTCAGCCTGGAAGAAGGTTTCAGAGATGACAGCGATGACAGTGACGACGATAATAACGAGCGTAATGGGGCTGGATCTTGGCGGTAGTCATCAGTCTTAATACGCACATCAGCCTTGCTAAACCAGTTACTCACAGCCTGATTGACCACGAGACAGAAACTGAATATTCAGCTGAAAACCATGAGGCAGAGACAAATCGGCAGCCGCACTGGACACGTTTCTTCCGCCTTGCATGGCATGCGACATTGGACTGAGTGAACAGGTTGGAACTCTCGGCTCAGTTGGCCGATCTAAGTCAGACTGTCATCGTCCATCCACACTCCGGACTGACCACCTACACACTCGTCGTTCGGATCCCGGAGTCGATGCACTATCGGTTTCTGCCATGAAGGTGTTCTTTCTGCATGTTTCTGGTTGCCGCTGTTCTTGCGGAAGCTCGCGGGAGAAGGTGGCGACAGTGGTGGCCAAGATGCGCATACATTTCAATGCTTTGAGTTGGACATCAGCTGAACTCTAACCGCTGCCTCATTTTTCGGCCTGTCTCGTTCAATCTCGTCTGTGTATGGCTCAGATGGGAGTCGTGGGAGTCAGGCGCTATCACCCCTCCGAAACAAGCACCGCTCAGGCGCCCGTGTTTCCGTCCTGCATGTCTCTCCCGCCTTGCCCAGCCTAGCCGTTCGTGTTTCTTCCTTCGCTATCTGAACGGCCTTGCCGCTTGGCTCACTCACCCACACGCATCACACCTCACCTCACCTCACCTCACCTACACCAGCCTCTTCTGTTTCTCTTCCCCTCGCCGCGTCTCACTTCCCACCAGAACGCATGCGCTGCTCGAAAGCGAGGTGCGCATCGAATTTGTAGAGGAGGTCAGCAGGAAACCGAAACGGTCCCTACCCAGAGAGAGGGGCATGCATTCCTTCTGACAAGCGTCACACGACTACAGCCAATGCTTGATGTTCCCTTAAGGTCAGACTAAATGCTGCCAGCGCACATGTCAAGCATAGCCTAGCAAGCCGCCGGCACACCTTTCACCTAAGGTAGCGCTCCGTGCACCTTGCTTTTAAACGAGACATGGCCTACCTTGTCAAGAATCCGGAACGGTCTAACGGCGAGGTCAATGTCGTGCCATCTGCAAGGCACGATTAGCTTTGCTAAAGTCAGTGTCTGCCTATACTGGCAGTCTCTCTCTGCGATGGTTTTCGTCCTCTTTGTTGTACATTACATCTCAGTTCGCCGTTTCGACTAAAATAGTGAACAAAGGACGCGGTTGGTCCGGAACACTCTAACGCGAACGCCATCTTGGCTAATTTGCTTGCTTTCCAATTTCGAATTTCGATTGCTTCTTATACGCGGTTTTGTGCACCGCCGTCCCCTTTGCCGGCGACGATGAACATTTTCAAGTCTGTCATGCGTAAGCAGGAAATGGCATCTAATCCTGCCGCCGACGATACCTGCTGCGCAATATGCTACGAGAAAGTCGGCGAAGCCAAGGAGGAGGGCGACCGCGAAATATGGCGATATCTGCCCTGCGGCCACCGCTTCGGAGGTGACTGCATACAACACTGGCTGGGCGTCGCGAGCGTCGATGAGCCTCACTGCCCGTGGTGCCGGGTCAGCATGCGATGCGACTGCGGACATCCCGTGGTGCCGACGATGAAGCCGGTGCGCAACTACATGTACTGGGGCTGGATGCCGTGCGAGATTTGCCATACGCAACTACAACGATCACGCAAGACCTCGAAATATCTAAGAGGGCAGTTATTACCGCGACTCAACTCGCTCATCCACTCCCTCGACCACAACATGGCATCCATCCCGCAGGAGGTGCCCAAAGAGCAGGAAGAAACGCCCACGAAAGAGCCTTGGGAGGACCGCGAGGTATGGAAGAAGAAATGGACGGAACACTTTTTGGCGGAGGAAAGGAAGGCGTCTGCGTCTAAGTCAACGAAGAAATGAGAACGGTGGGCCTGCAACGGCGAATGAGTAAACGATAACGCGAGCTGCGGAACGGACATTGTCAATGATCCTCCAGTGTTGATTTAGGAGAGACAACGGCATTTTCAGCGGATGACTATGGTTGAGCATCATGTCGGTGGCCTCAATGTTTGGTTATCGGCCACGCTTCAATTACACGGGCAAGGAGACATTTTGTTTAGGAGCATGACGAACGGGAAAGCCTCAGAGGCTATACGAAACAGCAGATGGTACGGCAGCCGGATTTCATTTGTCCATACCTTGTCAATCAGCAGAGAAATTCTAAAGGTTTATATTATGATGTTTAACTTATTTCATTGGCCTTGTTTTCCGAGTGAGCTTTCAGTAAATTCCTGATATTGATCAAACTTTCCTGCTCTGTTTATCAATTTCACAGTCAACGAGTAGTTTTCGGCTTTCATCTATCATCCCTCGTTCTCCTCTACGTCGCCTCCAGTATCCTGTTTCTGTTGTGGCCTTCAACTCATTCTCCCAAGTATTCGGACTGACAGACTAATACACGCCGAGCCCAGCAAGACTCGCCGAGCAAAAGGGCTAGACTTGCCTCATCTTTTTCCATCTTCCCTGCTCCCCATCACCGCATGCACACCAAGCAACGTCACTGACATCCGATTTTCCGGCATCCCTCCTCGACTCGAGCAAAAAGCTATGAAGACGCTCGGTGTTGTCCAAGTGGCCGACTCGGAAAACCAGCTACATCGCTCGCTCAAGCTGCGGACCTCAGGTGATGGCGGGGTAGGCGCGAACTGTGAATGGGGTGAGGTTTCCCAATCTGGCCCCGCTAACCGGGGCCTACCCCGCGCTAGAGAGTTCCGTGCTGCAGTGGACCGGCATGGCCTGCAGGCATCCGCTATCCTCACCATGGGGGCCCCTAGCGCCGTCACCCGCGCTGGCACGCAGCAGCCTCCATGGAATGGCAGGTCGCCAGCTGTGCTGTGGCCCAGCACTATCCGCACGGCACTTGGGGAAGGGGGCGCGGATCGCGTCTTTTCTCACCACTTTACGCGTTCCCCCAACCCTCACCCCAAAGCGGCAACTACCTAGCTTCCTGCGACCAACATACCTCGCTTGCGACCCTGCCTTGTCATTCATCATAGGCCTTGTTTTTTTCTATTTTCTGTAACGCCCTTGCCGTTGCATTAATCGATCGGCCTGGGCCTATCGCCTCCCTCCTCCAACATGCGCTTCAAGACGGAGTTAAAAAATATCCGTACCTTCTCCAGTACGTTCACTCGCCCATTCGCGTTATGGAAACCACCGCTGACATCATCCCATCTAGAGTTTACTGCCGCTCTCAGCTCACTGGAGAAAATCGCCTGGGTGCGACTCGACGATGACACGGCACGCTTCACCGTTATTCCCGACACCGGGTCTCAAGTCTGGTCGTAAGCTCAAAGTTCGCTTTCGTTCACAGTATCAACGACATCTGAGCTTGACTAACTAACCGACCCTTGTGTTGCCCCCCAGAACCCTGCCCATGGACTTCATCTTTGACAGCTACCACATTCAGTCCGCGGAGGAGCACAACACCATCAACCTAGAGCTGCCACTGGCACTGCTCCAGCGCGCGCTGAGGTCCGCTCTTAACAGCACGTCGGCCTCACTGCGCTTAACTAAGAAGGATGGCGTTCCCGTGCTGTCGATGACCATCACCACAACGACAAGTACTTCCGGGGCAGGCCGCAGTGCAGCGTACGCGGGGCTCGAGAATGACCCCTTTGACGACGATGAGGGCTTCATGCCGGAGCACTTGACGTCTTTGCGCCATGAGAGGGAGAAGATCATCACCCAGGACATCCCCGTGCGCGTCCTGCACCCGGAGACGGTCGAGACCATCATGCAGCCCACGGTGCGCGAGACGGATGTTCACATCACGATGCCGCCTCTGCTCCAGCTCAAAGCCATCTCTGACAGGTTTACGAAGCTGGCCATGTCGTCAGGCACCTCCCGCGCGGGGCCCAAGCTGGAGCTGAGCGCCAACATGTTTGGAAGCCTGCGGTTGCGAATTGTTACTGAGAGCGTAAATGTGTCTACGACGTGGAGCGGTCTGGTAAATCCGGAGCTGGACGCTGCGCAGATCGATATGCCCCTTGAAGAGCACCCCAGTGTCAAGTTCAAGGAAGCGGGCCCAGATAAGTGGGCGACTGTGAGAGTAGACGGCAAGGATTGGAGCAGAGTGTTGAGTGTGGGTAGACTTGAAGGGAGAGTTGTTGCTGCTTTTGCGGATGAGCACGCTCTCATTCTTTACGTCTACGTACCGCAGTATGACGATGCGGGCGCGGATGAGGCGGTCCTCACGGTAAGATTGTGATTCATGCGGTACTGGCAACTTGCTAATATTTGACAGTACTATGTCGGATCGTTCAGCTTGTAAAATGTGGTGCTATTGGAGTTTGGCGTTGATATAGTACGATGAAAAATACCAGCTCTGACTTGGGGTATAGGACCCAAATATTTGCATGCACGAATAGTAAACAGGGCATAGAGCGTTGTGAGAGCAATAAAATAATTATGCTGCAATCTTAGCCGTGCGTGTTTTTTGCAGTCGTGCACTCGCTATAAGACAATAGTAGGGTATCATGCAAGTTTCTTAGAAGACCAAAAGCTTAACGGCGTTCATCGGGGCTGCGCCTTCGATCCCTGTGCCGATGTTCTCTGCTTCTGCTCCTCCGTCGCTGCTCCTTCCGCTCGCGGTCCTGGCTCCGACTTCTCCTGCGATGCCGCCTCTCCCGATCCTCATCACGATCCCTGGGTCGCTCGCCATCCCTGTCCCTGTCGCCGTCCCGCTCTCTCCTCCGTCGCTCGTCTCCGCCCCTCTCACGGCTCCGCCTCCTCTCGTCATCTCTCCTTCTCTCCCGTCTCGGGCTGCGACTCCGGTGTCGTCGTCTGCGCTCCCTATCTTCACCTCTGTCCCTGTCGCCTCGCTCTCCTCGGTCCCGTCGCTCCCGCTTCTCCTTGACCACAAGCCCGCCCTTCTGCTCCTGCTGCGGCTCCGGTGCTGGCACAGCGCCGATGCCTCTCGACCCGCTGACTTCCACCGCATTCGCGCCCGAAGTATCACGCTGCGGGACGGGCAGGCCCAGCGCGCGTGCAAGCGCGTCCTCCTCGGCCTCCTTGATCTTGCGCACCTCCTCGCGGCGCTCGCGCTCCTGTCGCTCCTCGGGGGTCTCGTTGCTGTCGCCGGCGTTGGCGTCGTCGTCGGCCTTGGCGTACCAGTTCAGGTCGCGGCCCTTTTGCCAGCGGCCGACGGGGGCCTTCAGGCTGTGGCCGAGGTAGTTTTCGCGGTGGTTGGAGTTGGCGACCTCGTCCCAGGAGAAGTTGACGCCGCCGCGGGAGCCGGATTTGCGGACACTCGAGAGGAGGTCCATTTTGAGTTTGGTTCTGTTGACGGTCGATCGTTGTATGTGAAGGTCGAGGGCAGATTGGGATAAGTGTTTGTCTAGCAGTTGTTTGTCGATGATTTAGTCTCTGACCCGGGAGGTCGGACCGGCAGGCATGTGCCTCACGTGATGGCGCCGTTCCGTCCCGCAAAAATAACCCCTGCAAAGTGCCTGCCGCTTTCCCTGCAGGTTCAATTCCAACAAGCTCCGGCCCCACGACACAAAAGAGCTCCCGTCTTCCGTGCACACTGCGGCTCTGCCAGCTCCGCGGACCAGTTCCCACATTCAACAACTTCACCACTCCCGTCCCCACGCCGTATCACCTCAGAACTGTCTCACGCAACGACAGCCACATCAATTCGAAATGGCGAACCCGGCCGGTCCTCCCCTGGACGAGATCCAATGGAGCTCTCCCTTCATCGCGGCCGGCATGCAGGGCATACACTCCAACAGCGTCCTCTTCTACTTTGCCGAGTCGCCCTTCTTCGACCGCCAGTCCAACAACGCCGTGATTACGAACCAGGCCATGTTCAACCCGGCCCTTCTCAGGAACCTGTCCACCCGCGAGGCCTTCGAGGGCGAGCTCGACAAGATGACGGGGCTGGAGTTCCGCGTCCTCCATGCGCCTGCCGACATGGTCACGGGCACGGGCGTGTGGGTGATTGTGAAGCAGATGCGGCAGAAGAACCCGGAGAGGAACAGGATAGAGACGAAGCCGTTAGCGTACTACTTTGTCTGCAACGAGAACATCTACCAGGCGCCCACATTGGGTGACATCCTGAGCTCCAAAATCGTAGGCCTCAGAGAGCTCCCACCGCGCCAAGGAAGAAACGCTGACTGGAGGACAGGAAACGATAGCAGATTCGATGCGCAAAGTCTTGCCCGCCGCCGACAGCGTGCGAAAGTGGACGCCTTCCCTGGGCCACGTCTACACGCAACCCACGACCAACCTCTCCAATAACAAGGAAGACGCGGCAGCCAGCACGCCGATGCCCGACGGCGGCAGCACCTCCAGCGGGGCCGCCGCAAAGTCTACGAAGAACAAGAAGGAAACCGAGGCCGCCGCGCTGGACAGGCTCGCAGAGGAATCCTTCGCGATCCACATGCGCCACGGCGGGGACTACTTTGACGAGAACCCCATCACGGGCAGACCCGGCGACTTCCACTTTGCGAGCACGGGGCGCAAGGACAACAGCAAGATCGTGCCGCCGCCGCCGCCGGTGGCGGCCCAAAAGCCGCAGAAGCCTGGCATCAACACGAAGCTGGCGGAGGAGGCGAAGAAGGACGGCAAGGGGGAGAAGAGCCCCAAGACGCCGAGCATGCCGAAGCCCAAGAGGAAGAAGAGCAAGATTGCGACGCCGGGTACGACGCCTGCTCCGTCATAGGTGGCGGGGCGGTCCAGACGTGGCATTGGTTTTGGCGTTCGAGTGTAATGATACCCCCTTTTGGTTATAGAGTGATCAAATCACGTTACCGGCTACTACATGAACCGTTCAGATTGTGACTATTTCTTGCGCTGGCGATGGCTTTTTACATATATATAAATCGACTATTCGGTCATGGATTTCAGGCGCAGCTCCCGGCTCCCAGCTCCTCAGTCTCCCTTCACCCACCCACTACTTTCTCTCAGCCACATCTCCCAGGTCTGGAACCCAGGCTCCAGTTCCCTTAACTTCTCAATATCAGCTTTATAACCCTCCTTCTCAAACCAGTCCATACTCCTCCCCGCATCCTCGACGGCCCAGCGCACAGCACGCCCGACAACCGTCCACGTCTGCGGCATCGCCCTCCCCACAACCTTCTCAAACGTCTCCTCCGCCTCCGCGAAGCTGATCTCATCGCCGGCCAAAGCAATCGCCCTGCCTCCCCAGCCATCAGGCCCCTCCATCAGCGCTCTGGCAGCAAAGACTCCAATATCTCGCGCGCTAACGAGCTGCAGCTTCCTGTCCCGCGGCATCGTGGCCCACAATCCGCCCATCACGGCCCCCATCGCCCCCGCGCCGGGGAGGTACTGGTCCATGAACCCAGACGGCCGCAGCACCGTCCACCGCGTCCCCGTCCCGGCGGCCGTGTCTCGCAGGTGGAGCTCCACGCGGTGCTTGGCCGCGAAGTGCGGCACGTCGGTCGGGTTCTCCCAGGACGTTTCGTCGCCGCCGCGCTCGACGCTCGTGAAGACGATGTGCGGGACGCGGGAGGCTATGGCGGCGTCGATCAGGGGGATGGCTTGCGCTTCGTCTGCGGGCGGGACGGTCACGAGGTAGACGGCGGAGATGTCTGCGTGGGAGGCGAAGATTGGCGCTGGGGATGTTGGTTCGCCTTGGATGAGGGTTATGGACGGGTGGGAGGTCAGGAGGGCTTGAGCTTTGGGGGAGGAGGGGGAGCGGGTGAGGGCGAGGATCTGGGGTGGGTTTGGATGGGCGAGGAGGGCGGAGATGGTTGCGGTGCCGGTGCGGCCTGTTGCGCCTACGACGAGGATCTTTGGGGCCGGTGTTGTCATATTTCTGGTGCTTAGATTAGTTTGTTATCGAGTCTGGCTTGAGAAGTTGTCGAGAGGGGGAGGGAGATATAGTCATGATCGTCAGCGGTCATGGAGACTTTTCGGATACTTTGATGGTAGGCGGTGTTGCGCCTCTGATTAGCAATCTGATCCGGTGAGCAACAGTTGCTGCTGTCAAAATACAAACTAAAAAGATTGAAGAATATCAGCATTATGGATTGCCTTCGTTAATTTTAACTCAATGAAGGGAATGGCTTGTAATCCACGTCCTACGGGAGGGAAAACTTCAATTCTACCAGCCTTCCACGCTAGCGTAAGAAACACATCGTGAACAATTAAAAAAATGGCACACATTCGATGTATTCTTCGGCGGATACTATTAAGACGTAATGAATAGATGCAAAAGTACAAATTCACAGTTCAAACTTTTGATGATTAAGTCTACCAACCCTTGGAAAATGACTGGCTACTGTGGTAGAGGCGGCCCGGACCAAGGCCACCTGACCTGGCAGTCGAGGAACGGGTGAGAGATATAAGGGCTTCCTCCTATGGACTAAGTTGAATAGACACAATTACGAGCATCTCGCTTCTTCGCCTAAAGTGATGTATGTCTAAGGTTTAGAAATTCCACTGTACTACATTTCGCCCTGGGCCTTTTCTCAGCTGCCATGCTACTTTTCCTACCGGACTCCCATCTGATGCTATATCTACACGTACCAAGCCGCCATGTCGCCTTTGACATTCCTTTCTCAATGTCTTAGTTGATGACGTACCCACCATCTACCGAAAGCGCAGCGCCGTGGATGAACGTTGCCTTGGAGCTGCAAAGAAACAAAACTGCATCGGCAACTTCTTGGGGCGTTCCCTTGCGCTTCATCGGTGCCACTGCAATAATGGGGTCGTCTGTAGAGATCTCACTTGTCATCGGAGTGCTATCATCGTCAGCATTCTGGCATTGAGCGCTGTGAGTTTGGTGGACTTACTCAATAATTCCGGGGCAGACACAGTTGATTCTGATGTTGTACTTTGCATACTGTCCACTTTTAGCCATTTACCTTGCAGGAGAGTGTAATGAAACTCACATCAACAGCATCACTCTTGGTGAGACTTAGTATAGCTGCCTTGGAGGCACTATAAGCGGCTGCAAGATGCGTTAGAAGTACGCCATGTGAACTAGGACCTGGGAATCTCACGAGTTTCTGGCCGGCTCACCAGACTCAGGTTGCTGGCAACATTGACAATCACTCCCCTATTACCTGGTCTGCCGTCGTGAGTCTTGAGCGGTTCTTGCTTGATCATCTGGGAGAGCTCGGCCTTGGAGCACAACCAGGTCCCACGGTAGTTCGTGGTCGTGATCTCGTCGAACTCAGCCGTCGTGAGAAGATGCGATGGGGCCTTTGGTCCGAACATGCCTGGTCACGTTCAGCCTCTCCTCCTTTCCTCTCTCACTGAATGCATCACGCCGTCAAAAGAGCAGGAAGAACTCACCGGCACAATTGACAGCGTAGTCGATCCGTCCCCATTCTTCAGTCACATACTCCATCCCGGCAGAGACGTCATCCTCGTTGCGGTTGTCGATTTCAATGACAAACGTGCGCGTGTCGCCGTTGGCTTCTCGACACCGGCGGGACGTCTCAGAAAGGCCTTCTTCATCTTTGTCGAGGAGGGCGATGCGCTTACAGCCTTCGCGGGCAAAGGAGACTGCGACCTGGCGTCCGATACCTAGGATTGTAAGCTAAACGAGCTGCATTATGTTTTGTTGTCTTTAGATCGTCACTTGAGACGAGCTGCATGATGCATGCGAGCTGGGGGCAGTTATACGGGTGACATACCGGACGCGGCTCCCGTCACGACGGCGACGCCCTCAAAAAGCGACATCTTTGCCCTGCCAATCATGGAATCTTTACTGTCGAGTTGGTCAAGGTGTTCAGCAATGGTTTCATGCCACAAATATCACACGCGGGTGATCTGCACGGAATGACGATCCTGTGATGCAGATATTATCCAGCCGGCATGTAAGTGGACAACCAGCTCCAGCCCAAAAGTCACGGGCAAAGTCGACTCAAAAAAGTAAACCGCAGAGTCAGCGTCAGCACACGTACACACCACACACACATACACCTGAGCGCACCTTCCCGCCGAACCTCTCGTAATCTTCTGTGGAACTCAATTCAACTCAATCTAGAAAAGCTCGCGAATTCTTCGCTCGGGTCGGCACGGCCTTCCCTTGCTGCCACAGCCCGTTTGGGGAGTTCCTCCTTCGTCCGAAGTTCCTTTCAAGTTTCTCCATGGGGCAGAATACCGAGCGAGGGAACACGTAGCCCTACACGCAAAAAGGGCAGGCCGGCCTCAGTAATTCAAAAAAGTCTGGGCTGATGTCCCTGCTCTCTGTGCCAACCACGTGTGCAAAGTTATGTGCATAGAAACGGGTTCGCACGGATAACGTGCTCGCGGATCGCACAACTCGTCGTATCCGGGTTTGATGTACATCAACGCCGTTTGGGGACATTTCCGGTTGAAACAAGTCATGACTCCCGCGGAGAACCTCGTTTTCTGGAACAAGCACGGAAGAGCGGTTGGTTGTCATAGCTAGTTGATGACGACTTCTTCAAAGTTGAATGTCTTGCACGAACAACGGGATCTGCAGTTGAACGCCGTGAGTACGGAACCCTCCGTCTATTCTCAAGCTCAAAAACCAAATTCACCAGTAATTACTTTTTTGTTTACCCCATAGTTCCCCAACGCCTTATTCAACAACCCACCCCTTCCCAGCAACCTTGCGCTGCGTAACCTTCTTCATCGGCAAAGGCCACCCCTGCCCACCCACACCTTCGGCGCGGAGATACGGCACAACCCACACCTCCCTCGTGCTCGCCGTCGAACTGATCTCCTTCACCGGCTTGCCGTAGCTCACGAGCGGCGTGCCCTTGGCCAGGCTCGCCAGCTGCCCTCCCGTAACGTCCGTGAGCGTGTGCATCCTCGTCTTGGGCGTCTTCCCCGGGTCGCCCTGCGTCGCGCGCTGCAGGTGCGAGTACACCACCCACTCGGGACACTCCGCGGGGCTGAGGTGGGACATCGGCGACGACGGGTGGAGGTAGACGAACTTCTCTGCGTCGTGGCCCACGCCAAGCGGCGAGAGGGGGATGTAAGGCACGTCGATCGCCCGGCGCGGCTTGCGGCCCATCTCGGGGGGCACCGGAGACTTGTCGGCGCGGAGAGCGACCTGGTCGATGAAGCCCGCGGCCACCATCTGCTTCAGGTACGCGACCTGCTTGTCTGACGGCGCGTCCAGCTTGTCCTGATACTTGAGGTTCTTGAATGCCGGGATGTTGGCGCGCAGGAGCTCTGTGATTTGGCTGCGCAGCTGCGTGATTTCCTTCATGACCTTGTGCCGCACAAAATGGCTCTCGCACCACTGCTCCGTCGGCTCGTGGGCGTACTCGCCGATGACCTGCAGCAGCTTGATGGCGTCGGCGCAGTCGTCGAGGTAGCAGAACTTCTTGTGGGCGGCGTTGAAGGCGCGGCGGATCTGGGCCTGGCGGTCCTCGGCAAGCATGTCTGCGTTAGTGCGGAACTCGTCGTCGCCCTTTGCCGCGAGCGCGGGGATGGCCTGGTGTTCCGGGACGAAGATCTCTGCCGCGGACAGAGCGGCAACCATCATGATCGTGTAGGGGAGGCAGTCGTGCTGGTGGCCGACGAGGAGGATGCGCGCGAAGCGCGGCGAGAGCGGGAAGATGGACATGGTCGATCCGATGCGCGTGACCTGGCCCTCTGGCGTGATGGCGGAGAGATATGTGAGGAGCTTCTCCGCCTTGCGCAGGCCCATACGGTCCGGCGGGGTGGGGAAGGGGAAGTTAACGACGTTGGAGAGGTTCATGGACTTGAGCTGGAGGACGACGCCGTCGACGGGCATGCGGAGGATTTCGGGGTCTGTGAACTCGGGGAGGTCGCGCTCGTAGACGGCCGAGGAGTAGAGCCTGTAGCAGTGGCCGGGGCCGGTACGGCCGGCACGACCGGCTCGCTGGCTTGCGCTGGCCTTGCTGATCCAGCCAATCTCGTAGGTCTGGACGCCGCTGAGGCGGTCGTATTGACGCTCCTTGGCACGGCCGCAGTCGAAGACGTAGCGGATCCCGGGGATTGTCAAACTGGTCTCGGCGACGTTGGTCGCGAGGATGATTTGACGGGTGTTTTCTGGGGGCTCCTCAAAGACTCTCATTTGTTCTCTGGTCGGCAGGAGGGAGTAGAGAGGCAAGACTTGCATCTTCAAGGGTCCCGTTTCCCCTTCCTCTCCTTCGATCTCAAACTCCTTGTCGTCCTCATCTTCCATTCCGTCGTCGTCGACCTCGTCATCGATTTCGTCAAAGTCTCCGTCCTCAACCTCGCCAAAGTCGATGTCTTCCACTTCCATAGGGGCTTCGGTAGCAGAGATCTGAACCTTGGGTGCACTCGCCCCGGTAAAACCGCCGAACGCAGCCCGCAGTTTCTTGCTCAAATGCATAATCTCGTTCTGGCCGGTGAGGAAGACGAGGAAGCCACCTGGTGGCAGCTTCTTGTGACCTCGCATGATCTTCTTGTAGGCCTCGTCAACGTAGTCAGACTGCGTGCGACGGGTAAAGTGTATCGTGACAGGGTGTTGACGGCCCTCCACCTCAACAACAGGGGGCGGCGTCGGGAATAGTGTCGCGTTGTTCGTCATGTCTTCAACTCTCAGCGTCGCGGACATGATGATGATCTTGAGCGGCTTGATATTGGGATCGACCTTGTCATCGCCCTTGCGGATGTTGTTGATACGGCTGAGCATACCAATCAGGATATCCGTGTTGACGCTTCGCTCGTGGGCTTCGTCAATAATGATGGCCGAGTACTTCTTCAGGGAGAAATCCTGCGCCATCTCTCGCAGCAACACACCATCGGTCATGAACTTGACGGCCGTTTTGCTCGATGTTGTGCCCTCGAAGCGGATTTGATACGCGACCCTGTCTTGGTGATCACCCAGCTCCTGAGCCACACGTTTGGACATGCTCACCGCAGCGACTCGACGAGGCTGCGTCACGCCAATCATGCCCGGTGTGTCGGAGTTGGGCGAGCCATAGCCCGCTTCGTACAAAAATTGAGGCACCTGCGTCGTCTTACCGGAACCAGTAGAACCGCACACAACGACAATATCGTTATTGTGGATCATTTCCATGATCCTTTGCTCTTCCGCCACAACCGGGAGCTTCATGCGCACCTCCTGGATCTCGGGAGTTCTCGTTACCGCAACGGCGTAAGCCTTCCGGGCGATGTTCGTCGTCGGCTGGAGCTCCTGGGGTAGCGGCTCTTGTTCCACAGGTCTTGGCGTGAAGTTTTCGGGCTTGGGTATATCGAGTGCTGTAGTTGATGGTGCGACTGGCTGGTAACCCAGAGCCTGATTCCTCTGAGCGTGCGCCCATGCCTTGAAGGCAGATTGCCTCTTGCTACCCGAATCGCTGTCCTCGTCCATTTCCTCGTCTGAATCGTCGGATCCCTCGCTCGATTCCTCCTCCTCCTCGTCGGATTCCTCTTCTGAGGACTGATCTCCAGAACTCTCGCCACTGTCTTCGCCGTCTCCATCTTCTCCCTCTGAGCTGAAGCCACCCCATTCCTCCTCTGCGTCATCCGCTTTTTCGGTCTCGACAATTGAGAACTTGGATACGACACCGCCTCTCTTCTGACGCTTCTTCAGAACCGGGCGACCGTCATCGCCAACATCCAGCGGGCGCTTCAGACCAGACCCTACGCTAGCAGGAATTTGCGGCTGCGGTTGAGGTTGCGTCTCCGTTTTAGCAACCGGCGCAGGTTCCGAGTTAGCTGTCTCTGCTACTGGCTTCAATTTTGTTGTGGGTACTGTCTTTGGCGCAGGCGCCTTCTTCGGTGCCTCAATCGCTTTCGGAGTCTCTTCCTCGCTCTCATCGCTCTCCGCCTCCGGCGTCTCTCCCCTCTCCTCATACAGCATCTCCTCCGCCTGCTCATCCACCTCCAGACCCGCATTCTTCTCCCTCAGCGCCCGGGTCAAAGCTTGCCTCTTCGTCTCCTTGCCCTGGCCCAAAGACTTGGTACTCGTAAACAGGCTGGTGTCGACTTTTTGCTGCGCCAACTTGGCCAGGATCTCGCGGTTCTCATCTTTGCGCATCTTGTTGGTGATATACTTCTCCAGGCGCTTCGCCTTCTTGCCGCTGACCTTGGGGCCATCTTTCAACAGGTCGGCCTTGATCTGGGCCCTCTTCTCCAGCAGGCGCTTCTGGTCTTCCGGGAGGATCTCATCGGCGTTTGCGTCCGGGAGGACGGCATTGTCGTCGGCTTTTTGGCGTGCAAGCTTTTTGTGCTTCCGCTCTCTGCGGACAAATTTTCCGGCCATCTTTTATAATTGAAGGTTGTTGCAACAACAGAAGCTGGACGTTGTGGCTATTGTGTCGGTTGATCGATTTCAAAATTCCTGACGATGGACCTGGCTCAGAAAATCTCAAGTGAGTTTTCGCGGTCTCAAAATCCGGACGAATGCTGTCGGATTCTATAGGGCGCCCCAAAGGAAGCAAATTCGTGACAAAACAAGCGGGGAAATTACTCGGCTTGCTTCAGTACAGAGCCATCATTCAAAGGGTATCAAATGACCGGAAAATGACGAAAGCCAGTTACCTCGTCTTTCAGTATACTTGAAGCCGACAAGATTCGCGACCAAAAGGTCTGGAAATTTTTGGGAAGAAGGAGTTCTGCCGCTCTGACCGCCTGTCAATGACTCCTAATATGGATTAGGGCGCACCTGGGGGCGATCAGCACCCTTGTCCCGGCCGCTGTAGTGGGGCCGGCGTCACTGAAGGCGCTGCCCATGACGGCGCCGGAGCTCCCTAGCAAAACACACTGGCCGAATTAAGAAGTCATCTTCTCCAGCAGGCAACAAATTCGGAATCATCTATAAACTTGATCCCGTCGAGACAAAACACTTCACTTCATTCATTCTCACCAATATGAACCCTCAAGGTATCAGGGAAGAGCCCTTCCCCGCCCGCAGCAAACAGGAAGCTGGCACGGTCAATGGTGTCCCAACGGAAGTCTCATCCATGGCCTTTTCCGACAAGATCATGATCACAATCTCGCAGGAGGGCAAACTCTCTCAATGGGTACTGTCACAAATTCGCACATATAGAAAGCTGGAATGCTAACCTGCCCCCCAGATCCAAGTACCACTGCAGGCTTCATCGGGCGGCATGGTCGACCTGAGCCTCCCATCAGCTAGTCGTGGCCTGCTACCTTCCGTCCATCTCACTCCTAAAACTCTTCTGGGAGGAGGCGGCGACGAGCGCGAGACTCTCGGCCAGCTGTACGCCGCACAAATTGCCAGTCTCATCTCCACGCGCGATCCGGAGGATCGAAGAACACTGGTTCTCGGATTGGGTCTCAACAAGGTTGACACAGAGCGGGAGGCATTTTTCGACACTGTCGAGTTGGTTCAAAAGGTGTTGTGATTGGTGTTGGAGTTGATGAGATGTGATATTGGCCATGATGAGGTGGATGCCTCCAAACGAAGCCAACGAAAATGCATTACATTCCCACACAATTTCTAATTCAAGTCCTCTTTATCGCGAGTTTGAGGCTCTGACAATCAGTAAAACCAGCCTCATGCCATGGATGACATATGACTGGAATGAAGGACCCAATTTCGCTATCGCGATATCTTGGACCGCTTGCCATGACTGCATTTTCGAGGTCTCCCTCGCCCTCGATTTGGATACGCGCAAATTGGAAATCAACAACTCCCAAATCATCTGATAATGAATGCTCAGGTAGAACTCAACCCAAAAAGGAACGATTGTAAATGCGCGTCTACTGCTCATGTGGGTGATGGTAAACTCCACCTTCAGAGTAGACCGTCGTAGTCGTTCTCGTTGAAGTCATTTCGGCGCGGGCATTGGACCGGAAACCCTTACGCAGCCACCCCGCTCGTAAAGCCGATTCGGGAAATAGTGATGTGGTAGTGAAAAAGTGCGGGCAGCTTGCATGTCAACGGTCAAGAAGTGCGGAGTTCCGAGGTTGCTGATAAATAAGTGAAGGTGCTCGGGCGATTGACATCATCTGAAATTGGTTCTCCGACATCCTAAACAACAACAACTGATTATTTTACCCAAGTCTGCCTTGTAGTAATTTGAGAAGGTGATGAAGCGCATTCAACAGCTCGGCCAACAATTGATCTCCAACATGGCCCCTACGAACGTGACCTTAAACAAGAACGGCATCCCGCCCTTTGAGTCCCTCCCCCTCGGCAAGGACGACCCCAGATACTCCGCCTGGGGTCTCTACGGCCGTGACGACGAACTCGGGACCTTGAACAGACTTACCGATGAGCGCGTCGCGGCGGCAGCCAGGAGCGAAATCAAGACAGGAGCCCGGTAAACCACACAAGACTCTTACGTACCTGATTCCTCGAGACACTGACAGAGACCCCCAAGCGTCTCCCTGAACTGGTCTCTCACAGCCCAGCCCGAACCCTTCTTCGCCCGCCGCTCCTTTCACCTCGAACTCCAGGTCAAAGCCCCTTTCCTCGCCAACGATGACATCTGGACCTTCAACTCGCAGTCCTCTTCTCAGTGGGACGGCCTCCGCCACTGTGGCTATCAGGAAGAGAAGCGCTTCTACAACGGCGTGACCATGGAGCAGGTCCACGCCGTTGACGAGAATGGAAAATTGTCGACTGTCAACGGCATTCAAGGTGAGTTGCCCCGTGCAATGAGACCGAGCAGTTGGAGCTGAGTGACATGAAGCCTGGCAAAAGCACGGCATTGTAGGCCGTGGCGTGCTGGTAGACTACCACTCCTGGCGCCTCTCTCAAAACATCACATACGACCCCTTCGCCCACGACTCCATCCCAGCCTCCGAGCTCAAGGCCTGCCTGGAAGCTCAAGGAACGGAGGTCAGATTCGGCGATATCCTCATCGTACGCACAGGTAATCTCTCCATACCAACGATTCACGCGGGCAGCAGACTCACATGCTTAGGTTTCATGGCATCTCACGCCTCAAAGTCCGCCTCAGACCTTCAGGTCTACCGCGCTGCCGAACCCCAAACCTTCAGTGGCGTGGGTCAGTCGGAAGAGGCCCTGCGCTGGATCTGGGAGAACTTCTCCGCCGTCGCGGGAGACCAGCCGGCCTTTGAGTGTTGGCCACGCAAGGACCCGCAGTACTGGATGCACGAGATCCTTCTTGGCGGCTGGGGCATGCCGATCGGTGAGCTGTTTGACCTTGAAGCTTTGGCTGAGCAGTGCAAGCAGGAGAAGAGATGGAGCTTTTTCGTGTCCAGCGAGCCCTGCCATGTGCCGGGAGGTGTTGCCAGGTGAGTCTCCACCATGTCCTCGGACTCTTGTTGCTAATATTCATTTGTAGTCCACCGAATGTTCTCGCCATTTTCTAGTGATGGCAGCTCTCGTCAGTTTTCATATCCTTTTCAAGATGGTTGGGGCAAATAGCACGTGTAATAGGAAATCCAATGCATAATGATATTGACTGTCCTAGCCAGCCTACTATATCAAACACGTTGCAGGAGAGGACCTTTTCGATTAAGAATCGTTTGTATGCGGCCCTCCTGAGATTCGCAGCCGCCTTGTCGATTCTATCTCAGGCTTGAAACACCTATGGCCAAACGACGACGGTAGCTGACTGATACCCCGCAAGCTTCATACTTGAAGATGCTCTCGAGATGTATTCGTGTATCAGCATTCCTAGCTGAAGTAAATGATGAAAGGCATTGCCGAGCCCGACGCCCTAATTTTGCTTTGAACTGCCGAGTGCCCTCTATCATAAACAAGTTCTAACCCCCAGAGCTCTCGCTTCATCCCTTATGACTCTTACGATCACTAAACATTCTGTCAGCATGGAAATTTCTCCTGATTGAGCGAATTGACTCACGTGCTCAGTCTCCTAGACAATTGTTGCAGCTTCTTATCGTTGGCAGCATCTTCGGCAGCCTTCTCGAGCGCCTGCTTCCTATCCTCATCTTGCTGCTTCACAACCTCGTCATGGCTGGGAGGAAGCCTCTCGTTCTGCAAATCAACCTTGCGGGCGTCTTCGAATGTGTTGATGGCGTTCTTGATACCCTCAGCACCAAGCATGAGCGTTCCAGCAGGAAGTCTGCCACCGGAGACGGTCTTAAGCTCCGTAACCCTCTCAGACTCCTCACGCAACACCTGGAACACACGCGAAAGACGGCCAATCGCCAAGATCTTGTTCTTGATTGCGCGGCGCTTGTACTCGATGGACTCGGGATCCTGCGTTCCGGAGAGAGGGGGCGACATGGGACCGGGCGATGTGGACGAAGGAGTAGCGTCCTCTTTGAGCTCCTCCTCTGAACAAGTGCTAAGGATCGCGATAAGCATGTCGGTGATCTTCTCACCGACGAACGGCAGCGACCATGTGAAGACATCCATGAAGTTTGGTAGCCAGTACGGGTGGGGCGTGCAGTTGAATTGCCGGATATTCATGACATTGTTTTCGTACTTCAGAACAGCAGCCTTATTGTTGTAAACATCGAGGTAGTTGGGCGCCGAAAAGATGGTCATGACACTGGGGAAGCCCGTGGTACGCGTCTTGCGATACATTCGGTAGCCTGCATCTTGCGCCTCGTGGGCTCGAATGACGGAGAGCAAGTTGTTCTTCTCGAGGAAATTGCATGCGGCCGGGTACGAGAAGAAGTAGGAGCAACCGCGGACATGGTTATGCAGAAAATAGTCGCTGGTCTTTTCTTGTCCAAAGTCCTCAAGAGGGTCGGCCCACAAGATATCGCACATGAGACCCTGAGTGGGCGGCTCACGGAATCGATCGATCTGAACCGTCTTGTTAGTGCGTGTTTGATGGCAGGTCTGGAACAAGATCAACTAACGCTACGCAGGTCATCCAGAGTGTGCAACTCAGGACTCAGGCCACCGTGGATACACAAGAACTGCTTGTTCATGACAGCCGCAAGGGGCAGGCAGCAGAAGGACTCCATGCAGGCCTCGTAAATAGACTCAGAGTACTTGTGCTTGCACTCCAGCTTGAAGGTGAAGTAGTCCGTCAAGTGGCGACACTCGTGGTTACCACGGAGCAGCCACAGGGTCTTGGGATAGTGGATCTTCAAGCACCAGAGGTACAGGACACACTCGATACTGAAGTAACCTCTGTCGACGTAGTCACCGAGGAAGAGGTATCGCGTCTCGGCCGGGTCGCCACCGACCTCGAACAGCTTCATCAGATCGTAGTACTGGCCGTGAACGTCACCGCAAACAGTGATGGGCGCATCCATCTCGAGCAGGTTGGGCTCGGCGCGGAGCAGCTCGGTGGCGGTTCTGAGAATCCATAGGGCCTGCTCCTCGGTCAAGCGACCCTCGCGATAGAAGTGCTGCTTCAGGAAGTTGATGTTGGGCTTCGTGTGGGTTTCGTCCTCGAAGAACTGCTCGTCGGAGGGGGTGAACATGGCAGGAGCTTGGACATCTAGTAGAGGAATCGGGGGTTAGCGCGGGATTGATCGTCGGGCGGGGCTTGATTGCAATAGAGCGAGGGGCATCGTGACGCAGTCTGAGGCGGGGGAGGAGTGATGTCGTCGACAGCAGAAGCGGCGTACCTTTGCAAACTCGCTCCATGGTGTTGACTTGGGTGCCATCTTCCATGGTGTGGATAGTGAAGTCGATCTCGGGGAGGGGCTTCTTCTCGCGAATGGCGCGAATGGCATTGTCGACCTGCTGGTTGCGACGGTCGTCGGGACCAGGCGCGCTGCCTTCGGGGTCCATGATTGCTGGCTGGTGGGTTGAGGCGAGGTAAGGGGGAGAGAAGTCAAGTGCTGGTCGAGGGAATCGGTCGGGTATCGATGATGCAGAACAAGTGAGCGGTGAAGGACGGTAAGGATAGCACCAGCTCCTGATCAAGTCGCGATGGGCCTACAAAGAGGCGAGCTGGGTGGCGACAAGACGTTGGGCACGAGACGGGCGAGACCAGGCTTCGAAGCAATGCGAGGCGTGGTGAGGCGAGGGGTAAAAATTGAGGTGAGGAAAGATAGGGCTGAGAAGGGGGAGATGGGTGAAGGGGATGGGACGGGATGGGATACGCAGTACTGCACTCGGCAAGGTCCAGTCCAGTGTCCAGCGTTCGGCAGGTTTGCAGTGAGGTGTGCAGCAGCAGGTCAGGTCGCCAATTTGGTGCTCCAGTTTCGCAGTCCTTGGTACTTTAGGTGAGCTGCGGGAGGTAAAGTCAGCCACTGATACCATTTAGAATGGCGAATCCACCGGTTCTCTAGGGGTGCAGTTGCTAAGGTAAGCTGCTGCCCGCGCGCGGGAGGGACCTAAGCTGGAACGCACACCTCAGATGAAATGGCAGGTGGCAGGCCGACCGAAGACGTGTCCGCGGACGGCGGGGTGGGCAGGGCAGGTAGAAGGGACTTGGGGTCCCACTTTCTTCACGCGTGTATGCAAGTACCGGGAACACTGCTCTTGCTGCTACGAAGGAATACCCGAGCCTCGATTCAGACGCTCACTGTGCAGTGTCCTTCTTCCTGCTGGTCCCCTCTTCCTGTTTCCTCTGGTCGAGTGTCGTCTGAGAGGCAGCCGCAATGCTGGTGCAGCCTGTCAAAGGCGTCCAGTTGCCTCTTCCAACCCCACATGGCCGCAAGAACAGCGCCAAGCACCTTAGGTTCGAGGAAGTACCAGGTACGTATCCTCGAGAGAGGTCCCTCGACCTTCCCCTCCCCCTCATCACTGGCGCTACCTTACCTTACTTTTTCCACTTGGCTCCAGCCTCCAATCCTGCTCCCGTCGTATCTTTCTTTGGTGTGCTGTAATGATCAGGAGCACCAGAAATCCCATGCTTCGGATTGGGTGGTTTCCCTTTCGCTTCAATTGTCTTTGCAACTTCCTCCCACCATCAACGCAACCAGGGAACACGGCATATATCACGCGACACGATCGATCTCGCATCTACGCCAATTGGCATCAATTCTTGATCTCATTTAAAGCCTCTAGTTTCTACTTCTTTCCGGCTCTCCAACCGTCTAATACATGGGTATTCTGGGCTTTATTCTCCACCCACTGCACAGACTCGGATTCAGTCGCCGTTATTCAACGGGCCATGACCGACTTGCAAGATTGGTCGCGATCTGCACCTCAAGTTCTTTCGGCTTTATGCATATCGCCCAATTGCCTGACGCGGTCGCTGTTCTCCTCCGACTTCGTGCAGCTTGTGAGCCGCTTTCGCAGCCATTGCCAAAAATTTATCATAGACGTCTGCTTCATGGCAAGCAGTAGCCTCCGTCGACGGTGATGTCGCAGCCAGTCGTGTACGAGGCAGCGTCCGAAGCAAGGTACAAATAGGCGCCCTTGAGTTCCCTAGGCTCTCCTTCACGTCTGCCAATTGTCAGCCACGTCACAAGCACGCTTTTGTGTGCCATCAACTTACCCCATAGGTGTCTTATTTCTCCACTGCTTCTTGGACTCTTCCGGGACGAAGTCGGTGATCTCGGTCTTGATGTAACCAGGAGAGACTGTGTTGACGCGGGCAAAGTCGACCCATTCAACAGCCAAACTCTTGCCTTTCCAACTTATTAACTTCGCACCACCCAAGACTCACAGGAATACTCACAAAGGTGGATCACGGCCGCCTTGGAGGCGTTGTACACCGCCTGCGCCTGTGGCACGTTCACAATGTGGGCACTCATGCTGGCAGTCGCAATGAAGCTGCCATACGTGAAGCCCTCGAGAGGCTTGCCGTCGAGCGTCGTGCCCTCCTTCTTCTGTCGGCGGAAATGAGTGCCGGCAACCTGGGCGCAGTAAGTTGTGCCATTGACGTTGACGGCCATGACCTTATCGCCCTTATCCATGGGCCCGTCAATCAAAGGGCCCTCCTCCCAGGCAATGCCTGAGTTGGCGACGAAAATATCCAAACGGCCGTTGAACTCAGAGACGATCTGCTGGACGGACTCTTGAATCGATTCGTGGGATGTGACGTTCACCTGGTACGCTCTGCCTGCAAAGAGAGGTCAGCAACTCAGCTCCAGCCATGCCGCCAACCGCAACACAAACATTGGACGCCGTACTCCTTCTCGATCTCGGCTGCTCGTTCCAATGCTTTCTTGTTGCTGTTGTACCAAATGGCAACGTTTGCGCCAGCCTCGGCATAGGCGTGGGCAATGTTCAGACCAATGCCAGCGCCCGCGCCGGAGACGATGGCCGTCTTGCCCTTGAGTGAGAACAACGGCAGCACACGGTTGCCGGCCGGCGGCTCTGTGGCGTTGTTCTTGAACGCGCCGTCTTTCATGTCGGCCATATTTACGATTGTCGTGGAGAAGGGCTGAAATCTTGCGAATCTGCTGGCGGTTGCTGCACGAGGGACACAGAGGACTCGAGGCCGTGAGACGGCGGCGCGGAGGACGGAACCGAACATTTTATTGAGGAGCGGCAAGAAGAATATGCCGCAAGAGGGCCTTGAGTTCTTTCTGTCTGACTTGGTTTGACAGGGTTCTAGGGAGAAGCTTCACCGCAATCTGAGAGTCTTTGAGGATTCCACGAGAGGGTCACGAAGTACGAAGATTGCGAGGGGAGGAGCAAGCTAATACTAATACCAGTATGGTCGGCGCGCCGCGGCAATGAGCGCCCCTGGTTCATGCGATTTGGGCCGACGGAACAATATTGAGCGAGGTGACGCGGTGGAGCTTCGAGAAGGGGTAGCTGTGCCGCCGCACCGCCAGGATGAACGGATGGAGGGGTAGCAAAGGCGGTTTCCAGGTCGTGTCATTGGCATCATGGCCGCCGTCATTGACCCTGAAGACGGCACGGCACTAATTAGGGCGACGGCCGCTTCTGCATGTCGCATGTGTCTTCAGCAACATCGGGCGCCGCCGGGGGGTGGTGTGTGGGTGCATTGGTGCCATGGGGGCCCGGGGTTCGGGGGTATTCGGGTCACATTGCTCCAGATTTGGCGGTTTCCAAGTTTCCAACATGCTAAAGTTGATTCTACCGCGGGCAGATGCTGGGACGGAGGGGCCTGAATCGCGGGGCCATCGGGGCTAAAACGATCCCCGCTTCAACTCGACTGGCGCGCTTCTAAGTTCTGTCTTTCAAGGTCCAGCCCGCCTGGCCCGCCATCTTCGTGAAGGGCTCATATTAATGCCTTTGACCTATGTGTCTGCGTCTCTCATGCCAATGCTTTCGCCTTTCGCCTTTATATGCACTCTTTCCCTGATGCAACTGTCACTCGCCATGCAATGCTCAGTATGCGTTTGCTTATCCGGCAACCCTGTCCAAGATTTGTTGGCGAGGGAAGTTTGTGTTTCTCCAGCGTGAAATGAAATCGTCTCGGCAGACTGGCGCAAGTCAGAGGAACATTTTTCATTCTGATCGCTCGAAGGGCAAAACTTACTGTAACCACCACAGATGCGTCTTCTTCCTTCAAAAGCACTCCGTCCATGCATCACGCGCCAATTGTCAAAGACTGAAGGAAACACACAAAAGTCAGCAAAGCACGGTCACAGCTAGAGCATTTTCCACCTGCGAGGAGCACACTTACTCAACACTCTGCCCGGCGTGAGCTGTGTCCAAAACTCCATGTCGGGCCGCTTGAGAATCTCGTTCCACTTGCGGGCTGCCGCGTACCACTCCTCCGGGGCGATATCCTTCGTAAAGGGCACGACGCCGCGGTCGTCGTTGTTCCACCGCACCCGGTGCACCTTCCCCGAGAGGGGATGGAGCTCGAGCACGGGGTACAACCTGTCGGGCGAGATGGTGATGCCCTCGTTGCCGCTGGCGTGCCAGGGCAGGCGCAACCTGGTGAGGATGTCGAAAGCTTTCTCGTCCTCCTGCTTGAGGACGTTTGCGGCGTGGAAGCCGTCCACGAGGAGCGACTTGCCGCCTAGTTCGCCGTCGGCGGAGGGCTCGCTGCCTGGCGGGGCCTCGTGGGAGAGCATGTGGAAGGCTTGCAGGCCGGCGGGGTCGGTGAAGTAGGTGGTGTCGGTGTGCGCCGGCAGGGCGATGTTGGTGTAGGCCGTGTCGGCCATGGCCATGTCGGGGATGAAGTCGTAGAAGCCGCCGTAGTGCGTCTCGCGGATGAAGGCGATTCTCTCCAGGACTTCCTTCGTGGCGCTGGGCGTGTCGAAAGGGACGCCGTCGACGAAGGCGAAGCCACGCTCACGCTATCGTGGTTGTTCCACTTCAGCTACTGGCTTCCTACACAAAGTGAAAGGATTGGCTTACAATCGTGTTTGTCAACTTGGCGATACCGGAGTCTTTCTCTGGGAAAAGCTCGTTGTATTGGATTGTGGGAGGGTCTTGGTGATTTTGTTGGATCCCGTATTTAAACCTGGACCGTCAGCAGGACGATTCTTCTCTTGAAGGTGAGGACGACGCTTACTTGATGTCCTCCAGTGGACGGCTGTTACGGTATAGGTAATGGTTCAGAAAATCCCAGTTGTAAAAGCTCTCGTGGTTATCTTGGTTCCCTGCCCCCTTGGCGTCTCAGCGTCATCTTGGTGAGTTCACTGGAGAATGATGGAGACGTACACTTGATTTTCAGTCCCTTATTGTCACGCTCGATTTTCAAAGGTTGAATGTCCTCATTGATCTGCCATCTCAAGGTTCAGTTGGGATGATTTTGAGTTGAGTGAGTGAGAGAGAGAGAGAGATAAGTGACGTACAGCGAAGGTATCGAAGTTTCTCTGCATGGTGTCCTGGTTCACGCATTGGCTGCATCGGCAGTTGTCCCTTTATACTTCATCAACGGGCCGCAACTCTGACGGGCCGAGAACCAACATACCTCAACCAAAAGTGCGGGCTGCATCGGAAAAGTCACGCAGTCAGCGGTGAATCTCAGACTGGTGCATTGCTGCTTCATCGAGCTGTCGGCGCTGGGGGCGGGACGGCGAGAAAGCCAACTTACAGTGTCGTCCGGCGTGCTCGGCTGTTGCGCCCAACTTCGAACTCGATGCCGGGCTTGGTGGTCTTGACCTTGGCAATCTTGTTCTCGTAAACAACACGCCGGGCAGCGGTGGTTGCGGAAAGCTGTCTTGAGGCGGCGTTCACACGGAGGCGCGGTGCGGCGCTCAACGCAGGACGCGCGAGACTACTACGAACAAGCTTCAATGTGAGACCACTTTCGACTTTCACGTGTCATTCGCAACGCCAATTGAAGAGAGAAATGCAGAATAGAGAATGGCATTTTGTTTTTTTCGCCGTTGCTGGCAATTGGGAAATCCCATACCTTCCGGCTCGTAAGCCGATTTGTCTGAACGACATTGTTATCGTGGGGGATCGGTGGAAGGGTTGCTGCCAGGTAGAACTCTGATCGCGCCGAAGTGGATGTGATTATGGGCAGAGTTGGAGCAAGTTCGGAGGCGGCGGGGGATGAGGTAGGGGCCGGGATATTGAAAGTCGACGTTTGTATTTGTTTGAGAAATGCGACGGATCTGAGTCGGCATCGGGTGGAGGGAGGGATGTCTACTTTACTTAGGTAGTCTTTTCCTGGGGGAGGCTCATGTCGTGGTGTGTTTGGAGGGGCATCCTCCACCTCAGGCACATGATGCCCCCACTTATCCGTCGAGATATGGCATAGGCAGAGTGAAGAGAGCCGAAATGCTTCGGTTTTGCACTGACATCGACTGATTGCTAGGCGGGAGGTTTTCGGGGCATGGCGGGGAAGGTTGCCCCCGGGCAGCGGAGGTGTTCTCTTCCCAGAGAGTTGAGGTGCGCTAAATTCGAGGTTGTCCTAGGCGCACGCATGTGCTGTGGGTCCTCCATCTTCTTGGCTGCCCGCTTCATTGTAGTGTTCCTTTGGCCCGTTGTACAACCTAAGAAACCTGGAAACTTTACGAATAGTCTTACAACGTGGACTTGCTTTGTCTGTTTCTTTCATTAAGCATCTCCAACATGGGCCCTGTCTACCGCCAAGTTCTAACTTCACAGCGGCCCACTTGACAAGTGCCTCGAGCTCTTCTCCCCTACAGCTCGCCACGTCGTCAACTGGAGAAGAGAGTGCGCCTCGCTTCGCCCGCATCGTGTCTGATCGTCTCCAGACCGCTTCCGAGACCGATTGGGGCCTGAAAATCCGTTCAAGCGGGATTCTTGTTGCTCCCCCATCGCGTGGCAGAAATAGCCGCCGTGTCCGACTACTTGGGACTGTTGGAACTTCTACAGCGACGACAGCCACCCGAATTTCGGGGACGTGGCAGAGAGGGGATGGGATCTCCCAAACCCCCCTGCTGCCCTCAAGCGCCGGAATCTCCAACCCGGCATCTCCCAAGACCAGGATCTCTCAGAGCAAACAGGCCAAAAACGAGAAGGAGTGCAAGGCACTCTGCTCTCCTTCGCATCTTCGTCCACTCACATGACTCAAGAGGTTCCGGCACTCTGGTTCAGATGCCTGTCCACCGTTTTTTAGTCTCGTCTCCTGCACGTTGGGAGTTGCTGCTTGTTGGTGCTCATCGTTTGTGTCGCGCGTAGGGGGCTCTTCTCATTGGCCGTGCTGGCGACGAGAGGGCAGAGACGACGCAGAGAACATCAAACCCAACATCGCGGCAGAGTCTGCGTTGCGGTTGGCTGGATTTGTCCATCTGGTACCAACAGCTCTCTTTTTGGTGTTCTCATTTGCAAGGAAGAAGACGTTCATATACCATCATGTCCCTTCTCTGGACATGATCCCGCCGAGTGGCGGTTTCTCTTCGAGCTGTGCCGTCGAAGGTCTACATTGGACCTTTGTTTTTGAGTCTTTTTGATATTCCATTCATCTCCAAATTACTACATAATGTTTTCAACCCTACTTTGGCGCAAAGTCTGTGTCTTTGCATGGCTAGTCTGCCATAATCACTTCACCTCTGGCCTTGAGTTTACACCCTTATCCCAACCCCACGATACCCTCTCTCTTACACAGAGAGACTCATCACGGCCCAACGCCAGCTGCCCCGTCGATGGGCATGTTGCCTGCGGTAATGGAACTCCCGACTACTTCTGTTGTTCCAGCGACACGACATGCATGGTCTTAGCATCCAGCACCACGGCCCTTTGCTGTCCCAAAGGCGCATCATGCAACGCCATCACCACGATAACCTGCGACATCACCAAGCAAGACGTGGTTGAAAATCCAGGCAGCGTGATACACACCACGAAACTCAGCGAATCTCTACCGAAATGCGGAAAGCAGTGTTGTCCGTTCGGTTACAAATGTCGCGGCGGATCTGCCTGCGTGTTGGATGAGGACGAAGATACCAGAAGCACCACCAGCACGAACACCATTGTGACGAGAACAAAGAGCAATTTAGTCTCCACGACATCTGGTTCCAGTCTTGCAAACACCTCCGCAGCAGAGGCAACTGAGACAGCAACCACCGTTGCCGAGAGGCTTCCGGCGTCGAGAACCCCGTCCGCCACCGGAGTCCAGCAGATTCCTACACTGTCTACGACAGCTCCGTCAGTGTCAGAAACCCCAGCGGCCACTAATTCGGAAAAGACCACATCAGGGGGTGTGATAGCGGGCACCACTGTTGCAGCTGTCGCCTCCGTGGCAGGTTTGACTTGCCTGCTCTGGCTCAAACGACGCTCCATCTCCGAAAAGGTCGGCTCCGCCAAGTTCCCCCGCCCATGGCAGCAACTCGGCCAGAACAATTCTGACCAGGACGTCGCACTGCCGCGATACAACTCTCCACCGCCGGCGTACGCCGTACAGCAGCGTCCGCCTACCAAGCAGTACACGTTCAAGCACTATAGCCCAGAGTCAATAGGCGCGGACCAGCCGGTCGAGCTGCCTGCTACGCCGGTTTCTTTCAGCATGTGGAACCCTCGCAGTCCTCGCAGTCCCAGGCGGCCACGGTCTCACTTCGAACCGTACCGACGTCCTGAGTAATGCCGACAGTGGGAACGTGTGAGACCGGGGTTCACTTCTTCTTTTGTAGATACACACGCGGTTTTACGTTTACTTTCATGAGCGACGAGACACTCTGTACAATACCACGGGAGGGAGCAACTTTGAAATAGATTCAAGAAAAGTCTTTTGCCTACTAGAAGATATTCGCTGTTCCTGTTCCTTCGCTTCTTCTGTGCTTAAGAGTTCCATGATGGCAGGTACCCATTCTATATCTTCCAAAGTCCGGCAGATCATCCAGATAACAACTCGACATCCCAACCTTACGGTCTCTCTGTCCTCTCGAAAACCCCCTCACATCACCCAAGTCCACCTCCACCCGCCAAGATGGCATACGAAGATCCAGACAAGTTCATCTCCGACAGCACCCTCTTCTTACTCCCCGGCGCCATGATCCTCTGGCTCCTCATCTTCATGATCGTCACCCTCAGCTACAGCGTCAACAGCCCGCCCAAGGTCATGCCCCGCGCGGTGAACCTCGGGCTCGTGGGCGTCGCGAGCGTCTTCATGGGCCTCTGGCTGCTGGGTCTCATGGTCTGCTACTGCCGCGGCACGTTCCTGAAGGGCCGGTCGGGGCGGGACGTGGCGCCGGAACCGCCCGGCTGGGGCGAGGATATGGAGAAGAGGATGTGTAAGTTGGAGGAGCAGACGAAGCCGCCGACGCCGCTCCCGGGACAGGCGCAGCGGAATCATCAGCAAGAACAGATTAGACAGCGGGATGAGCGGTTATTGCGCCAGTCGCAGCCTTCTCAAGAGCAACCAATTCAGCAACCCATTCATCCTCAGAGTTTCCAACCGCTTTATTCTCAGCAATTTCCAACACAACAACAGCCACTTGGACAACAGCAGCCCCTTCCACAACAACAACCTCATCCATACCCAGTACAACCAGAACCTGTGCGTCATTACAAGGCCTTCCAACCGCAAGCTCAGCACCAACCCCAACAACAGGCCCATCAAGATGGTGTACGACGCCATCAATCAAGACCCATGCCTGACGGACCGAGGGACATGCCCCCGTCACAACACAGATCTCGCAACCGCCAACCGTCTCCCGGCCGTGCAAACCGATACCCACCTCTCACGAGCGGTTACAATTCCAGTATCCAGAACACACCGATTACGATGTATCATCCTCCTCGCTCATCAAGCCAGCCTCCGAGGGTCCGGTCGACCGTGCAGGAAGTCTCAGAGAGCCCTGGCTCGCCGCCGAGAGGAAGAGTGAGTCGCCGCCAGGGTTCCGACAATTTGAGACGGAGTCGCAGTTCGCCTCCTCCCGGAGAGGCCTTGCAGAGCGGAAGGCATTGGGAGCCTGCTCAAGACCATCACAGACCATTTGCACAGAATGATGCTTCATTGCTAGCATCCCCTGACTCGGCAACTAGGATAGCCATGACGGTGAGTTGTTTTCATTTGGCTTGAGATTCAGGGGAGCCCGTAACTGACTTCAACACAGGTCAAACCGCTTAACATCAATAAGCAACCCAGTCAGCGTGACGCGCATGCTCGGCCTTCTCGATCCAACAGCAGAACGAGAAGACAAGATGAATTCAATGCGCCAGATACTATGGTATCTATGATGCCTGACGCTTTGTACAGGGGAGATGGATATCCGCCAGTGTCTGCTCCGTCGTCGCCTCCGCAGGTTTGTCAGGCAGCTCCAAGCCGGCAAAATATGCCTGCTCCAGATGATGTGCCAGTGGTACGTGGTCTTCCTCAAACATCCAGCACTCCCCAGAAGACAGAGCTTTCGAGGAACTTTTCTCAAATGAGCTTTATAAAAAATGTAGGTGACAAGAACTGGATGGGTAGAATTTCCTGGATGACTAACCGTGATGAGTAGGCAAATTGTTGAGCTAGAATGTTTGATTACAATGAGGTTGTTTCTTTAGTCGATGGATGTTCTTCAACAAGTAAACCTCAGAATTGTCCGTGCAAATAAGACATTCCTAGCGTTATTGACTTGAGATAGTTCGAATGTGAGCAAACCCTTCGTGTTACTACCAGAGCTCGCCGCATTGCAATGTCATCTTGTCTAATCATAGCTCATTCTCATCCAAAGGAACGCAGTCGGTTCCAGGGCCCGAAGAAACTTCTGCATACGAACTCCTCGAACATTTCATCGTTACACAAGCCCACAGCTCAGACCTCAAGCTCCTTCACATGAACTCAATTCCACAACTCCTGTTCGTTTGACGTTGTGCCTAAGAATGAAGGGAAACGTCAAAGTCACGCGCAGTTGTCGTCCGATGTAAGAAAGGGGGCTGAGCTGCGTGGAGGCCCGGGTCCTTGGAAGCTCGAGCGCCCCAGGGAGTGCCTGGTCTCGTGCGCATGAGCTATCCAACCATGACATCTCTTGGCCATGGAACTTCCGCGAACCTACATGCTATACCACAGAATGGATGGAGGGGGAATAGTAGGTTCGGTCGCGTCGGCAGGAGGGGGGTTTCGTCATCAGCAACCACCCCGTCTGTGAGCTCTTAAAGATCCGACTATCGTCTCAAAGCAACGCTGTCTTCTTCATGTCACCCAACGTGTCATTCAGAGTGATCCAAAGCTACCAGACCCCTTCACACGATACACCAAAACAGAGCGAGCACACCTCGGCGATCGAAGCGCCAAAAGATGGCTGAAGAAGCGCCGTCCTCCTGGACAGACACGATCTACAACCTCAACCGCGGCGACCTCGACGCCGAGCTCGAGCGCCTCGCCTTCAACCACTTCAACCTCTGGACCCCCCTCACGGGCGACCTCCTGCCCCCCCAAATCCTCAAGCACATCCTCTCGAAAGAGCGCCCCCGCGTCGCCGACGTCGCGACAGGAAGCGGCGTCTGGCTGGCGTCCCTAACAGAGATCCTGCCCCCGCGCGCGGAGCTGGTCGGCTTCGACATCGACCCGCTCAAGTTCCCCCCGCGCCCGCCGACGCCGCCGATCCCCCCGCCGCCGGTGTCGCCGCCGCTCCGGCCGCAACAGCCGAGCCTTGATTTTCGCGTCCACGACGTGCTGGAGCGCTTCCCCGAGGACGCGCGGGGCACGTTCGACCTCGTGCATGTGCGGCTGCTGGCGCTGGGGCTGAAGACGGACGACTGGGACGTCGCGGTGGGGAACCTGGTCGAGCTGGTTCGGCCCGGGGGCTGGGTGTTGTGGGAGGACACGGCGGACCTGTTCATCCGGGCGTATCCGCCGAGCAAGGCGTACGACGAGTGGTGGTGGGCGATCATGAGGCATGGCGCGCGGATCGGGAGGGATCCTTTGTAAGTTGTGTCCCCTCCTGCGGTTGAGGAGCTGTCTCGCTGATGAACCGACAGTATGCCCTCTGGCCTCTCCCAAAAGTTCGAAAACGCCGGGCTGCAGAATTGCGAGCAGAAGATCTGGAGCTCGTGGGCTGCGGACAAGGGGTTGCAGGAGAACGCGACCGCTGCCATTCAGAAGCTTGTCAGGCCGTCGCTGGCGGCGGTGATACAGGACGGCGGCGCCGAGACGATCAAGGATTCGGGAGATATCAGTCGGATCGAGAGGGACATCAGGAGAGACGTGGACGAGAGGGGTGTTCAGGTTGGGCTGGATTACTTTTGGATTTGGGGACAACGGCCATATTGATGCCACCTGTGGTTCGGATCTCCTCTCCTATGTATGTACTGATGGCACACACGCTGTTGTTAGGAGTGATTGGCTTTGAATCGAATCTCATCATGCGAACCCCCAGAGCCTTCGCAACTCTGCAGATCTGTCGGATGTCTTCCAACCTGTTTCCTTCTCGATTCTGGCCAGTTGCTTTAGCAATGCCAGTTTCTCCAAGGCGTACTCCTCGCCATTTCCAAAACAGTCGTCGTAAGTGTCAGCTGGCTGTGTTTCCAGCAGAGGTCCTCCCCAGCGGGAGGTTTTGGCAAGTGCCCGGCCCGCGATGAAAAGGGGCTGTAAGTGGTTCACCCAGTTGGCGCTATTTCATGAGACTTCAGCCTTGGTCACCGAGTATCCGTGTGTCAACTTACTGGGAGTCATTTGAGATTGATAACCCGCCCAATTCCCTAGCATGCCATATCGGATCAGACTAAAGGGGGTCAGTCCGTAACGCCCAACGGATTAAAACACGGGGAGGGGGCTGAACAAACCAGCTCCTTTTCTGTCGAACTTGAACTGACAAGACCAGTCTCGAGTAAGAGAATCGAGCCTGCATGGAAGAATGTGTTTCCACATACTCATCAATGTCAGCTTCAAGCATCAAATCCGCAATGATGAACCGAAACTTACTTGCGGCCGACGTAGTGAATACTACAGTGGGAAATGGGTTCCCACTCCCTCGAGGCTCTTCCCTCAAAAGCGGACATACATCTCTTGGTCGAAACTTCCACCAAATACTCAAATCTTTCCACAGATCTTCAGTCATGGTCACTCTATGAGCCGCCGAAATCCTGGGCGAGGGTGGGTTGTGAGCAATCAGGTTGATGATCTTGGCGAATATCAATATGGCCAGGTTGCAATAATCGTCAATGTCGCCGCTCACAGCGGCAGCTGCGGATACTGCCGGAATAGAATCGTTCTCAACCCAACATGTGGTAGAAAGCAAAGTCGTTTGCCCAATGATGAAGGCTGCCCAGATGTCTTTCGAACTGTAAGCATTGTGGCTTGGTGGAGGTCACAGAGCCACGTACCGATTCTGGCAAAAGCCCAAAAACATGATTTGATGATTCCTTTACTGCATCCTTTCCAGTTACGGCTTTTCAGTAGCCCGGCGCATCCCTGGACGAGCTTTAGCAGATGTCAAATGGTTCTCGAGAACCACATACGTTCAGGTGGCGTCTCCATTCCGAGACACTGGAAGCCATCATCTCGTATACACACAGGAGCGTACATGTCGCCAAGATGGAGGTGTCGGCTTCCGACGGATCTTGATAAATCAAAAGTCGGATGGTGTACTGATACAACTCCAAGGCAGTCTGTCTTTGCCTGCCTCTCAGTGTGTCGACCTGGCGTGAAGAAAGGGCTTGAGCGGCAGCTACGAACGCCCTAGACTCCATCATGGAGTGAATGCTTTTGACGGTAAAGTGCTTTTCAGAATCGGTAGTTTCACACCACGTGCCGGTTTCACGAAGGTAAGCCGTCATGAGGTGAGCTTGCTCGGCCTTGGATACGGGTAAGTCGAGATCTGGCAGTGGTGCTGCATCTGAGAATATTGCTTGGCCTAGAGAAAAGGGCGCCGTGTACGATACGACCGTTTCGGCATGCAACGCTGGGGCTTGGTGTGCGCCAGTGTATGCCGTGATGAGGGGCAGAATCTGTTGTTGCGCGTGCGCGGTTAGTCCAGGGGCCTCTTCTGCCGCTTTCCATGAGCCTTGATCCAAGTTCTGATCATCTGGAGTTGTCGATTCTACAAAAGGTATTGTGTGTGACTCTGCGTCAGTTTGCGATTCGGCTTCGTGGGTGACAACAGGGTCGTCGACGTCAGAGATTGGTGACGATGGTGTCACGCAATCACCCTCGAAGAATTCTACGATGTCGTTCGTGTCATCGACGAACTATTGATAAAGTATGTGAATAGGTGTAAAGCACTTTTGAAAGGGTGCTAGCAAAAGACGAAACGTACTTGATGTGGCTCGTCCGCATCTGCTTGTTCTGTGTTATCGGCCCGCCTCTGCTGTTCAACGTCGAGCAGACTGGCTTCGTCTTCAGCAGAAAGGGTAAGCGCTCGCGACGGGTGAAAGGAGACTTTGACGCCCCATGCGCATCCGTCTCCTCGGAACTCGCAATTTCGACATCTGGGACGGGCCCCATCGCCTTCTTCGGCAGTCAGCCACTTGATTCAACATCTGCCAAGGATCAACTCCCACTCACACTTCCGCTTTCTACTCCGGCATGGAAGACTGAATCTGGTTCAATTGCGAATTCTCATAGGGCCAATAACGTGTCTTACATACCATCCCGAACGTGTTCTCGTCCTCAGGGGCCGTTTGTAAGTTCCACCGTAAGGAGTTGACATCCCCGCGGCGTCGTCTGCCATCGCAAACCCTCGGTAAACTGCTGTCAGACAGGCATAAGAAATTCGATGAGAGGAAGACAGGTCGCCATGAGACTGGATTTCCGCCATGCAAACGGCTTGTACCTGCCGGGTTTGACAGCGGCAGTGAGTGGGAAGTTAAAGCGCAAGCGCAAGCGCTCGCATTTGTCATCACGCTGGGGCCGCATCACTCCTAAACTTGAGCGGGCAACTGTAACCATCGCTTACACCTTCCTCTACTCTCTCCCACCGTCGTTCGGCGGGATGTACTGAGATGTTTTGTCATCTCTATGGCAGTTCAGCGTGTCAGTGGGCAGAGCGCTTGCGCTTTCACCTCCATCAACAGCAGTTCAATTCCACCCACGGCGCTTGATTCTCATTAAGGTCGAGTCTGGTTCTCAATCGACTTGCTTTTGGAACCATTCTGAATTTCATTCTCTATCTATGCTCGATCAACTGCCAACCAAAACTTGAGTATTCTAGGCGTCTAATTGCCCTTCAGCTTACTCCAAAAGGAAGACGACGTGTCGCCACCGACAACAGGAGGTGCCAAGATCATCGTGTTCCAAGTCTCCTCGCCATCGACGAACAAGCTGTACTTCAAGCTGCTTTGCGTGCCCTCGGCCAAGTTCTCGATAGTAAGAGAGCCGAACTTGGAGTTGCCAGAGTGAACGTACCTAGGGCAATTAGTCAAAGTAATGAGCGAAACATTTTGACACTTACTTCAGAGCTACGTCCTCATCATCGTACTGTCTGTAAGTCGGCAATGGCGAAGCGAATTGATTGAGAGGACTGCAGGAGAACTCGTAGGCGGCAGCCGTCTCAGGCCACCTTCCGCCGGCTGGTGGAGGGAACTTGGTGGCTGCGAATTCATGCCGGTCACCGGACACAACCACGACACCGACGCCCCGTGCTCCAGCATCCCACATTGCCTCCAGTACCTTGCGTCTCTCGACAAGGAAACCACCCCAGGTATCCCGAGTGTTGACTGGCCAATTCTTGGTGAGAGGAATCGAAGAGGCGACAATCTTCCACTTGACGCCCTTAGGCTCAGGACGGTTTAGCCAGTCAATAAAGTCCTCCAGCTGCTGGGCGCCCAACATGGTCTTTTCCGGATGATCGAAAGGCAAGGAGTTGGTGGATCGGTAAGAGCGGGTGTCGAGCAAGAAGAAAGAAGCCGGGCCTTGCACGAAGTCAAAATACGTTGCACCCTCTCTGCGCAGGTTAGTAGTGCCCGCAACGCGAGCAGGAGGGGGATTGGCGAGCTCCTGGTAGTGGTGCCAAGGCTCAATGGCGGCCCGGTAGACACCAGTGGTGTTCAGGTCCCAATCGTTTCCAATTTCGTGGTCATCAAGGACGTGAATCCAGCTAAGGTTCTGTCCAACTGGAGCCCAATCGGGGGAAGCATACACGTGGCGGTACTTCTGACGGTAGTCTTCCTCATGCTTTCCCTGTCGCTTGGGAACGTCGATGTAGATGAAGTCACCGAGGAACAGCATGAACTGGGCCTGCAGCTTTGGCAAGATGTTGGCGAGGTGGCGCATTCCTGGGATGGCCAAAGGATGCTCGAGAGGGTTGTATGGGAAACGAGGAAGGATGCACGAAGTCGAGAGGAAAGTGAACTTGTTGTCGGCAAAAGCTGACATCTGACCCGGCTTGGGAGGAGCGACGAACTCTCCGCTGTGGTTGTTTGAAGTCCTCCACTCGTAGATTCTCTGTTGCGAATGCTTCAAGGGGACGGTCAGAGTAGCTGTGAAGTCAGTGGTATTGTCGGTGTACCTCAAGCCGCCACCAATCTGCCATAGGGGGTTGTCGAAAGGAGGCTGAGGGTCCTTGATGTGAATCTCGATGGTTACCGGCATCTTGGCTTGGTCAGGCTCGCGCAAGACGAACTTGGCTTCCGAGGGGGAAACATAGCCCAGGCGCACGAATGAGAGGTCCTCGACCGGGTGATACTGCCGAACGCGAAACAAGAAGTCGGTGGTCATGGCAATCAGCACAGCGTTGATGAGGAACGTCAAGATTGACAAGATAGGGCTGCTCGGGCTGGGTGAGCCGGCCAGAAGAGTAACCCAAGGTCGTGACCTTGCCTTCACGACGATGGTCTCCTCAATTCGGATCTCTTCAGCGACGACTTGTTCATCTTGGCCGTCTTCGTTCTCGTCTTGCACCAAAGCCTCCTTCACCGAGACATCGACATCGTCTTCCACGACGTCATACTTGGGCTCTGAGAAATAGCCCGAAATGAATGAAGGCACATACACAACAAACAATGTGTAAATGCTCAGAGGAACAGCCGCCTAAATAATGATCAGCATACTCTGCCAAGCCAGGGGAGCTTGCCGATAATAAGTGGAACTTACTGGTCCTGGAAACTGCAGGTGCATCCAATGGTCAGCAATCGATTTCAAAAGCAATTTTATAATGAAGGCATTTGGAAAGCTCACCCATCGAAGAAAGACGTACGACACAGCTCTCAGAGCGACCGAGGAATAGAAGGCGATTTGCGCTTGAGTCCCCATGGTGTCCGAAAGATCCGTTCGGTGGGCAGATGTGAATTGGTAGATGCTGGTCGGTTCATGCAAAAAGAAGATGGACGTTGGAAAGGTAGATATTGGATGAAATTGTTCGGAGGAATTGCTGGCACAAGGAGAAGGTGCAACCCAGCACCTGCCCGCTGACGAAGTGGGAAGAAAGTTTGATAGAGGAAAGAAGGAGTCGCGATGCTGCCTTCAGGGAGGTAAAGAAGCTCTTTGCTAGACGGGTCCACGGACGTGACGTGACAGGGCAGCTTCAGTTAGCAGCGAGATGAGGTCACTGATTAATGAAGGCTCCATACGGGCTGAAACACGAACGCTGCGATAACAAGCCACTTTTTAGGGGAAACCTCAGCGCCTGAGAACATGTGAGCGTGGGTGGTGAGAAGCGGAAAGGAGCTGAGGAGCTCTGATGGGGCCACTTTACCTTCCCGCAGCGAGGTTCCTTACAGCGGCTGGGCCAGTGGGGATACGTACCTTCTAGGCCCTCTCTAGCGGCCCAGCACCTCAAGCTCCGGTGTTGCTGCAGGCCGCTGGCAGTTGCTCCTGCCGTTGAATGGTCCGTGCACACGTCCAAGGGGCTACCTTACATCTGGCGGGCGCCAATTTTCCGCGCCGAACTTTCAATCGTGGCCCGTTCATGGTGACCTTTTTGGCGACAGCTTGTCCTGAATACCCAGCCAGCTCCAGAGTCGATCGATCGAGATACCCTCACGCGCGCACGAGGCTCCCACCCACAACATCATGAGGTTATCCGCTGTTGCCTGCGGGCTTTTTGCCTGCTTCGTTTCTCAGGTTGCCGCCACGGCATTGACCTACAAGATCCATGCCAACGAGAAGGCGTGCTTCTACGCCAAGACCCAGAAGGAGAACGAGAAGGTGGCCTTCTACTTCGCCGTACGTCGACACCGCCACGCATGCATTCAACCATGACAATGCTCTAACTCTCTTGATGCAGGTCCAATCCGGTGGTTCTTTTGATATCGACTACGTTGTGACGGGACCGGGCAACAAGGTCATTCTCGATGGATCCAAGGAGCGTCAGGGCGACTTTGTCTTCACTGCCCAGCAGATCGGCGACTATGAGTTCTGCTTCAACAACGAGATGAGTACATTTGCCGAGAAGTTTGTCGACTTCGAGATCGCCGTACGTTGCGTGCTCAACCCAGCAATGATACCTCAGCATGCTTACCATCCATTTTGATGCAGGTCGAGAACGAGGTTCGCGCTCAGCTCCCCTCCAAGCAGGGTGCCTCTCAGGAACAGCACACTACTCTCGAGGAGACCATCTTCAAGCTTTCTGGCCAACTTTCGACCATTTCCAGGGGCCAAAAGTACTTCCGCACCAGAGAGAACCGAAACTTCAGCACCGTCCGCAGCACCGAGTCGCGCATCATCAACTTCAGCATGATCCAGTGCGCATTGATTGTGTTGATGGGAGCTCTGCAGGTCTTCATTGTGCGCTTCTTCTTCCAGGGCGCTCGTAAGGGATACGTATGAAGGGTGATGACAAAAGTTGGGTCTGGATTTCGCTGGGCGCAGGCTAAAAGGAGTCTTCAGGGACTCATGTACATCAAAAGCAAAAGAGGCATGATGTGGTTTATGGTATAAGAGATATCGACGACGATCCGACTCAGCGCTGTGCTGATGAAGCCTGGGGCTAACCCGGGACCCGGCCTTTATGGCTGGGAACCACTCCACATGGAGTAAATAGCACTGGGTCACCAGTGAACATATTGAATGGTTTAATGAGCCCTGTTCTTGCGTAGATCAATGTGTTTAAAAAAGGCATTGCATGCCTCGTGATGCGTGGAAAGAGCCTTGAAGCATTCTTGAGTTCATTTGAAGAGCGAATATCCAAGACGACGAAGTATCTCGCCAACTATTGTGCAGCGCGATTCGGTTGGCTTGACGGCATCCAGGTCTAAGTGAAGCTTCCCACCTGTCTAGACGACGCTTGCTTGGCTCGTGCGCGTCTGCTGAGCGAGGCTGCAGGTGAAGCGTGTTCCTGGAGTGGAGCCAGAGCGAGAGGCGTCGTTTGATTGGACCAGAATGGGGCTGGTGTCACTAGCCACGGCAGGCTGACCGTGGAACCACTGTCATCCTGTTGCCCGAGCGGCGCGAGCTTGGAGAGCTTAGAGTATCGGTTATCAGCCTCGTCTGCGACCCGGCTAGGTCCTCAAAGCGACCGATCGCCTTCCTCACCACCTGCGACACACTTTGCGACTACGCGCGACATACATGGACACCTCCACGCCAAAGCCGACGCGCAAACAGAACCCCTAGCAACACAAACACCACCTTCTCGGAGGTGGTCCGCGATCTGTCAATGCCGAGTGGTGCCCGCCGAAGTTCGAAACAACAACGCAAGAAACCCCGAGAGCCTAGCGAGCCAAAGTGGTACACGATCAAGAATATTCTTGATCAGAGACAGTACGGGGGAACCATCGAGTACCTGATCGACTGGGACGACGATAAGAAAACGGGCGAACGCTTCTCTCCATCTTGGGCAAGTACAGTCGCGCCATTGTGTTTCGGTCCGTTCTAACAACCAAACAGGCTCCAAGCAAGGACGTGACGTCCAAGGCGATCTTTGATTGGAAGAAGAAGCAGGAAGAGGCGTACACTCAATACGCGACGGGCTCTGAAGAGCCAGAATCACAACGCGAACGGGAGGAGGGAGCAGAGGACCAAGGCGCATCATCGCATTCTCCAACTGTCAGTACCCCTAACGGTAGCCAACCTATTCGGCCGCCTCATCGGCGCAAGCGACTTCATAGTGAGCGCTTTGCAGAGGAATCCGAAAACTCTCAAATTGAAGACTCAGAGGAGGACGAACACGATCTCTCTAAGCGACATTGCAGTGAGCCGCCGTCGCTGCTTTCATTCGGCTCCGAGTTCGACACGGATGCTGCCTCGGACATTCTTCTCGAAGCACCGAGTAACATCTTTGTCGCAATTCCCTCCAAAGTAGAATTTGACCCTACCGAATACCTCAGTGTCTCAGGTTCTCAAGGTTCAACTTCGCATGGGTCACAGCCCATCTCTACACAAGAAGACGAGGATAATCAGGTGCTGCTCACAGAGAATCTCAGCCAAAGGACCATTCCCGACTCACAGGACTACTCAGGGCCTGACAGCCAAGAATCTCAATTTGCTGCCTCAGCAATCGCGCCGATCACTAACCGGGGTGAGATTATTTCAAACCGTGAGATTGCAGATTCACAAAGGCAGTCCAGCGTCGGGACTTCTCTCAGTAAGACTAGCGAATCTCAGACGCGCCTCTCGTGTGCACCCTCTGGTCGTCTTTCTCAAGACGTTCTTAAACAAAGCTCTTTGCAAGATAGTCATTCGGAAGTCTCCCAGCACCGCCAGGAGGATCCAGTCTTTTCAGACCCTATCTTCTTCACGCAGTACTTTCCAAGCCAAAGCCAGCACCTGGTGATACCAAACACCCTTCCATCCATTCCGGAGAGCCAACTGCCGGATTCAGAATCTGCTGCTCCTCGAAGATCGCGTTCTGCATCTCAAGACTCGGCATTGTTGGCAGCCCAAGCTGCCGCTCAACTTGTTCAGGAGCAGGAATCAGTACCGGCATCTTTTTCCGACGCGTCTATACCGTCACATCAAGTTGACAGCCTTTCTGGACACAACGACGCGGATCAATCATCGAGGTCATCCGGAGCGAGACACCAGGAATCCCAATCATCCGGAGCCCCCGTCTTTCTGACCCAGCCAGCTTTTGACTTTGACTCACCGTCGTCTTCTGAATCTTCTTCATCACAAGAGAATAGAACTACAGGTACCAGTGGTGGCTCAGGCCAGCGGATTTCGCAAACAGCCAACCAAGTTGATCCGGCGCAAATTACTGTATCTGATTCTCAGGGCGACAGTATTAACACGCAGCACGCTCAACGGGTCGTGCCTTTGCCTCAAATCTCAGCAAGCCAAATTGGATCGGTTAGCAGTCTGACCGAGGAAGAGTTCATTCCTGATACGGTTCGCCGCAAGCCACAGCAACGACGTCTCTGCATCGATAGCTCATTGTCGGCTTCGGACGCATTATCGCACAGAAGCGTGTCAACAACGCCTTCCGGTCGTCTGCTCGCAAATCTACGGCATAACCGACGCCGCCAGTCGCTGGAAGAAAGTTTCCGCACCTGCGTTGAAAGGAGATCTCTTCCTCCGTCCAACAGCGACTCAGCACCAGCACGGGTCGTGGGATCTAACCGACAATCCAGTCTTCCCGCAGCCATGGCGTCCACGGGTGAGCCGATGTCGGCCATTGAGGAGTTGCTGAAGATGCAAGAGGCGGCCATGAGCGGTGACTTGGGCGATGACTCTGGGGAGCATTTAGGACAGCTTGATGGGAACGGTAGCGTGGCGACGGGACCAACGGACACACATGATTTCTCGATGGCCATGGAAAATCCGTCTCTTCAGATCAACTCTCAGCCCCCTATTTCCACAGATTGGCACATGGGAGGAGCTGCCACATCTTCATCAGAATTGCCGGTTCTGACCAGCGCACCCGTTCAGCCCGCCATCCAAGCGCCAGCTAGCGAGCATCCGCCGACGGCTAACCCGGGGGACATCTTCTCTGGCAATCTTATGGCCGCTGAGACCGCACAGCAACTACCCATGACGATCTCTCCGTCAGACATTAGTCGCTCGATCGAGCCGGATGATCCTCTAACCTCACTGCATCAGCTAGATGATGCGCCGTTGAGCATTCTACCTGCAGAGGACACGGCCACGGCGAAGAGCACAGCATCATCCCCTGATGTCGAACAGTATCGATCTGGGCCCCCAACGTCGATGGACCAAAGCGAATACCTTGTTACCGTCTCCTTCCCAGCGAACATCCGCCCTCTCTACCTGAGCACAATCACCGTCTACAAGAACGAGATCGAGCAGTTCAACAGACTCTGTCGATCTGGCGAGGCTTTGCCGGATGAGACGCTGGTGAGCGCCATTGGAAGGCTTCTAGACCAGCTGCGTGATATCTGCGACCTCCCTGCGCCTCTCGACAGTGGCACCATTGACGCGCTAGCAGCGGAAGATCTCAAGAAGCACGCCATGGGGACCAATAGCAAGTACTTCTTCGTCGGACGGTTCCTGGAGAGGCTCCAGACAAGCCACAAGAAGGTGCTCATTGTTGTGCGCGACATTACCATCATGGGTTACCTTGAGGCCATCATTGGTACCAGCGATATTGCGTACTCTTTGAAGGGCTTGCACGAGCTTGAAAGCGACGACGAACATTCTCTGAACGTCGTGCTTATGCACACAGAACAGACTCTCGTGGATGATTTGAGCGACTTTGACGTCGTCATTGGTTTCGACGGCGGCATCATGAGGACTGATGTACTGAGCCGCTGGGCCCAAATGAACGGCAGGAAACCTATGCTGATTAGGCTGATGACTACATACTCAGTCGAGCATCTCGAACCGATGTTGGGGGACGACATGAGCGAACTAGATCGCACGAATGCTCTGCTCATTGCCATGTTCCAGTCCCGGGGTCTCATTAGTAATGATGAACTGGGAGAGATGATTGATGGACTCACGGCTCATTTCGCTAACCAAGTTATTGATCCGGAGCCCAACTTTGGCTGGGAGCCCGAGCCCGTCCCGACTGCAGTTCTCGATCTTTACTCCGACAGCCAACACCAAAGCCAGATGCCCCCAACGGCTGAGGAGCTGACAAGTCGGAAGCGGAAAGCGGTAGGACGCCCTTTACTCAGAGATTATCAGCCACTGATGTGTATTCCAGGATGATGGGCCCCAAGAGGTCACAAAGCGCCTGCGCGTGAGCCCTTCCCCAGGTCGAGATGGCGGTAGCATCGACGACGCGGTCCGCGGCCACCTGAACCCCAACCCAACCCACGTACAGGTCCGCACGACGCAGGACCATCTCGACTCGTTGACCACAAAGGTATTGTATGATCATTCGGTCTCACAGTGCAAGGCGCTAACCATGATCCAGATCTCTGAGCTCGAGTACCAATTAGCAGAAAAGACGACTCTAGAGGCAAACTTGCGCAAGCATGTGAACAGCCTGTCAAAGAGGGTCAAGAGTCATGACAAGACCATTAATATTATTCAGGAGAAACACATGGCTGCGCTGAAAGAACGCAGCCAATTTGAGGCAGAGCGAGATGCGGCCAAGCAGACCGAGGAAAAGGCTCTCAAGAAGAGCCAAACCTGGCAGAACAAGGTACAAAAGCTCGAGGAAGAGCTCAAGAAGAAGTCTGCAACTCTCGACGAAGCGCTGGTCGACGCCGGCACAGTGGCCACGGAGGTGTTTAAGCAAAAGACGGACGAGCTCGAGAAATCCCTCGCAAAGATTGCCGATCTGGAAAAGAAGCTCGAGAGCCGCGACGGCGAGCTCAGCTACGCGCGAGACGCCTACCAGACGGCCAACCACGCTAACAGTGAGCTGTCCCGGGAGAACAAGGAGCTCAAGGAGCAGGTTGCCGAGTTCCACAAGCAGGCGGCCGGCAGCCTCGCGCAGATCCAGGATATCAACTCCAAGGAGCAGATCAAGGAGATGCAGCGGCAAATCGCCGAGACCCAGGCCATCAGTCGGGACCGCGAGAAGGAGCTCGCACGCGTGGAGAAGGAGCTCCGTACGCTCAAGAACGGCCGCAGGGAGACGCGCCAGCAGAGCGTTCCCCGAAGCCCGCGCCTCGGCATGATGAGCCCTAGGGCGCCGCGCACGGCTGGAGGTTCGGCTAGTAGGGGAACCTCGCCCGTTCCGTACGAGTCCTCGGGCACGGGGAGCACGCCCGTGCCGGGCATGCAGTTCCTGCCGTCGAACAATCACAGGTTCAACCACCTTAGAGAGTGAGATTGCTGTCTTAGGGTGGCGAGATGAGAAAGCATGCCAGCACGTTGTGAGATTGTGAGTATTGATTTGTTTAGAAGGAAGGAGAACAGACGAGGGGCCCGCGAGATGGCCTTTGCAAGCATGATACCCTTCAATGAGGGACGGGTTATTGTATTTTTTACGAGTTGAACTTAGGTTCTGATGAGCTAGAGGTTTTTTTTCCCTGGTAGAAAGAGAAAGAAAGGGCTCTTTGCGATGTCTGTGTTTGCTGGATGTTGTCTCACAAGGTGATATCGATGACGCCTGATGGCATGATTACCACGCGTGACATCGTTCGTGGGGCCAAGTTGAAGTGTATCGGAAACTTGCCCCTTTCCGAAGCATTGAACTTCGCGGGGGAAGTGTAGATTGCTTCTGCGGCCTGCCCACATTTTTGCCCAGCACGCGAGGGGGAACTGCGTTCTGATGGTCCCGAGAGGTCGGTCGGAGCATACCACCACCCCAGGTTTTTTTACCCCACAGATTCGGCTGCATGCGGTCGGCCGGCGCAGAGACGAGATCTAGTCTTGTGAAACAAATGAGATGTGTATTGGTTTGTATATCTGTGAGAGGAGGCTTTTGGTGAGATGGTACATGAGACTTGATTCAAAATCACACTACCAGGATCAGAACTCCCCCATCTATCACTTTCACACACACACACACACACATAGAGCGGCACGCACACACGCAAACACACATATAAAAAAGCAAGCTTCTCTCTCTTAAGCAGTTTGCCCTTTCTCACGCTTCCCCTGCACCACGGCAGCAGCTCCTTTCCCCCGACGTAGAATATACAAGTTAAAGCCTTGGCCAATCCGCAACCCCAAGGACTTCTGGTTCGTTGTGTTCGACTGTTTGCCCGGTTTGGTATCGAATCTCACACGTCACCTGTTCTCGCGAGAGGAACGGTCATGTGTTGTGCGGGATGAGAAGATTTAGTTCTTCTCCTCGGGGTAGATGTCCTCCTTCAGAGTGACGCCGAGCTCTTCCCTCAGGGGCTTGAGCTCCTCGAGGTACTGCTCGTACTGGCCCTTGTTCTCGACCTTGGCCTTGATGCCTGCGGGTAGAAAGTAGAAAAGGTTAGCGATTTCCGATTTCCGATTCGACATGATTCGCGCCGTGCATTGATCGTGTTTCAATTGCTTGCAGAGCCTTTTTGGGGGGCGTGCGGAAGTGCGATGCGGGAAAATCGAATCTGATAAGCGCGGGACAATCACGTACCCTCAAAGATGCGGACGGCGGTAGCAAAGTCGTTGACGCGGCGGGCAGCCTTCAGGGCGGCGGTGACGACGGCGGGGGAGGGGACCAAGTCGTAGGCGAAGGCGTTGTTGAGGTTGCGCTGTGGTTGTGCGGTGCAAGAGTCAGCCTCGTGTGTTCCTCCCGTCAGACCACTTTGGGGCCCGAAACTAGGTTCAGATCCCGAGGAATTTCGATGCAGCCGGGGGAGCGGGTAAGCATGCTAACCTGAAGCTCGAAAACGTCCTGAACGCCATCGAATTCCTTCTCGAATCTGGGGTTAAAAGTCAGCGACGTCGTTCGGGAAGCGAATTGAGGGGTATAGAGGCCTCAATGGCTGGGTTGGGCGGCGGTCGTGGTGGTGGTGGTGGGTTCCGTTGGTGGCATGTCGTGGTCGATTCCGGGTATCCCTATCGTCCCCGGCTCACTGCCGCCTTTCCCAACGGCACGCCCGAACAGAAGGTCCCAACCCGCCACATCCCACCACGCTAAAGCCTGACGTCGAGGAAATGGCTCACCTCGCGCTGAACTCCTCAAAGGTCTCCTCCTCGTGGGCGCTGGAGCGCATGCGGGTACTGGTGCTGAAGTTGTTGGCGGCCGGGACGCCAGCGACGATGGTGGGCAGGAGGACGGCGGAGCGGGCCATCAGAGGCTGGGTCGAGCGGACGGGGTTCGCACGGAAGAAGGTGGTCGAGCCGCGAGCGGCGACGCGGATGAGGGAAGAGGTCGACATCTTTCGGGTCGGTTTTGTGTGTGTGCAGAGGGGAGAGAGAGAAGGCGACCGGAGGACGGAGGGACGTCGGAGGTTGCGGCGGGCTGTGTGACGTGGAGGTGGTGAGTGGTTGCTATTTTTTTATTTTTTTTCGCTCGCGAAAGCTATGGGCGTTTCGTCGGGATTAGAGTCGGGTGATGGTGAGTGTTTGACGGCACGAAAAAGGATTGGATTCTGCGAGATTTTGATTGGATGACTAAGCGGTAGCTTGCTGCTGTGAGGTCGGAGCTGAGCTCCAGGCCGTGCGAATTGGGATTATCTTGGTGGTGATGCAGCAAGCTGCAGCTGTAAAGACACAGTTGATGCGCCTTTTCACACGGAGTGTCCATTATCAGGCCACTGTGGACGATTCATCCCCAAATGTGGTAATGGTCATACTCATCATGCTGCAGCTCACTGGTCCCCAGGCAGCGAACCCTTGAGATCTAACACATCTTCAGTGGCTGTGACAGCCCATTGGGAAGCACCACGGGGAAGGAACAGGCGATCAGGTAAGCAGGCTGGCAAGGCAGGGCAACAGAGCCGATGCCCCGAACTCCAGACTCGAATCGAGGCCCCTCCAATAGCACCTGGACACCCTGTCCGGAGTTCAAGGCGATTCAAGGTTCCGTCGCACCGTCCCATCCTGCCTGCCACGCCCGCAGCCACGGCGCGGCACTCACGCACACCATCGCAGCCGCACACGCGGGATGCGCAAGGCTGACAGCTTGACGGCCGGACGGGCTCTAAATCTAATAAGGGGGGATGGGAGCACTGGGCGATGACGGGATTTGGGGTAGCGTGTTAGGAGGGGTGGGCAGGCAGGAGCGAGGGAGGGATGACACGGAGCCGGACCGGACTCAAGATGCCGGAGATTGGGGACTGTGACGGCATCGCCCTCAGAAGTCGGATGAGTGATCGATCATTTGATGGTTGCTAGTTGCTTGCTTCTGATTTGGGTCCGGGCCAATTGGCCGAGGTACAATTTTGAGTGTTTTTCCTGGGCGACCCTTTTCTATCGAGCCCATCGTCGAATCCTGAGCTAGAACGTCGTGACCGTCGCCGGGCCTTCTTCTTTTGCGATTGGCAACGTAGCCTAAACTCCCGAGATTGCAAGCCGCATCACGAGCGTCGATGTACCGGGTACTTCGCGGGCCAGACGGTTGTTTTGGGGCTAGGTCGAGTTGGCAGTGTGGATTTGGAGATTTTGGGGCCCGACGGGAAAGCTGCGATGCGGCCTATGCCGGGCCCCTGTCCAGCGCAAAACCGCAGAAGAACCAAAGTGTAGGTGAGACCCAAAACGCCAATTCCATTGGCAGCCAGCTAGAGGTCACCTCGTCGCAACGGTGCTGCGTCATTTGGCAGGCAATGCCACCGTAGAGAAAAGCAGGTACAGCCTCTCTACCTTGGGTTCCGGGGCTTCCATTAATCAATCCATCCACCCGGAGCTTCCAGGCCTTCCATTCAGTCTTCTATCCGTAGACCTGGGCACTAAGCATTGTCTATCATCTTCTGTTACCTACCAAGGTACTGTAACTGGGCACTTCCTGTTGGCTCCTAAAGCTGACGGGAGTCAACACTGCAGGCATTGAACCCAGCACGGAGACGGCACGAACACCACACCAGTCACGTGGAGCTGGTTGTTGTTCGTGCTGTGCCTGGGAACCATAAAAGCTGAACAGGCCCCCCAAATGAGCATAGGCCCAGGCACAAGAGCCCATTGGCTGGGCTAAGGCCGGGCAGCGAATCACATGCTGCACGATCAAATGAAGGCCGCGAAAAGAGCAACGCGACAAGTACAGGGTACCTGGTCCTTCGTGATAGGAATTTTCCCCTTTTGACATGGAATCTCAACAACTTTTCGCATTTGCTGCTGTCCAGTGTCTGGCAGACTCCCAGACCAGACGGCACGGCTCACTGACACCGACGGATCCTGACTGACTGACCGTCTGCCCGCCCAGTGCCCACCTCAGACTCCTCAGTGCCTTGCTCCTAGGTTTGCCTCTGCCTCTGCCACTGCCAATTAATGCAAGTGCTGCCGCCGCCGGTCTCCCCGTCTGGCCCTTCCTTTTCCTCATAAAACCAAACTTCCTCCCGTGCTCCCCGAGTCCGTGGCGTTTCCTACCTTCCTGTCCCCCGTCCCCCGTTCTGACTTCTGTCCACCTCCTTCCCTCAAAGTCAACAACTTCACCGGGAGTCCCGTGGTGGGTAGAGAGAAGACGAGAGAGCGTGTCGCCATTGTTCTTTTGAACCCTTCACTTTTTGCTGCCATTGTCTCCAGTCACTCCTTACTGGCTCCCGTCACCTTTGCTGGTTAGGTTGCCGATCACCTTCTCTGCTAGTGCTACCGCGCCTTGCATCTGCAGTCTTGCGTCGCGTGCATTGCTGAACACTCAGAAAAGCCAACCACTACCACCGCCCTCACCTCCCCCAAGCCTCAAGAGATCCGCGTCTTCCGCGTCGAGTCCACAGGGCAACCCGCATCGAGACCCACGGCGTAACCGAATTTGTTGCCGCAGCTACTCTCCCCCGAAAGGAGATCTTTGCGCGCCATCCTCCCTCGATCTCAATCCTCCTCAACCTCTTTCGAGCTCCAACCCAACTACAGCATCAGTCAAGATGGCCACCCAAGCCCCCTCTTCGTTCTACGAGCAGCTGCCTCTGCCTACCCTCGACCGCCCTTTCGGCATCGAATTATGGCCTCTCCTCGATAAGGTCTGGACTCCCATCGTCGGCTACCCCGTCAGCGAGTTCAGATTCGTCTCCGGCGTCACTCCCATGTCCACCATCAAGGAGGCTGGCATCTTCGTTGTGATCTACTATGCCATCATCTTCGGCGGCCGCGACTGGATGCGCAACCGCGAGCCTTACAAGCTCAAGACGCTCTTCCTCATCCACAACTTCTTCCTCACCTTCATCAGCGCCGCTCTGTTGGCCCTCTACATCGAGCAGCTCCTGCCCACCGTCGTGCGCAAGGGCATTTTCCACTCCA